TATCAACTGTATACAGTACACATATCTGACAAATATAAACTGTAACGTTACCAAATACTGTATAGATTTATATTTTAATACCAGTACAATAACTAAATGTCACATTTAGTTGATTGGTATTGAGAAAAAAAATTAATACACCTGACCTTGGCTTTATGCTCTGTGAAAACCTCTGCCAACCTTAATTCTGGCACTTTTTCATAACAAAGGCACACTAAAAGATAACAGTGATGATATAAAAGTCGTGGAAATATCCTTACAATACTCTATCTCAGAAACACAGAAAATAGAATATAAAACTATAAAATAAGAAAAATGGCAACATACCATCTCACAGGCCACCTCACCCCCGGTTTTTCTCCTTCCCTTATCTTGCACAGAATGTACAAAGGCAATTTTTTTCACATTAAGTGAGTTGTGGGTGGAATTAGCATCCTTGCCTAATTTTAATATGTTTTCAACAAAGATATTAATGTATTTACTAGACAATTAGTTTACGAGAAGGAAAAACGAATAGAGAAAAATTAGAAGAGCGAAGGCATTGATGGTTAGGACAAATAATGAGGAGTGAAGAAGAAAGTGCACTGAGTAGAATAATGGAAATGCCTGTGAAGGATAGGAAAATCAGGGTACAGTATAACAAAGAATAAGATGATGGAGATGTATAGTAGTTGAAAAGAATATGAGAGCGATGAAAGTTACAGGATAGGAAGCACAGAACCAATAATTTTAGTGAAGGAAACATGAGTGACGATCCCATAAGAAACATGGGATTAATAAAGCACACATGAAGATGCAAGAGTTAATATCCTTTTTCTCAATAAAGAATTTTCTATGCTTCATACATCTTCTGGCATCAAATTTTCATCTTCTCCTTCACTATACAAAAGTCCTGACGCCTCTTATGCCATACTTCTCAGTAAACCCCTTCCTCTTCTCAGTAGCAGCCTTTTTGTGGCAGTTGCAGCTTTGAAGCCAATTTAGGAGAGAATCAGTCCACTTGACAGTGTTCTACCCAGCTCTTGAAGGAACATGCTACCCTAGTGCATATGGACTTATAATAACTCACTTCCACACCCTACTTGAAGCCTGATCCATAGTATTCTGTGACTTACCCCTGGTATTTATTCACATTAATCCACATTTACTCGCCCATTAACACTCCTACATTTCAGACACTCTTGACTTAATTCCCATCACTTTTCAAAAGTTCATTACACTCATCATAGTTCCAATCTCCCTCTCCATATCACTCCAGTTACATCCCAGTCTTCTTTTTTTGCTCTGCCTTCTCTTTGTTTTGTCCACATCTGCTTTCTGCATCCAGAAACAAAGTCCTCAGAACAATAACAGGTTGAACTGAAACCACACTAATTAGCCACTTACTTTTTAAAACAGTCGTTCCTCCCATACAGAATCACTTAACAAAAGTGTCACTCAATCTATTGTCTTGGCACTGGATCACATTCAACTTGTAATATCATGTTGAACGATCTCCCCCCCAAAAGTACCATGGCCGAATCTTACACATTTGACAATGTTCCACTTACTCATCCCTGCACAAATATTCACAAACATGTAATTAACAGCTTAAAAACCTCCTGCATCCAAAGATTCACACCAAACAGTGGATATCTGGCGGTGTGCCAGATATCCACATCTAGGAATAATTCTTCCCAGGGAAATGAGAGAATTATACTGTACAAACATATCTCACCAGACAACAAAGTAGCCACCATTCTTCTCAAAACTTATATTTACATAACATATTCATATATAACTACACACACTAAAACTCACTACCTTCTTGACATTTACTTATTATCACTAGTCTTTGAACATGACTTCCATAAAAGAACTCTGGAAGTGACCAGCAGTTATTGCCAAATACATGTAACTGAGGTCTGTAGGCTTTGTATCCAAGTGAAGCAGTGTTTACAATAACAACACAAGAAGGAGGAGGAGACAATAGAATAATTCTGGAGAGATCTGCACTGAAAGTTTCAATGTGAGAGATAGAGTGATTGGGGTAATGTTTTATTAGTGTTTCTTTATCAAGACCATTGTCCTGTAAAACTTGTTATCAACTTTGTAAAAAGCTTTTACTGTCATCCCACTTGGATTCTTCATCCTTAACCTACAGAAATATGGCAACAGAAAATTACCTCTTTATTGGACTGAGGATTTTTCTTAAGGCTGTTACTAGCTAATTATTATCGGGGTAAACTCTCAAGGAGATCAAGAGTCAGCTGTGAAGTCCTTCAGGGATTAGTTGTTAACTCAACCTGCCAAATCTTTGTGGATGATGTCAAAAGTTATTGCGAGGTGAGCTCCCAGATGCAGCATAACTACTGTACATGAGGATTTAGATAATGAATTCTTGTTGCAAGTGGTGGCTTCTTTCCTTCTGCCCAGTCAAATTCAAGACCTTACATTTTGAAATACAAAGTCATTGTACATAATGAGAACAATAACCATTGAAGCAAAGATAGAAGAGAAGGACCTAGACATCCTGATGTTTAGAAAATGGCAAAAACAAACGGTCCTTGGCCTCCTACAAAGGCTCTTCTATCACAGACAAGCCAGGCTTCATCCCCCCATATAAAATGTTTATGTGCCCTCATCTAGGGTACTGTACTGTGTCCAGTTGTGGTCACTGCACATTGAGAAAAAGAAGGAAGTCTTCAGAAATGTCCAGAGGTGTGTCAATAACCTAGTTTCGATTCCTAGGCGACTGCACTACGGGGAATGTCTGGAATTATATTATTTAATGAAGTTGAAGAAACGATGATTTTGTAGTTACCTTATAAAGCATTTAAGGTTTAAAAAAAAAATTAAGACCTAAACAGCCATGAGATGCTGTTACCAAGACAATGAGAGACTAGGGTACATTTGCTTAGGCTGTATAAGCCTAGAGCTTGGTTAAAATGTACAGAATGCTGACTTACTTGTACTCCTTCATACATCTACTTTTAGCAGTGTAGAAACAGTAAAAAGCTGTAAGAAATTTTATGATACAGTACATTTATGAGGATGATAGAAAAGGAGATGCAAAATAGTGGGAACATTACAGCATATAAAAAATTAGGACAAACCCTTGTACTGTACAATATACAGTATTTTTAGTAAGCATATTGTTACAAGCTTGATTTCCGACACGAATCGAGGATTGGAATTCTCCTTTGTACACCAGCCCTTGCGGACTCGGCAATGAATGAATACGCTATTAGGTTCTCTTATAGATGATGGAAAACCCCTTCAATAAACTAGCATCCTAAATAAGGGGCTCAGATCATTCATTAATTGCTGAATGCTAAGAATCAGGAGACCAGTACTTACCAGGCTCTCCTACATTATAGCAGGAAGAGGGTTGCATGCATGAAAACTGTACATTAGACACATGTGCATGCACACAAACTCATGCATGCATGCATACACACACATACAGACACACACACACACGCACATGCATGTTTTTCAGTTTGTGGTCATTATAGTAGCATCGTCTGTTATTTTCATTACTGCTGGAAACCAAAAACAGATTGTCCATGCAGTGGGTCAAGAGTCTCTCTTATATCCATCATTAATTCAAGTGCAGCAATTTATTATTAATAACATAAATGGGTGAAAACCACGGCTTCTAAGAATTATATGACATATTTTACATTACAGTACAGTACAGTACTGCTAACTATCAAACAGATGATATATTTACTAACAGTTCAGGCAAGAGTATACCTCTCCATACCAAAGAAATTGGCATCAGAGGAAGGACAGTTTACAACTTCACTGACCAGAAAAATTAACTTTTCAAATCTCATGCTACCAGTATCTAAGCCAAGAAAAAGCCAGAAAACATTGCATAGGTTGATGATGTAAGATTTTGAAGTGGGTACTTATGTGTGGTTCGCTGCATTACTGTTTTGTGAAAAGCCCAAATTTGACAACAAAATTTAAGTAATTTCATAAAATATTGTATATTAAGAAGGCTTATGTGTTTTTCAGGCTGGTTGATATGCTTTAAGCAACACCATGACATTTGTATGATTGCATTTGAGAAGGAATGCATCTGTTTGAGAAGTAACTAACACTTACATCAGAGGTTCCAAAAGCTGGTAGAACATCATACCCTCTCTTCTGAAAAAGTGTGAAATATTAATGGAACTGTTCTTTATTAGTGATTCTTAATAATACAGTCACAAGCTGGTGGTAAGAGGACTGAGCATCGGGGATTAACCAGAACAACGACAGGATCACCATGTTAACTCGTAAAAATGCACCAGTTTCAGCTTCTTGATTTTGACTGAGCTACCAAAGGTTGTGCATTAAAAAAAACATAAAACTTCTTCCTAAATGTTTTGAAGTAAATAAGATAGATTTAATGTAAAAGGAAACTTCTGAGGAAGTAAAGAGACATTTAAGGTATAGTGATGTGTTTGTGTAGTGTTTTGTGTATTTTCTCCAGGTTTTTTGTTTGTAGTTGACCAGTATATTGTGTCAATTATCTGCAAAGATTTAATGTCAACGGGAGGTCTGCCATTGACTGCTATGGACCATCAAGTCTGCTGTATATGTTAAAGCAAAACTTACAAGAAATTAACATTTGCAGCAGTTTATGTAATTAATTCTGCTTAGTTAAGAGATTGGATAATATTTTTATTTTATAACTCCATTTTCAAGGTATTAACAAATTTCTCTTCATACCATTTCCCTACATGTGGACCTGAAGCATGAGTTGAGTGATATTTTAATAGGTAGAATTAAGCTTCTGCGTTTTGCTTAGAATAATTTTATTGCTGCATATAAAGTATTAATGGTGTATCAGGTGTAGCTTTCTCAGCCAAAGATTTTATTTCACAATTTTGCACTTTTTCTCTGAATTAAGCCTTGCCCATTGTGCAAAGTTAAAGTAGCAATGTACCGTAAGTATTTTTTAAAGAGATTGATTTATATATGAACAAAGGTAATAAGATAGACTAATTTTTATGGGTGTATTCCAGATGACAGAAGCCAACAAAGTGAAAGCTTTAACTACAGCAGAAGTAGAACAAGTTGCCACTTCTCACCATCATCTCCGATGGAACAGAAGCGTCAAAATGTAATTCAGGAAATAATCGATACAGAGGCTACATATCTCAAGGAACTATTATTAGTTGAACAGGTAAGAAGAGCTTTTGGTTGCCTTGTTTTGATATTAATTAATATATATTTAACCTTTTATTAAACATACCTTACCGGATCATTCTCACTTCCCTCAGTCACTAAAATATTCATAACCTGAGTGTCTCTGCCCCCCCCCCCTTTCTTTTTAACTTTGGAGAATGACATAAAAACTTCATAATGTTTGTTATTTAGAATGTGAATTATAACTGATATTTTTTATTGATTATTAAAAAAAGGTTCATACCTATTGCAGGCTTTTATTAAACCCATGCGTGGCTCTAGCATCATCAACGAGAAGGAAGTTGACCTGTTGTTTGTGAACTGGAATGAATTGATTCTGGTTAACTCATATTTTAATAAGTAAGTATCATTTGGAATAGTACTGTCTATGTGAGAGTAATGCTTCTGCAACACCTCAGTGCTTTTTATGGCTTTTGGGTCATTTGATGAGTAACTTTTGTGATAAGCTCACTAAAATACCCATAGACGGCCTGCCTGATCCAGGGATTATCAGCAACTTGGGATAAGGACAACTCTTTTGAGTTATCTTAAACAACCTGAAGGCTTATATAGAATACATTTCATATGTTATATATTTTTTTAGAACCTGCTCCATGATCAGGTTAGTTACCTGTGGAACAGGTTTCATGATTCAATGGCTCCCAGCCTTTATTGGTAGTTCTAACGCCAAATATTCCGTACAGTACGTATTTAATGGCTATGGTTGATCCAAGAGATATAGCTGGATGTCTCATTAGCCCCAACAACCAAGTTTAGAGTTCCTTATATTCTAAACCTGGAGGAACTGGTGGCCTTCTAAACAAGTTGATACTCATTGGTTCAATTATAAAATGGGTTTTCAGGATAAAGCCTTCATTTTGTCAGAAATTGGCATAATTAACACACTAATTATTCTCTCGACTAAATGTCTCATAATAAACAAACCTTCCATTTATATGAGGCGTTTACCATATTCAAGTGAAGTGTATAATGAATTTTGTCTTGTTTTTAAATCATTCAAGATTTCTTAGTATATATTTTGATTGCATAAATATTCTCTTTTCCAGAGCTTTAAAAGTACGGTGTATGAACAGCAGTAATGGTGTTATTACCATGATTGCAGATGTTTTGTGTCAACAGGTAGGATCTGTTTAATTTGAACTGTCAATCAAATTTCATGTTGGGATTCAGCTTAATGCTATACCAATTTACTTATTCATAAATTGTACGTATATGGTAATTGTAATAAGGAGGACCTCTGGCTTTTTAATGTAAGTTTTTGAAGAAGAAGAATATTAATTTTGTGAAATATAGATTAAGCTTTGTGGCCCAACATGACTTAGCCTGATGGCACATTTTTAAGCTGTGCTCTGCCAGTTCTTAGCTGGAAATGTATAAACCTCTTTATACAGTTGTCCACACAGCAACTTGCAGCTGTATAGTGAGCCATCCTTCTGCCAGCAGATTTTAAAACAGTAGTGTATTGCTTTACTCAATTAATTATTGCATAGGAAAGTCTGGAATAGAGGAAATTACCAGATAACAAAGTTTTGTCAGAGCAGTGCAGTTCATTTCCCCACCTTTCCCTGTACAGTACAGTACAGTCCAGTACAGTACAACATTATACACTTGAACTGTAAGAGGCAAACAATAAGAAATTGTGAAAGGTTTATAACACTTGGAGCTTATTGTTGCCTCCTATCACCTCTTTTAGCTGTGTACAGAACTGCTCATTCCAGATGTATGACTATGATGATGGGTTGAGCCTGAAGTCCCTTTTTATTAATGAGTTGGGATCAAGTAACTTGGCATTCCTCCCTCCCTTTGGGGTGCTGAGGTGAGCTGGATCTGAAATAATGGTCTTTATGATGCCATCTTTTAGCTGATGTAAAAAAAAAGAAGATCAAAGTGTACTTGTCTATTCTCTGCAACAACAAAATTGTCTTCTCCATATTTACAGTACTGGTACATGTCCACTCTCAACAAAAACTTCTCGAACACTTGGGCATGGTGGTTATGAGAATGAGTAGAATGAGGCTTGTCATCTTGGAGTGGTTTCAGATTCTTCTTTCATTTTTCAGATTGCATAGTGCTTATTGTGCCCGAGAAGTTTTTGGTGAAAGTGTACATCCATACCAAATTTTGAGAATAAATTATAAGGGTGAAGGGTGGTCTAAATTTTCAGATTATTATTAATATTTTTTATCCCACATACATAATAAAGATCCTTGAGCCAAGGGACTTTCCAAACATCCTGGCCAAACAGAATTGCTTAATTTCAACTCGTTCATGATATGGGATTGCAGTATCAACTCCTTATATTTACCGTAGGATCATTTAAATATTATAAATAAACCACTTTTAATTTTTTTATTAATGCATTTTGCTCCTCTTCATGTTTGAGTAAAAGTTCCATGTAAAGCAATAACAGTGAGTTTCATTAAGATTTACTTTAATTTGGGGGGTTTTATCAATAACTTAACCCGGAAAACTATAATGCTCGTAACCATAGACAGCATGATGCAAGTTAATACAGTGAGCTAAATAAATATATAATGTTACAGATAAGCCAGTTAACACCATACTTGAGGTTCTGCAGTATTCAGATTCGAGGTGCAACTTTGTTAGGAGAAAAGTAAGTACTGTGCATTTTGTTGTTTTTCACAGATTTTGATAAAATTTAGCTACAGTAAAAAAGAAAAAACAAATAAGAAAGCAACATGCTCATAATCATAGTCCCAGGAGAACTTTGTGTGCCTTTCATTTAAAAACAATATTTAAACATGAAATTATGGCCAACATATCTCAGAGAATAACATTGACATCCCATTGACATCCCATAACAAAATCTGCCAAGCATTTCTCTGTGCTCAACAATCAATCGTTTTTGGCAAGAGGGAGACAAACTACTCTTGACCTGAGTTCCTATAAGCTAATAACAAAACCATCTCATCATTAGTTATAGACATCTCAAGGTGAAAGTAAGTGGAGTGTGTTACTGTAGATTCTTACCACCCTGCACCATAGCTGGAATGAAAAAGAAAAAATATTTATAGGATTGCTTTTCACTTATGTATGTTGTCCTTTACCTATGGTCTTGTTATACAATAATATTATGATGTTTTAGGACAGATAACCCCCATATGAGTTTGTCATGTCAGCAAGAGTGTTCTGTGCTTCTTTTTTTAGATGTGGTTCTGGGGGACAATGGGCAGACCTGGTGAAGCAGTGTCAGGAGCACCCTGCTGTCCAAGGTCTCACTCTTACTTCTTTTCTACTAAAGCCAATGCAGAGAATAACAAGATATCCACTATTAATCAAACAGGTATAAGGGAATTAAGGGTATTATGCCTCCTTAACAATATATTCACTCGTATCATAAAATTATTATTAAGGACATACATTACAGGTATTATGAATATCTGAAAGATAACTTATTTATTAATATGTAGGATGTAGATGTACAATACCTATACTGTACAGTAAAGTCTCCCTTAATTGGACATCCTTTGGACTTTCTCTTTCTTACAGAATAGAATTTTTTTTCATGTTGATACAGTATACTGACATAATTAATGATAGGAAACAGCTTTCACCAGCTGTAAGGTAATCACATAGGACACAGATGTGGATAATTTATTCGCAAGTCTCTCAGAATTTTTCCTTTAACTGTACATGTGGTATAGTACACAGGGGAAGACTGCTTGTATGGGTTGTCGGTACCTGTATCAGATAATTATATCTGCTCCTATATGGCAAAAGAGGTCTGCATCCTCCAGCTCAATTCCTAGTAAGTCAGAAATTAAGAAAGCGAGCATTGATATCACTTCAGTACTGTAATAATATATTTTTATTAATTCACAGACTTGTGGGTTGTATCTATCTTTTCCTCTAATCTTCTGAGTGCTTGGACTACAGGCATTCCCCAATTAACAAAGGGGTTCTATTTCTGAAAACCTTTTCAAAATCTTTTTTTTTTAATTGAAGCACATTTTCCAGTAGACTCCCATTATAAATGCTGAGATACATTCTTACAAATAGCAAACACAACTTCCCCAAAACCTCTTACAATACTGAAAAAACATGTTTTTTATTAACGATCTTTTGTGTACACAATGATTATAAGCCAATAATAATCATAATAAGTTAAATTTTTGCAGTGCAATACAGTACAGTATAATTATATACCTCTACTTATGAGAACCTGGACAAAATTGGAAACAATGAACAGTATAAAATGCTAAGCCAACTTGTATAATAATATTATTAATTTACTGATTTATTGACTCCCATTATATAATTGGAGACGTGTTCTTTTCAAAAAAATTCCACACTTAACTCTTTTGCTTGTACTGTATTGGTTTAATGTTGTTTTCACAATACCCTCAATGAACTGAGTTTAAGTATGTCAGTCACCAGTCAGCCAGGCAGCTTCTCAGGTATCAGCTGATGCTACACTTACGGGTTGCCAGCATTATTTACACCTCTGAGCATTTCTTCACTTCGAAATTCCACACCATTTCTTACAATTCTACACCTTTATTGTACATAATTAGCATATCTAAGTTAAGAATACAAAATAGTTTTCTATTATTTAATTTTCCACTTATTTCATGAATGCAAATGAGGAGAAATTGGACAAATCAGGTAACTGGCTCAGTGACTGTGTGCTGGTGGAGACAAGTCTACTTTGCTTCAGTTTGTTTGAGGAAGAATTTATTTAGTGATTGTAGGAGAATGATGACACATTGAAAGCTTATTTGTATACTTTATAACATTGTGAGTTATAGAGAGTAATGAAATAAGTAAGCAGAATGGGAATAAAAACTGCACCTTACATCAGGTTTCCACTATGCAAGTAGGAAATATGTTCTAGCTACAGCTAATTTTCATATTCACTTTGCAGTTATTGAAATACACTCCTGAAGGACACCCTGACTACTATAACACACAGGAGGCATTAACTGCCTCTGAAACTCTCTGTGCTCAAGTAAGTATCTTTAAAGCTGTTTAATGCTAATACACTGTATATACTTTTTAATATTTTGTAATAAGAATTTCACCATGAATTTTAATTTTCAGCTTCATTGTTTTTAATCAGTGCCTAAGTTATTAATTATACCTTATCATGATAATTAAATTTGTAGCTACAGATGATCATATTACCTGTAATATACAAACTACAATACAGTATATTATTGTTTGTGTATTTGAGTGTTTGGTACAGTAGCCAAGCCATATACAGTACAACCAAGGTTATCCGGAGTCTGGATAACCAGCAGATTCAACTAATTGGCACCAAAATGAAATGATGATAAAAATAAAAATTCTTCCAAAATGAGCTAGAATCTTAAGTTTGAATACTGCGTGCAATGGGGATGAGCTGCCATATTTATTGCGATGATAAACAATAAAATTGAATTTGTGAGGGCAGCCTGAAGCACTAGCATTGTAGGATTTATTGGGGGATCCTAAGAGTGAGGTTAAACTAACTTCATCTAGCACCTCTCAATCCCTGTAGGTCTGGATAACCAGGGTTCTACTGTACTATGATTGCATACTGTAAGTGCCTCCCATACTTTTTAGTATGGTCTATATTCTAATATTTTTTGAAAATGAAATTAGAAAATAAATCCCTTCACTTCTTTATTTACTACTGTATTTTTTAGGTCAATGAGGCAGTGAGTCAAAGGGATAACACTGATAAGTTGGAGTGGATGCAGCGACATGTAGTGTGTGAAGGCTTAAACGAACGCTTAGTGTTTAACTCTCTCACCAATACTCTTGGCCCTAGGAAGCTTCTCCATACTGGTGTGCTACATAAGGTATTTAGAAAGGGGAATGTGCCGATCTATCTCATTAACTTGTGTATGGGGTCCCCTCTCTGGTAAATAAAATTATCTGGCATTAGCTAAATGCTGCAAAATGTTAAAAATGGCATACTGTACAGTACAGTATTATGATGCATATAATAACAGGTAGATACCGGTAGATCCAAATTTTTAGCACTTATCCTCAGCTGATGAAAAAAGGGCTCATAATACCACAAATCAGATGGCATGGAATTATATGAAACGAGGCTAAATTTTGTCTATAGGTTATTCTTGTTCATTTCTTTTTACAGGCGAAGAGTAAACGTGAGCTAGTGGCATTTCTTCTTAGTGACTTCCTCTTACTGACAACACCAAACAAATCGGTATCTTCATGTACCACTCTAGCAGCGTTGGAACGAGCCCTCATATCAAACTCCTGCACAATGTACCGAAAGGTGGGATACAGTTGCTTACACCATTCAAACTTATAGAAATGTGTGTTATGTAAATATTCATGTGTTTGAGGTTTGCTGTTATGCTTTCAAGAATTTTTTAATCAAATAAGACTCTTCTTCTAAGTAATGAAACTTGGTATTGTATCTTAATTTGGTATGCCTGTGGAAACCCATGTTCAATGTGTTTTCTGCAGGAGTCACCAAGGGCCCCTTGGCAAAACATACCAATGTCCAGAAAGTATGCAGTGCTTGATACCGGGATGCCATTACCCATGTAGATAATATTTTGTAGCAACTGATGATGCAGTGCAGTCTGCTCATATAGTTGAATCCAGATTCAGTAGAGTATTTGCTTCAGTAACAAGTGAGTAATCCATGTTAGGGAGTCTTTGATTTCTAAGCTCATTCATTTCCTAACCCAGCTTAACCTCATGGAGAATCTTTGCCCAACTCTCATTTGTCTGCTACACTCTGAACTCTTAGACGTTGTGCAGACGATTGGTGGTGATGGTTGGTGGTGTTTGTGGTGCCAAATGGTAGATGATTGGTGATGCTGAAGGTTGGTTGTGTATGGCAGGTAGTTGATGATGCAAATGGTTGGTGATACAAATGGTTGGTGAAGCAGAGCAGATTGTTAATGGTGCAAATAGGTGGTACGGTAGTGTAAGTGGCTGGTGGTGGGAGACCACTGATAACCCAACCCTTACTGGAGGGGAGTGTTAGGTGACCTGACACACAAACCTCACTCAATGTGAACATTTACTGCATCAGACCTTATTTCACATCACCATGAGCACCTGCACACTTAACCCATTTGGTGATATTTAGCACTGTCACTCCTGATTTATCATGTGTACACATAAATTTAACCCCCCTTTTTTCCATAAAGGGTTATTTCACTGATTAGAAATATGCAAAGTTTTAGAAATGTTTCACACTGAACCTCAAAGATTTGTAGATAATCATTGTATCTAAGGTTATGGAGGGGGTTTCTTTAAGCCAAGTGTCATCATAATATCCCATAAGGTAGACCTCATGAGTATATGGTCAAGATTGTTTATTAGTGGTACAACTAAAATGCACAACAAGAGTAGACATCTTAGGTTATTGTAACATGAATGGCCTTATGTTATGTATGTCCAAAGATCCATCCTGCATTGACTCAAATCTTTTTGCACTGAGATTTAATCCTGTCATCAAGCATTCCTCAGAGTACTGGCAGGCTCTACCCAAGGGTGGTTAGTCATGGTCTCTCTTGCAGAAAAGCACTTGTTCATCTTCTTTCCCATAAATGTTGAATTATCCCTAAAATCCTATTTTATAATTAAGTCCATACATTGCTAGCTCTTGTATTAGGCCCAGGGAATCTATGCTGTTGGTGGCAAGGGATTAATTTTATGATTATCCATCCCTACCCATTACAACTATCACCCTAAAAATTTAGGATTGGCAGTGACAGTTGCCACTAAAGCAGATTCTAAAGAGTTGTGCCTTTACTTGTGTCTGCACAATTATAGACAAGTCTTCATTAAGTAACCAGCCAAATACCCACTACTTGAAGGGAGGATATCAAAGCTTCTGTACTTAGCTGTGGACTCAATTATAAAATAAGATTTTAAGATCAATCCTACATTTATCACATGATGCCCTACTATTAGGTGGCTCTAATAACTGAAGCTATGTTGGAAAAATTAAGAAACAATATTACAAGTGTTCCAAGAACTAGTTAAACATATACCTCACCAAGGGCAGTAACTCATACAAAAGTAAAGGATGACACAAAAGAATAATAACCTTAGAAGTCCTCTTTGTCACAATTCTTCAGAACTGCTCTGGATGCTGGGAAAATCACTGTTCTTCCAATGTCCAGTGTCTTTTATCAAGGGTGTTATTTTGCTCTCTCACAACAGTTAATTGAGAAACTGCTCCCAACTGTTTCTTGAGCCAATACATTGCCTGTCTGGCAAGATAGATGAAAATTTTTAATAATAATTTGGGAGATGCCGAGAAGGTTCTATATCCTAACCAAATCCAAAATTCCAGATGTAAAGAAAAGGTCTTAAATCTAAGCTAAAACCCTTTATAAGGAAAAAAGCAACTGTCAGAAAATATCTCTAAGATTCTCAGGATAATCTAACTATAGAAATCATAACTTGGTAGGCAGAGAAATCGTTTAGAAATCATATACCGTACTGTAGAAAAATTAAAAAGACGAGAATAAGGGCAGGAACACTGTACAGTATTTCTTCCCACTCTTTTATTCAATATTGACTAGGAAATCAGAATAGGCTTTAGACAAAGTTGAAACTATAAAAAGTAAATCCTACATTCAAAATTGGTAAATCCCTGGAACTGCTTCAGCCTCCTGACTACTTAAAGCATAGTGCAATTTGTGGAGAATACATCCATGCCTCCAAAAACTTACCTTTAGGATGATAATTGTCATGAGGAGGATTTAACAATTGTATGATTAGTTTCCAGCCACCAGTGTCATGGGTTTCCAGGGCCTGACCCCACAACTTGGTGAGAGCAGCATGAGAGCCATCAAACAGAAGAGTATCAATTTGGAAGAATGAATTTCTTACCTCATTCCCTCATTTTTAGATCATTATAAGTTCTGCATCTATGTAGTAATTAAAGCTCAGTAATTATGATAAATGCAATTTTCACATAATGAGTTGCCTTTCCATCTTTTCTTATTATTTTAAATATTTTAATAATGACAAAAATTGTTTAACCCCTTCTCTATTGAATACGTAACTAAGCTGATGTATGTATGTGTGTTTGTATATATGACAACATTAGCATGTTCAAAGCAACTGACTGCCCAAGTGGCTAATGAGCCAATCAGTGGCAAAGAGGACAAAAGTAAAAAAAATTAAAAGACTCACACTTTAAATTATGAATAAAATTACTGCCATTCAATTTTTATATTTTGTTAAACTTTTTCAGCCTATGTTCTTAACAGAGTTAAGAGTAGAAGCTGACAAGGATTCAGAAACATACTACACTCTAATAAGTCCTGGTTGTGGTGATGTCACAGTGTCAGCACCAACTACACACGAACGTAATAATTGGCTAAAAAAGATCGCCATAGCACAAAAGCACATTAATGATACTGAAAGATCTATTCTTCATCGACAGAAATCCAGTAAGTATAAACTTCTCTTTATTTTTTGTTTGCAGCGCTTCTTGTAGCTAGCTCATTTATCATAGCAAAAGTACTTTTGTCATAATAAAATTAATTCAAGACAATATACAGGTATAGGAAAGTGGGTCAGCAAGATTGTATTCGTAACCTGAATTACAGAGTACTGTAATACAGTGGTCCCTTGGTTAACGAACGGTTCGATTAACGAAATTTCGGTTGACGAATTGCCTCCCATAAGGATCTTCAAAACAAAACTTCGATTTACGAAATCCTTACGAAAAACACGTTTTGTTGTGAGTCATTTTAAAATTTGGTTAACATATTGATAATATATGCAGTACAGGGAACTAGTTTTTTGTGCGCCCATCATCCGCTTGACTCAGCCACCAGGTGTCAGTTTGGCTTTGTTGACAGTGGAGTGAACATCGATTTTGTTGGTGTCTTGAATAGTTTTGCATTTTTACATTAAAATTATTGGTCATTCTGAAACTTAGTGAACATATTGATAATATATAGTGCAGTGCAGTGTTGATTTAAATAAAATAATCTTGAATTACACCAAGTGAACTTCAAATTTTATTGATGAAATTACTGCAACAAGCATGGGTCCCCTGAAAGGTGATTTCTCCTCTATCCCCACTTCCTTCTCTTCTCCCTTCTCCTCCACCCCCACTTCTAATTCCCATGATCATCATCAACCAGGAACCTTCTACATACACACCTCAAAGTAAGTGTACTTTACTGTATTTTTTTTTTTTTTACTTTGTATATATTTTTCTGTGAGCTGGAACCAATTACCCAATATCCCATTGAAACAATGGATTCGGTCAACAAAATTTTTGGTTAACGAACGACTCTGTGGAACGAATTGTGTTCGTTAACCGAGGGACCACTGTATTGAATATCAGAGCCAGGCCAGTTTTACATTGAGCTTGCAAATAGCAACTTACAAACAGACAATTTATGTTTGGTACAGTACTGTTTATCAACAGTAAATTAGTAACCCTCAGAAAAAACATTGTTATTACACAAGCAGTCCTCTCAGTGCATTACATGCATTGGCCTTTAGTGTGATTCTATTTATATAAAAGTAAGTGCCCTAATTATCATGTTTTTTTGTAAGGTCACTAAAGCCTCTCAAATGATGTGCAGGAGATACACTACCACAGAGGTCCAGGGCAGACAGAGCAAGTGCCAAGGAGGCATGGTGTGCTCCATGGCAAGCACACTACCCATATGAATAATGTTCAGAATGGTTATTGTACCTACCAAAGAGCATAATATGTTTCGTAGGCACTGGCAACCACTGCCATACAGCACTTTGTGGTGGTGTCTCTCTCTCATTTGCCACTTCTTCATCTTCTCTGCCATAAAATTGGATTTTGCATATTTCGCATTTCTGATATTTTAACTGGCATGTCTTCTAAAAGAATAATTGAAATAATTAATTATTCAACCTACTTTCTACTATTCTGATGTGTCAGGTTGAAGATACTATAGGAAAATCAGAATGGAAAATTCCACATACAGTACTGTAAATACAGTACAGTATGACACCAAAAATCATTTACTGTATTTACTTTTTGAGACCTTTTAGACACAGCTTCTTAAGACTTTTTAGGTCCAAGCTATTACTGTACTTTATCTTGTCTAACATATACAGTAATTAATTTTGCTTTTAAATTTTCAAGTGTGCTTGTATATTAAATAACTCCTCTTAAAACTGTTAATTTCTGTCTTGCATACTGTACTGCATACTACAGTGCCTCCTAAAGTGCAAAATGAGATTTTTTTAGTTTGAGGTAATTTGAGCATATGTTTATATACTGTACAGTACAGTATTGTACTGTACATACAAAACAAGCTGATTTCATAGTGTTTGCCTTTGATGAATGGTCACTGGTTCAATTTCTGGATCAACAAAAAGAAAGGATTCCTTTCTTGTACACTCACCTTTGCACCCTTGAACTTAAAAGTAATCTCTGAACACTTTGGACAGTTATTATTTATTACTTACATATCAAGAACATAAACACAACCTCTTAACATTCTCAACTTGTCTTTTTAAGGATACAGTATTACTTTGGTCATCCAATGCTTGATATTTATATACCGTACTGTATAAACTATTGATTTTTATATGAAAGGTATGCAATACAGATACTACTTCAACATAAGAAGAAAACACTGAAATTCTTGTGTAGATCCCTGAAGTCATCAGATTTTCAAAATCTTGATACTGTATAGGTATAAACTTCTCAAAAGTAAGATATGTATAAAATTATGAAAGTAAAATATAGTTATGAATTAGTTCAGTATGAAAATTTTTATTATGATATGAAATGGTGACTTAGACTGTTGTTCCTAGGTTCAGAATACAGTACTGGTATACAGTATATATGGCAAGGGTCATTTCCATAATATTCTACAAATTATTTACTATCACTGACCCAGGTTATTGGTTACTCTGTACTCATTTAGCTCATAAAATTTAAATACCTTTCAATACTATTCTAATTATGAATCACAGTATATGTACAAGAATAAAATTTAATTTATGCAGTGAAAACAGTAGTACGTTATTTGACCGGACTAATTATTGCATTGGATGATCTGGAACAGAGAGAATTCAACAGAGTCTAGGTTAATGCCAGTTCAGCACTGTACTCTTCAATAAGAAAGTTAGGGTGGTTCTCACTCTCTCCAGTTTATACATATATTTGGTTAGCTCTCATAGGGGACGTTTGGCTTTCTAGTTTTGCAACTTTTGTACCCAAAAATTATACTGAAATTTTTTTTTTTTGGTTCAGAACCTGAAGCAAGGTGGGTTGGATGCCTCCTGCTTCCCTCAGATGGGCATTTATTCAGGAGGAATTAGACATGTGGTTGATCATTTCAGACTGGGTTTATCAGAGTTAGTTCATGCATGGATTTATTGAGGATAGGGCAATCACTACAGTAATCAGTTGTGAATTGAACAGTCATAATTTTAGCAAGACATACAGCCATTAACAGTAACTTCTGTGTCTTGTCACCTCATATGAGACTCATGGCACAGGGTAGGGAGGGGTGATTGGTCTCTCTTCAGGATTAATAGTCTCTCCTTTGCTTAAATTATGGGGCCTTGTATCAGAATTCAAGAACCTCCTTTTAAGTCATTTTAAGAGAGCTGCCTGGCTAAGGGCTCTGCAAGAAAGAGGCATTTCAGGATTTCTCTTTCATTTTAATCAATACAAAGACAAGAATGGATGTTAAGATACTGTACTGTATTTAAATATTAATCTTTGCAGTACTGCATCTGCTACTGCAACTATTTCTGTGTGTCATGGATGTATATTTTTACAGCTACACCATTGAGTGTAAAGTTCACTGTGCTGTAACTATTCTGATACTTTTTTACCTTTGTCAGAATAGAATTATTGAAAATTCTTTCTGTTCTTGTGACATTCCAAATATACAAGGTGTCTGGTAATTTGACATAACTGTATGATAAAAGTTTAAATTCCTTTAATGCATATACTGTACAGTAAGTCCTCGCTTAACATCATGGTTATGTTCCTGAAAATGCGACGTTATAAGAAACAAGAGTTAAACGAATCAAGTTTCCCCATAAGAAATAGATAAATACGGGAGTTACGTTCCCGAGCTTTCCTTTGCCCCATGAAATACATTACATATTCAGAAATTCAATGGCATTTTTATAGAAAATAGTATAAATATATATATAAAACTAAATCATTTTGTATTGGTACTCACCGATGGGCGGAGATGGTGGAGAGAGTGTGTGGTGGGTAGTGAAGCGGAGGAGGCGGTAGAGGAGGAGGGAAGGAGCGGAGGAGCAGGAGGAGAGTAGTGAGTCACTCTGACTCAGCGGCTGCCTCTTCCTCCCGAGAGAGCGTAGCGCGGCAAGACAAGAGAGGGTGATGCGCCATAAAAAGTAGTCCGTGACAACGTTAAATTGAGCCGTCGGGATGTTATCAAAATTATTGGTATCTAAAGAGTAGCGACGTTGTACCGAAACAATGTTAATTGGGGCGACGTTATACGAGGACTTACTGTACTTTAAAGGAATTGATCTCCATTTCAAATAGACTTCCCACTTCTATTGCAGTGATTTTTTATATACAGTACAGTAATGATGTTAAGTTTTGAAATCATAATACAGTAGTAGTCTTTTCTAACAAACTTTATTTTTACTGTGTTTAGATCTACTGTACACAGTTTCTCTATACAATTTAAATTTTGATACCAATTCCACCACTGTATAATTGGTATTGCTGTATAATTTTCTTTATATTTCATTTTCAAGATGCACTGTAAAAAATGGCCTCCTGTATTGATGTTGTGTAAATCCCTTTAGTTTTGCCTAATGCTGGACTGATAGCAAATGGTGAGCGTGTATTTTATATTTAAAGCAAAGTGGAGAATTTTAGGATGAGCATTACAGTGTGAATTTTTATTGTCCTCTAACTACCCTTGCAGGAGGAAATTAATTAGAATCATGATACTTCTGCATCATGTCCTCATCACATTATTATTTCTGCATGTCTTTTTCAGAACAATTGTTATGTCTTGATTTGTTCTGCATGATTTATACTAATGATTTAATATTGTGTGCAGGTGAACTATAGAGGATTGGTAATTTTTCCCATCTTTAGTTTAGGAAAAGAGATGGTTTTAGAATAAGTAATTGCATTAGCTTTGTTATGAAGAATGTAGTTGTTAAATTTCTTAAATATTATTAATATCAAAGTACTGTACTTGTTCCTAGTGCTCAATCTCTTCCATAACTGAAAACCTGGTATAATCAGTATTGAAACTAACTCCATTACTGTATGACTTCTAGTTGACACAATGTAATAGAAGAAGAGGAAGGTGCACAACACAATAACCATGAAAGCAATAGAATAGAATAATTTTTATGTCACAAGCTCTGTCATGTCTTATTCCTAATATTGCTGTAAAGTGCAAATTTCTTAGCTACTCTTCGTGTTTGAATAGTCTGAAACAGTCATTTACAAAAGTATTTGTCACACTGTTTATGACTCTCATGAAACAGAAATGTTGGTGCCTATAAGGTTCTTCAAGGTTGCTGCTTCTAGGGAAAGTAACCCTGCTCATATCTCCCTCATCTAGCTAAGATGAATTTGCTTTGAATCAAGTTATATGAGTTATGGAATTGAATTAGGTACACAGTTAAAAGTTTTTAACTCAGTCAAACCCCCTCCATACTTATGGCCATCCACACCAGTCAGTAGCTTCACATAACTCTTGCTGCAAATTGTTGTTAGCTCCTGTGTGGACAACTTCTGCATGTCAACAACACTGATGTATTTTTGAGTCTCAGATCAACCTGAAGATAAGACTCCTGTGTATTGTCCATTTTAACTCATTGAACCTTGTGTTGACATGTTTCTGCTGAATTGCCACAAAAGTTGACCACCCCTTGGGCAAGAATCCTCATGCACTATGTAATTAAGTTGAATATTTTACCAACAATTGTAATCAGAATAAAAATCTACTTCGAAGTATCTTGGTGATAATGAAGTGAAAAGTAATCATTATTGAGTGAATAATCTAGAGCTTGAGAGGCTGTGTCATACCTGAAGTGTAAGTTGAGCTGCATTTTGCCAGACACAGAAAACAAAAAATTAACCAGCATTATTACTCCTTCACTAGTGCTCCATCAGGCTTACTTATCTAGTAGTTGACATTTCGTCTTTGACTTGAGTTATTAAAGATTTATAGTATTTTCCAAATCTGATATTCTTTTTATGTTGTACAGTATACATATTTTCATGAACAGATACATCGTCGACAAACAAAAAATGTTTTCTGTAAAAGGCATTCAGATATGGAAGTGCAGTACAGTATTCTCATTCTAAATAGAAAAAAAATTATTTATAAAAACAGCCGAGTTGTGTGTGTGTATAGACATTTTATTACAGTAGTGGCCAAATGTTGTTAATACTGTAGATAGATATTCAAGCTTTTAAGAGATACAGTCAGTCCTCGACTTACGACGGGGTTAGGGACCGACGACCAGGTCGTAAGTCGAAAATGAGAAAATAATACATAGAAAATCTAAAACGGGTGTCTCTTATTCTTCTCAGTACCACAAAACTCTCACTTTTAAGCATGACAGCCATTTTAAATGGAATTACAAACGAAAAATTTGTCAGTACACAGCGCAATCACTAACGTCGGGACTCGAAAATACGTAATTTGAAAAATATTTTATACGACTGCGGCAGTCGTATGACCGGGTGGTCGTAAATCGAGTAGGTCGTAAGTCGAGGAGTACCTGTACTGTATTTCTGTTTTAGCAGTTAATCATATGTATACAGGTACAGTACTTATATAAAACATAACTCAAAGCCATGTTGTAAGTAAGATAGGTCCACATAGTAACATGAATATCTTCAATTGGATCCCAAACAACAACAACAAAAATGACCCAAGAAAAATACCAGCTACCAGCTGGAGAGATATAATTTTGATATTTAATTATATTCACTGTGGAGTCCTTCATTTGGCAGTGAACTGATATAGATAGATATCTTGATCTTGGGGCTTTGATGGAAGCAGTTATACCCAAGTAAGTGAAGTCGACTTGAGCGAAGCCCTTTGTGAAGCATTGATCATCTAACTTGAAAGATTTACTGTATAGTGTATGAAGAGCTACAGCTTGGTTAATTCGAGGTTATGGATACCTATAGCTCATATTTTCTAGGAAGTTTCAGGATTACACCAAATAAATGTATGGTATTGTACAGAAAAATTTTGGGTTGCATTTCTTCTCTTTCCTTGCACAGTGTGAGGTTTACATCTGCCTAGTCCTTGGATAATTAATAGTATCACTACCTCCCACTTTCTAATTGGCTGCTGTTAACAGGAAACACCTAAAGGATGGCATCAAGATAAATATGGAGGATTGACCCTGAAATCCTATTTTCTTACAAAACCCATCATAGCTACGTGGTTCACATACCTTCAGTCCCTTGGATTTGTGGGTTATTAGCTGCAAACTGAACCTAAAATGGTGGATTGACTAAACTGAAAGTGGCTGCTGTAGCTGGCACGATATGTTTACTGGCTAGATAGACATGGCTGACATATAGACCTCCTACCTCTAGAAGGCAACCTTTGCTTCTAATCCACCCTTTTAATGGAGAAAGTTACAGTGTAGAGGAATGTATAATCATAAGATCAGCCTCAGCTACCAATTAATGTGTAATCTATTGTCCTTGCCACCCAAAATGGCTTGCAAATTAATAGGAGCCTCTTAGCTATGGAATTAGCTAGAAAATAGGGATTCAGGATCAATCTTCCATTTCTTCATGTTCTGCATCAGCTATCCGACATCCTGAGTGTGAATATCATCCATATGTCAGTTTTTACCCTCTCTCCTCTTGCGGGTCACTCCACTTAGTCATTTCCAGACTAATCTAATTGTGCTGTACTTGCCAAGGAAGCAGCCACTCCTTGATAGTTGGAGATGATTTAGATTTAGACATTTGTGAGGTTAGTTGTCATTTATATTTATTATGAACGTTTAAGTATATCTTCTTTTTTTCTAGATATTCCTGCACCATGTTTTTTATCATAATATAGTTCCATGTTATCTATTAGTTTGGTGATGTGTCTATATTGATGAAGGTGTCATATATGAAAAATTCTATTTATATGTTTAATTCATAGACGAGTTTTGACTATAACAAACAAATATTTTATTGCTACAGCAGCTGATTTACTGGGTTAATTTCTTTCTTGTGTTTTAATGTATATTAAATCTTTTACATTCACTTCAAATGTTATAATTTCATATTTATTTGATTTAAAGAAGAGAAAGATATGAGCATAATGGGCCGAGTATTAGTGACCGTCATGGCAGGAGTCTCCTTGAATGAGAGACAAAGTGAGGGTAAGAACCATTTCTACTGCTCAGACTCTGCAACCCAGCATGATAATGAGTCCATAACACTGCAGTGCATGTTAGCAGACTAACAAAGAATAGCATGCTCTTCACAGACTAGTTTAGAAAATTTTTAACACTGTGTTTATACCTTAACTTGTGTATCACAAATGCAGAAGCTACATATTATATTTTTTTTGCATAATGTATTTACTGGATGATCAACATGTAAGTACATGTGCAACTGAGAATGTAATTAATGTAATTTCATCCCTGATCAGAAGAAACATGGTTTACATGGCATTCATCATAAAGTGTAGACTTATTGCAGTGTTAATATTTTTCGAAATTCTTTGTGTATTTCCTCCTTTATTAACAGTTCTACCAATATATTTATGAATACTGTATAGTTTTATTGCTTATTGGCCATTGATGAGTGACTTATAATATTACAGCAATAAAACAATCCATGCCAGGTTGTGCCATGATCACAGGGCTTGATGTGTTTCAGTGGAAGTTACATTGTCCAGTTCATAATTTCTAGATGTAAAACTACTTCTTGCCTTGCAAACCATGATTGAGAAATTGCTTCTAACTCTTAGCACAGTATTTTCTTCAAAAGAAACTGATGCTTTAGTTCACACAACTAAAACACCAAAATAGTATCACTTCTTGTCCCAAACCACAACTATGAATATGTAACATGTGCTTCAACCTACTTGGTTCCAGCCAAAAGGCTAACTATCCACATCTCTCCTCTTGCCACATGTAACAATGTTTCCCTACTTAAACGAAGCAATCAATTCATTTTCTGGATGAGGCTCGCTGATAGGTTGCTTCTCATAATCTCTTAATTTGGTATTTTTTGTCCTTTGACACTACACATGTTTAATATTACTGCCAGGTATGCATGTTTTAAATTGCTTGCAGATGGTACCAGTTCTTTTAGCTCAGTTTTCTTTACTTTTTAACTAACCTGCATGCTATTCCATAGCTCGAGACAGACGGCCTCAGGGAATTCTCCGCACACACATACTCACCGGAACTAAGCTTGATTCCTGGGGCAAAGGTAGCATAGAATTTAATGTAGAGAAACAAGTATTCTTGTTACTATAATTATAAGTGTGGAGAAAAGCTCATGTGCTCTGAAATCATTATTAAAGTTTTCTAAAGTTATCTATTTTGATGCTTTAGATATTTTTTTTGTCAAATTTCCTCCATCATACATGTACTAAGAACAAGGGGTGTATTTTTTTATTTTACAATATACTTATGGTCAAATAGTATTAGAATGTTATTTACTTATTTATTTATTTATATATTTATTTTTTGCATACTGTAAGATTTGGTTTACCTAAATAACTTCTCACACGAAATCTGTATGGATTCCAGTACAGATTAGTTTAGATTAAATTATGTATTATACTGTGTGCAATGTGTTTTTTTTATTTCCAATGCAATATACAACTTATTTTTACTAAAAAATGAGGGTCTCGCATGTAAGAATCCCCAGCATATAAGAATCATAAGTTCTCATCTCAAAGTGATTCTTATAACCAGGGTCCACTGTACAGTATACCCAAATGGGTTAACAAATTGACTCTGGCTTTTTCTCGAGTGATGGTAGGGAGACCCTGATTCCCCAGTAAGCAAACCTTGCTAGCTATATGCCTCACTAAGAAGTTTGTTTCAAAATTAATCATTTACTCAGTATGGTTTTAGTATTTTTTCACACACAATACTTATAAATACTTCTAAAATTGGATGAATTGGCAAAATTTATCAGTAAATTTGTTAGAGGTGATTTATATAAAATAAATTAAATACAGTACAGTACTATATATGAATATTCTTTTACTTAGAACTCAAGGAAAGGCACAGAACTTGAGCAGACATATCATACATTTCCTGCACCAAGATTGTGTTACTACAGTAAATCACGTACAAGGTTTAAGCTATAAATTAGCCTCTTACATTATTACCGTAACAGTGCACCACTGAATTTCTGGTTTAATTAGCCAAGACCATAGTTTGATATTCAAGATATAGTAATGCATATTTTGGAAGCAATAACTATGATAATCACAGTTTCTAAATTTTCACTGCCTATGTAAATCTGGTTAGAGTTGTTGAACATTTAGAGAATACTTAAAATTATCCTCAAGCACTTGTTCATTGTTGATTTCCATTCATGATGCTGGTGTTGGCCCAGTTGCACACTCAGGTGTGAATGGGTACCAAACTGTACAGTGGGGGAAGTGAAGGTGGTGAGGTTTATTGCTGGCCAAACTGCCTCTTGTACACTGAAAAAGACATATGCATCACAAAGTAGTCCACAGTCAATTACTTGTTAGTCAAGAGGTTTTTAAAGAGAACCTTAAATTTCTAAAAGCTTCATATATTTCATATCTATGATTCTGCTCAAGTTCTGTGTTTTTATGTACAACAGGGACACAAGTTCCTAAGATTGCTTGTTTTGTTTTTTCTTTGTACTGTTTTATTCATTATGGTTGCCTTTCTTATTCCCCCAAACAAGCTTCCTGGGAATGTATAAGGAAAAATAATTAATTGGAATATATAGTAAACACCATCTTTCAGAAATACTAGAGTAACAGTGGTAGCCATGGTGCACATTTAAGGCTCTTACATGTCTCCCGCCATCACTGAACCAGTTTTGTTTTCCCAAATTCACAATAAATTCTGGTATTGGGTCATTGAGTCACTCATCTGTTCTTTGAAGTACAGGTTGACAGCCCTTTATCCGAAATTCCAAAAACCGAAAGGTTTTTTTTGTGGGCAATTTTTTTTTTTTTTTTAAACAGGGATTAGCCCACCCGGGCATAGATCACTGACCCACATCGGGGCCTGGGGGGCGAAATTGTAATAATAATAATTATAATAACTATTCATAGTAAATAAAAATTTTAATAAAAAATACACCAAAATAAAATAATAATGATAACAATAATAATAATAATACAGTAATAACATATAATAATAAAATCAACAATAATAATAATAATAATAATAACAATAATACTGCCATATAAAATAATAATAATAATAATAATAATAATAATAATAATAATAATAATAATAATAAAGAAATACAAGAATGAAAAAAAAGATCAAAAGTGAGAAACACGACCTAGACCTATGAATTGTTATTATTATTATAATTTTTATTATATTTTTGCCACCCAGGCCCCAATGTGGGTCAGTGACTTGTGCCCAGGTAGGCTAATATTAAAAAAAATAAAAATAACCATTCTGAAAACCGAAAAATTCCGAAATCTGAAATGCCTCTGGCCCCAAGGATTTCGGATAAGGGATTGTCAACCTGTATCTGAAGTTTTACATTCACATTGATTTTGGTCAAAATTTTTGTTACCTCCATCTCACTCCTAAACACAGTCTTTATAAAAGTGGGAACACTGATAACAGCTTAATATTCTTTGACTCCCAATCACAGTTCTCTCTATAGGATTTTATGCTTTCTAAGTCAGTCACCTACACACTGCTAAACGCTTCCTGGTTGTCCATCCACCTCATATTTAGTGCCTCCTAATACCTTATTTACATCTCCTTGTTCTGCCCCTCGCTCTTCTTCCAACTACTTCTAAATCATACTATACCCTGTACTTTCTTTTTACTAATTAATCATATCTCATTCTCTCACTGCATCCACACCACCTACGCAACCTGGTTAGTTCTGTCTGGGCCTCCTTTCATTTGTACAGGGTGCACATAGTCACATAATCCCCTACCTGGCAACTTCAGAGAATATAAATTGAAACTATGGTGGTTATAAGAGTATAAATTTGTAAATACACCTTATTTGCATTCATCACATATGTACATTGTGTGGGAACAATCATTATTGTCAGTCGCATCAGTTTGGGCACTGTCACTTTCGTATCACAGAATAATGCTTCTTTATGTCCTGTCTGATACAGTATTTGTTCCAACTTTGCTGGGGATTTTTAAAAATGCATTGCATGTAGCTTCCTTCATAACTCCTGTTGTCTAATAGTACACCTTTAATACATACTGTTCAATTGACTGGAAAATAACAGGTTGTGAGAAGTGAGTACAGTAATGAAACCTTGTGGGCACCCTATATATCAGGTTCCTTATTCTTTACATCTTCACTCCATATCTTGCTCTCAAGTACATACAATACATTACTACAAATACTTTCAACTTTCTCCCACCTCTTGCATCCAGGGTCAAAGATGTTCAACCATATGATAATGTCAGCTCAACTGTTCCCCTATACATCCCCACCTCTGTCTCATTTGACATACTAGTTTTCTTAATCCATACGTTTTTCACTGTACTTGTAACTTTTTTCCCCACAGCCACTGTATGGTTCACTTTGTCACTCTTGTTCTCTTTACTGTCACAGGCACTCCTAATTACCCCAAATATCGTACTGCTTCCCTTCAAGTTAATATTCATTTGTCTCCTTTCTTTGTTTACATTCAGTGCTTTTCATTCTCATTCACTATGAGCTTTCTCCTACTGATTGCTTCTCTAAATTATTTAATTAACATCTGCAACTTTTTTCTGGATCAACCACCAGGCAATTTCATTTACAAAAAGCCCCAACTCATCTTTTTGTATTCGTCCTTAATTACAGTAAACTTGAATCCCTTCCATCACTCTTGCTACCTATATTATATATAAATACTGAACAACAATGTCAGCATTACACTTTCTTAGTGTTGTGCCATTTTCACTGGGAACCAATTCTCCTCCAGCTGACACACAATAACATGTGCGTCACTCTAGTAAAGCTTTGGGCAGCATTCTTCATATTTTTGTATTTGTCTCACGTAAGTACAGAACAGTATTTTCATTGCTGTACTGTACTGTACTGTACTTCCCATAAAGCTTTTCTGGCATATTCTTACTAAATTTATATTTACCTCTATAAACTGTACTGTACAATAATTTACCTATTATTTCACCACTTTCTTAGTTCTCAAGAACTTCCATCTCTTTTACTGTTATCTATCTGCCCAACTCATTAAACCAAATATGACAATGGGGTTCTCTGCCCTTTTTTGTGTTTTCAGTATCTCTTCAGATTATATTTATAATCCTCTCATTATTGTTGTATAATGTTAAAACAACTATAATAATTACCCTTAAATGGCTATATTAGAGGTTCAAATTTGAAACTACAGGATATGCCATTTTTTGAAACTCAACTGAGATTTCTTGTTCAATGTATGTTTAAGTTTAGGGGTTCAAAGTTGCATGACACTACCAGCATTTTTAGGCCAATAGACATACTATAATGTATTTACAGACCACACAAATTTACAGTTTTGAAGAACAGTATTATGCCAACTTTGAATTTCCGACAGTATTCCTTAGCTAAATTTTTTGCTCCTCTCTCTCTCTCACCTCATCATAAATCAGAAACAAAGTTTAAACAAAATTTTCTTTGCCATTTTGTTATTGATTATTCATCTCATATTTCACATCAGGAAATAATTAATATGATATCTTACTCCCCTAAAATTTGATAATGTACAATACGTATTAGGATTTTGGGAAAACCTTTTGTATATACTGTACAATAGGCAATTTTGCTTTTCAGTTTTGTAGGCTTTAATACAAATTTGCCATTTTTATAAGGTTAACAATATACGCACGTTTTTTTAGGTACTCTCCAATCATTTTGCGAGGTAAGTTTGGGGTCACAGGTTCACCGGACAAGCATAGCCGTATCCCCTCATCCAAAATGGGACTCTACCATGCAGTTTTTGGTTAAATCGCTGTCAGAAGATGTCCTCTGCATTACAGTATATGAAAAGGGTTACTTCAAGCCAAATGGTAAGTTTTATTGTTCATTGTACAGATATATGCAGTATTGTAGTATATTTACTCTTTTCTAGTTCTGTAACTTACAGTACTAACTGTATACAGTCCTTGAAAATTTGGTTAACTTTAGTTATTTCTTTTGATGTACATCTTAACAACTTTAATGACTTAGGTTGCCTCCAACATAATTTTGTATTTCTTTGTAATTTGAATGTTACAGTTCCTATCTAAAATTCATTAGTACCATCGACTTTTCTGTCAAACCACTAACATTCCAGTCAGACTTAAAAGATGTACAGTAGAGGATTTTCCTCTCTGTAGCACAAATGATCTTAGATAAAAAACTGGCATCATATCTATTGTTAAATAGCTAACTAAATTGTCAGTACTACCACATCAAGAGGTCAAATTCATGTACAGTACTCTGTCAATGAGCTTAATTTTTGTGTCCATGTACTGTATATGTAACAGTGGCTGAATATGATCCATATTTCTGCATGTTTTATAATAAACCTCACAATTTTGGACAAAAGTGTTTTTGAATTAGTCTGTGGGACTATTGGATATGTGTTTTTACATCATTATCAATTCCAGCAGACTCCATTTTCTGTATTACATAATGTTAGTGGCACGACTATTTTCAGAATTCCTGGGACGAACAGAGATCAAAATCCACCAAGTTTATGAAGAATCCAAGAGTGAGCCGAGTGCACAGCCACAACTTCACAAACTCACACTTCAAGAAGTCAAATCTGGAGAAGTTATTTTAAAAATATCACTTCAACTTTTTGATCGATCATAGTACTGTAGTGACCTTTAAATTTGTACATTTTATCAAAGTATGATTGAAACCAGTTCTAGAAACATATGCAAATACAAAATTTTTGATCCAGATACACATAGATTTTAGATCTAAAGACCCATAGCATTTAATTTATTTTCATCTTTTAAAATTCATAAAAGTGAAGTTGAAAATTGTTTCTTACAAATATTACAGCAACTATAATGAAGCAAATGTGAGGCCTTCAGTAAAATAAGTTATTATTATGAAGTACTGTACTGGTATATTACTGAGTAATTTTTTTAATATATATTTTTTATCCCCCAAATCAAAATTTTTGGGTAGGGGAAATAGTTTTGATACTGTCTATCCATCCAGCCTTCTTTCTGCCTGTGTGTTTACCCAATCATCCATCTATTCTCCTGTCTGTCTGTCCGTCCTTAACAAATGTTTTTTACACTGATATCTTTCCTTGAACTCAATGGAATAATTTCAAATTTAAAGTGAAAATGTATTTTGACAGGTTACTGACAAATGAAGAAGTACTGAGGTAAAAATGAAATACTTTGGTCATATAATTAGGAATGAGGGGATAATAACAGAAATATTAATGGCATAGTTGAGGGTAGGAGGGCCAGGGGAAGGCAGAGACTGGGATGGGTGAATGAAATTAAAAACTGGGTCCCCAGAGAGATAGAAAACCTTAGAGGATTGGTAAAAACAGCCCGAGAACATTTGGAGTGGAGGACTGTGGTTGCCAACCCTCGGATATGAAGATGGCACTCTAGTTGATTAATTACTCGAGACTGTTGGGTGTGTTGTAGCCAATTAATTTACACCAATAGCCAATGGAGGTGAGGAGTTACACCACTTCCAGTTTCTCTCACTGATGTATGTAGAGCATTATTGTATGGTCTTTCCAGTCAAACATATTCATTATTAGATATGCAATAAACTCTCATTATATCACAGCAATGAGTAACATGGTTCACTATAAATATTTACATTACAGTAGTACCCCGATTTACGCGGTCAATTGAACCCATGGGTTACCGCGGAAAGTAAAAACCGCGTAAAGTGAACAACAGAACATATGGGATTAATTCCAATAGAGATTGGCCCGACCCCCAACTTCACTTTTTCAGACACAATACCTACGTTGTAGTAAAAATTACATCTTAATTTTATGATGGTATGCACACAATTAATAATTAAGAGAAATATCAATAATATTAGTTTTTTAACACTTACATTAGTAGAAAAGATGGCTGGGCACACGGGGATGGGGGGTTGGTTCCGAGGCAGAGGGCAGATTATTGGCCCTCACCTGTATCACTTGTATCAATTGTATCACTATCCACCACAGAGACTTGCAGGGCCTCTTTGTCAAACCCCTCAAAGTCCATATAAGTCCATATCCTCACTATCACTGACTTAGGCCAGCTGTGGTGGGTGGCGGGTGAAGAACTCAGTAATGTTTTGATGACTGGGCGACCTTGTGCGCATCCTGCCCGCACCGCTTCCCGCGTATATGAGTAGATGCACCGCGTAAATGAGAAATCGCGGAAAGTGAAACCGCGTGAAGCGGGGTAATACTGTGTGTATATATATATATACAGTCATCCCTCGCTTTACGCCGTCCCACTTTATGCGTTTCCACGTTTACGCGGTACCCTGCCGAATACAGAATGCTCACTTTCCGCGGTGTGTGTGTACCCTTTTACGCGGAGAGCGGCGCGAGCAGGGTGCGCACAAGGTCGCCCAGTCATCAAAACATTACCGAGTTCTTCACCCGCCACCCACCACAGCCGGCCCAAGTCAGTGATAATGATAGTGAGGATATGGACTTTGAGGGGTTTGACAAAGAGGCCCTGCAAGCCTCTGTGGTGGATAGTGATACAATTAATACAAGTGATACAGGTGAGGGCCAATAATCTGCCCTCTGCCTCGGAACCAACCCCCCATCTCCGTGTGCCCAGCCATCTTTTCTACTAATGTAAGTGTTAAAAAACCTAATATTATTGATATTTCTCTGTGTGAAATGTGTTCAGTGAAGCAATTAATCCCATATGTTATGTTGTTCACTTTAGTTTCTCACTTTACGCGGGCCGCCGTGGGTTGAATTAACCGCGTAAAGTGAGGGTTCACTGTATATATATATATATATATATATATATATATATATATATATATATATATATATATATATATATATATATATATATATAGTAAAATCATTCCAGCAACAGGTGTTTTGAATGCACATTGTGTCTGAGAACCAAACAGTTTTATTATGCGCCTCTTGAAATACTGTATACAGTACAGTATACTGTATCATAAAAATTACATTTTAAAACATTGAATATCTTCAATATCATCATTTGCTAGTACAGTACAAAACAGGTACCCCATTTTATTAGTAGTGAAATATATAGCCTCGTGTTTTGAATTTCATATATAAATTACAATGGGCTGGTTACGGGAAACCCATCTATATCTTATGCTGAAAGCCTTTTTATCTTTCCAGCATTTTTAAAGTTGTTGTTAGACTGTCAAAATCTATCCTAATACAGTCTTCTTAACCCAAACTGACAAACTTTGCAAGATAGATGTAATTTCTTAGTATGATAATGCGCAAGAAAATTGACTTGAATTATTTTGTATAAAGCTTAATACTGTACTGAGTTAAGACATAATAAACACACACACACCTTCATTATTCTGTTATATAATAGTCTTCATGCAGTCATCTGTCACCATATAGAGCTAAATGGAATACTTAATTAAGATTTATGGTGAGTGCTAGATAAATCAGCATATATGTGTACCTGAATCATACTTCTAAAAAAACAGTTGGTTAGAGGACAATATTTAAAAAATTAGGTTTTTCCAGAAACTAAGATTTTAAAGCTTTATGACTTTTATACTGTCTGTATATCTTGTACAGTATGCACTGCCAAGCCTGTGTGTATCCTCAATTTTGTTCTTCTTTCCCTACATGGTTAATTGTATGCTTTTAAATTTTTTATATGAATGAAAGAGTGACATATTACTATCCTATTATGAGCATAACAGATGAAATTCTTTATAATGTCTTTTTAAGAACCACCCAAATATTGTACAGGTACAGTACTTTATTCCTAATATTGTACTTGCTAAAATCGACCAATTTTCTGAAAAGCAATCATCACTGGAATCACTCCAAAAGTGCAAATCCCTCACAGTTGTATTTATATGTGACTGCAATAAATCTTTGTATCTATAACTACTGATCCAAAAATAAACATAAAGTGAACAGTTCATATGTCATCCTGTGAGAAAATAACTTTTTACTGTACAATATAATACCATCAGTAACTATCCTAAAAGGATGTATGTATTGTAAAATCATATTTATAAAGATTTATATCATAGACAAATATGACAATCATATATTAAAGTTTCACATTATAATGAGATGCATTGTTAATAATTATCCAAAGGTTATCATTGGAGAGTCCACTACTCTGTGGAAAAAAATAAATTCTGTTAGTACAATACAGTATTAAGCTTTAGTAAGTTTTGGCCGAGTGAAATTCTCAATCCATGTTCCCATAGCTGTTGGTCAGATTAAACAATGTTTATATAAAAAGGTGTAAGAACTTTGATAACTCATTAATTATACATGCTAGGATATTGTTTCACATAGTAGCACTTTGTATTTTCTGCAGCTGGAGTGGATTGACAAATAATTTGTAATGTTCATGATAAAATTGTATCTGTGTAAATAAATAAAATTACATTCAAGGCATCTCCATTATCATCTTAAAGCAATGTGAAGCTTTACAAACCTGTTATTAACACTTTCAGGCCTGATTTTCAAATTTCCCACCATCCATAGGTTAGTGAAGTTTGAAAATATAGTATCTAGAAAAAAAATGGGATTTAGTTGTTTAACACATAAAAACAATAATTAGAAACAAATAACAGGCAATTCTAAGTCAGAATCAGAGTGTACACCCTTCCTGCTTAACAGATTGAGACTTGGATTGACAGCCAAGATATTGTAGACAGATTGTGGGCATAAAACAAAATAACTTCCCATATCTATAATTCTGTATTAATTATATTTTAGGCTTGTAAGATGCACTCATATTTCAGCAGGGAATGTTTAGGAAAAATCCTTTGAGTGTACTGACAATTTCGTGCCCTTAATCACCTCACACTGCTTACGATCATGCAGGAAGTCTCCGATCCATGCTAGGACACTTCCCCAAATCCTGTATCGTTCCAATCTAATTCTCAGCCTTTCATGAGGTATGCTTTCGAAAGCCTTGGCAAAATCTATATAATATATATATATATATATATATATATATATATATATAAACAGGAGCGTCCCGGCATAAAACCGTGTTGGCAATCCTTTACAAGATGTTCCATCATGGCATGTCTTATAATGCTCTCAAGTACAGTACTTTACATACTATTCTGGTCAGGCTCACTGGTCTATAATTATTCGTGGAGTGATCACTCTTCTTGAAAATCTGACTCATAGCCATTTTCCAATCACAGTCTTCTGATTCCAAAACTTAAAATCCTAAAAATCGCTGGATAACCACAACACTAATTTTACATATGTTAGGTTCGGTTTTGTTAGGTTTGGTGTGATTAGCAGTAGAAATGAAGGTCAGATTTGTTCAAAGCATAAAAAATCGGAAAATATAATTTCAACTTAAAATTTTTTTCAAAAACGAAGATTTTCATTTTTGTTTATTTTCTCTTTAAGTAATCATGAGCGGGCAAAATGCCATAGAACAAACGATAATTTTACCAATGTTCTGGCTTGGCCAGCATACCCTCCTCGTTAGTTATAAGGTCCAGAGGCTTGGATGTTTGCTCTCCTCTGTAATGAGTCGTGTCTTTAACATTTTGGAACATTTTTTTAGTTTAACAAATTTATTGGCAGAGCTTGTAGTACAGTTTGCCTATTCTGAGTAATTCAGTCAGGTCTTGACACTGAGGGTGGTATCACTTCTCACTGCCACGCAGGACAGAGGTTCATACACAAAGAAATACATCATATTCACGCAGGACAGAGGTTCATACACAAAGAAATACATCATATTCATTAACAGCTATAAATGTATAGAGGTCAGATTCATATGGGTAATGTTACTGTTCACTGCCATGCAGGACAGAGGTTCGTACACAAAGAGATGCATCATATTCATTGACACTATATATAGGTCAGATTCATGTGGGTAATGCCACTGTTCACTGCCATGCAGGACAGAGGTTCGTACACAAAGAAGGAAATACATCATATTCATTAGCAGTATATATAGGTCAGTGGATCACATACATTGGAGTCATATTCTAATTGAAGACTAATCAGTGTGGGCTAGCAAATTTGGGATAAACAGCAAGAATGTCCTCAAGCACACCTGATTCAATGAAGTAATTACATAGTTCAAAATACAATAAGTCAGGTGGCCTGAAGTCTTTGAATATGTCACAATCAATAATATAGTGTTCAAGTGTATGCTTTAAAGGTTTATCACAAAGTTTACATGCTGAGTGTTCCGGTATGGGTACAGCGTTACTAACTTGCCAGATGTGTCTGTATCCTAGCCTAATTCTGGCCACGACTACATCACATTGTCTGGTTCTGTCCTTATGCTGGCCATACCGGTACCTCTTGTCACAAAATTTGTCATATTTACTAATGCTACAACTGTCAGGTCTCTCTGCATTTCTCACTTCGGGTCCAACTAATTACCCAAATGTAGCCGCAATGAAGTCAAATAATGGTCCTACATGAATAAATCGGACTGCCAATCACTTCTCGACTAGTATTTGGTGTCACAAAGTCACAAAAAATTGGAAAACGTAATTTAATCTGAGTTAATAGATCGCGTGCATGTACCGAGGGAGCGAGTAATTACCCAAATGTAGCCGCAATGAAGTCAAATGATGGTCCTACAAGAATAAATCGGACTGCCAATCACTTCTCGACTGGTATTTGGTGGCACGAAGTCACAAAAAATTGGTAAACTTAATTTAATCTGAGTTAATAGATCGAGTGCATGTACCTAACCTAACCTAACCTAACCTAACCTAACCTCGACTAGTATTTGGTGTCACGAAGCCACAAAAAATTGGTAAACTTAATTTAATCTGAGTTAATAGATCGAGTGCATGTACCTAACACACCTCAGATTAAAGTAAGTTTTCCAATTTTTTGTGACTGTGACACCAAATACGGTCAACATTTTCTTTCTTACACGCCTCATTGGCCAGTCTATCAGCAGAAAATTGTCTCAGTTTCTACAAAAAGAGTAGCGGGATTATTTAGGTCATTTGGCGTGGTTTCATTTCTCCAGTCGATGTGGCCATAGTTAAAATTCCCCATGACATGGAGGTGGCTGGGAGTAGGGATGTCTATTAAGGCGTTGTCTATTAAGTTTTTTAAGTTCCTTTAGTTTAATAAGCTACAGTTTGGTGATCTATAGATACACCCCACAATAAGTAAGTCTCTCCCCTTTAACTTAATTTGACATCACTTTGATTCTTCAAAAACATCCTCCCTCTGTAAAATCTCCAGGCTGCTGTTATACAGTACTGGTTTAGATTCATTGTTAGGATAGAATATTAAGAACAAATATCAGAATAAAGGTTAGATGGCTTTTTCACAGAATAAATAAAAATAAGACGTTACATACCTACTCTTATCCATTTACCTCTTACCATCTCAATGTAATACCTGATTTTCTCTCTTTTTAATATTTATTCCAGCGAGTACCGTTTTTATTTATAATCTAGAATGCATCCACTTTTAAATATAGTCCAACACTCATTATTCAATTTGAATTAAACTAATTTAATTACGAGTTAAGGAAAGTTGTGGTTCGGGTAATGGGTTGAGTGGTAGAGTCAGTCAGCGCCTCGGTCAGTGTGTTGAACCAGCGCGTCGGTCAGTGTAGTGTTGGTAAACATGGCGAACCGCACGGTGAAGGATGCTCAGTCAATTCATGGCACTAATCCTCAGTATTTAGTGGAGAAAATTATAAGAACCAGAATATACGACTCCAGGTATTGGAAGGAAGAATGTTTTGCCTTATCAGGTGAGTTAGGAAATTGTGACCCTCGTAAAAAATTAGGTTCTCCAACTTAGCTTGAGAGGTCGAGGTAACTTGATGTCTTGGCATTTCGGGTTTATTACAGTTGGTAATTATATAGGACTAACCCGCGAGCCAAATAGATTGAAAACTATTACAAAACGTCTGATTTTCAGTGTTAAATTGAAGTGGACACTGTTGTAGTTTGTGGAAATATGTTAAAAATTTATATTTTTTAAATAAACGCTACTTTACATTATTGGGTATGAAGAACAGACCTAACCAACCAAACCAAACAAACCTACCTATTACTTAACTTCTCCGGTATATTAAACAGAAAGAACTTACTTTGATATGGTGAAATTTGAGACACTGGACGTGAGATGATATGGCTGCATCGGCACATTGCAGCCCTAGCGGGTTAGACCTATACATTATCCTTACAGTTTCAGCCACAACACAGTTAGAGCAATTTTGTGGGTCAATTTTCATTAATGCACCGGTCTTTGTTTGGATATTAAAAATATGTTTTCCATTGTTATTTGATGAGTTTAGAACGAATTTGATATTCATTTCAGCAGGAAATCAATAGTTTTTTTTAGTTTCCTCCCCCCCTACCCTACCAATAAATCTTAAAGAAAATGTATTTTTTTAGTAAATCACAAATAAAAAGCAACAAACCAGCAAACCCAAACCTAACCTAACCTAACATTATTTTTCAGATGAAACTGCAATTTACATAAAATAATCTCTATCATAATGTCGGCACAGCTCTTCCCACCTGTTCAGCCATATCTGGTTATTCTGATACTGAAAAATCAAATCTCCGCTCCCGACGCACTGTTCATTGGCTAAGACATAAGAACATAAGAATGGAGGAAACTGTAGCGGGCCTATTGGCCCATACTGGGCAGTCCCATTTACACCCAGCCCCTATTGCTCATAAATCCAACCAACCTATGTTTGAAGCTATCCAGTGTATTCGAGTTAGTGATGATATTTGGTAACTTGTTCCTGTCGTCCACTACTCTATTTCCAAACCAATGTTTACCTATTTCGCGCCTAAATCTAAATTTGTCTAATTTAAAACCATTGTTACGAGTTTGCTCCTGGTTGGAAAGTTGAGTACCTTTGTAATGTCCCCTTTGTTTAGCCCTGACTTCCATTTGTACACCTCGATCATGTCGCCCCTCACTCTACGTCTCTCGAGGGAGTGCAAATTAAGATGCTTTAACCTGCTTAAGAAGCCAACACGAGGGTAAGGAGCATTGCGTGATGGGTGGTCAGACCTTCTCTGTGAGATTTAAACAACAAATGGCGACACTTGTGACTGACCAAATCTAATACAGTAATATTGAAAAATTAATATCTCAGTTATCCTTAATATCCGGCAGAAATATCACAAAAGAAAAAGGTCTTACAATTGTGTAAAAATTGCAAAAAAACATATTAATAACAGCGAGAGAAATACCGGTGCAAGATCGAATATTCACCATTTTGTGTTTCCCATTCTGTAGTTATATCTTGAGTATATATTTGGTAAGATTGCAGATTACAGCTACCGAAGAATTTGATAAAAAAAATTGTTTTCTGATGGTTTTTGATGCTTTTATCGGAAATCACTCGCTTTGAATTTAGCCCCCCTCATAATAGTTCTATCGATTGCGTGCTCTGAATTCCTGGTACTCTGTGCTAAGTTTAGTCTGTGGCATTTTATAAGATAACAACTTTAAACCTAAATCTACCTTCACCCAGCCTGGGAGGGAGGGAGGGAGGGAGGGAGGGAAGTTAAGTGTCCTCTCATAATTTTGTCATGACTAAAGGAGGTGCCGGACCATCAGTTCCCGGATAACCAGTGGTGTACCTGTATGTATATAATTTTAGATCCATGTGCCTCAAATAAAGTTTTAATAAAAAAAGCCTCAAAAAGCCTGACGGTTAATACCATTGTTGACATCGGCCCATCCTATGTGAGGCCAAGATTACCGAAATGGGCCGAATTCACTTGTATCCCCTAAAAACCTCAATATTCAGTTAGGTGGTGGCAACTGCTAAATATTAACCATATCTTGTCAATAGAAACAACCTTTTCTAATACCACTTCCGTTGCAAATGGATTTTAACCGAGAAAGTAAATTCACGTAAGACATTAACATAAATCTGCAGTCACTGCGTGTCGTCCGTTTTTTTACAGACGACATGTTCAATCTGAGCCATATTGCACTGTACTGTACTGTACTGTACGGTCATTTTTCGTTAACCACCCATCACCTTTTTATGATTTATTTCTCATACCGTTTAATAGATATCTTCGAGAAATGAAGGAATATACTTGAATTTAGTGAGGCATTACAAAAATAAACGCGAAATTCGCGATTTATTTGTTGTAATAATCACAAATTTTTCTAAGTCCCAATTTGATGTTATGGTGACACTCAACGTCGCTCTTGTTCGTTCATTGGGGATCCGGGGGGTAAAGCCCCCTGGCTAAATAGGGCGTTTTTATTTTTTTACCTTACTATGACTTAACCTAACCTAACCTTCTTAATCATAACCTAACCTAAACAGTCGAACGTGTTGTCACACCTGAAGTCACATAGTGGCTGGTGCGGAGAATGATCGAGAGTTCAATAACTTTCCTCGCTGACAAGAACTAACTTCCATAACAAAATTTTCTTTTGGGTATTAATCAATTCCACAATTTTGGTTTCAGTTTCCACAATACAGTATTTGTTGCTTTTCAATGAAAAACGATCGTATAATGTACAAAAACATAATTTTTTTTTTACTTCATGATTTTCAACTTGGAAGTTGAAAAAACAAATTTGTTAGCATTTCCACAAAATTAAAAGACTGTCCATTGCATTAAGCATCAAATATTGAGTAAAATGAAATCAAAATATTCTAACAAACTGGCAACAGTTAAAATGCAAATATTAGTCTACATTTAGGTGAAGTTCAAGTTTAGGAAGGTTAGTTTAGCTGCTATTTTTTTTTTACGATAAATTATATAACAGCATTTATGACACCATAGCTCTGTTTATACCTGGGCTGTTGTTATGCTGTAGATGTGAACCAGCCAAGCTAACCTAATTTACCTAATACAATACTGTACAGTATTACATACGGTAATAATCTTAAAGTATGTTATGTTAAAGTTAACTAAGGTTTGGTAAGATAGTTGAGTTTGGTTAATTTGTTTTGCCTGTTTTGATAGAAATGCATAAATTACAATTCCCGAGGTGGGTACATGAAGTTCTTATGGTAAGGAACAAATATTTCTTTTATACATTTTAGTTCTCACTGATCTCTGATTTATTTATTTGCCAACTGACTATTGGAAGTGCCCCAAAATGTAACAATTAAAGAACACACTTCTTTATAAGTTGGCATTTTTCATATCTGAAAATTTGTAATTTTCATTTCAGCGGAATTACTAGTGGACAAGGCGATGGCTTTGAGATGTATTGGTGGAGTATATGGTGGCAACATCAAGCCAACACCCTTCCTCTGTCTTGTGCTGAAGATGCTGCAAATTCAACCTGAGAAGGACATTATCATTGAATTTATCAAACAAGATGAGTTTAAGTATGCTTTTTTTTTTTTTTTTACATTTTGTGTAAACTTGTCAATCTTGCTTTGATTTGTTTCATAGTAAAATTACAGTTATGATCTACCCGTTAAATAATACAGTACAGTAGCTATAAATTTATCAAAAGTCTTGTAGGAAGTAAAATTGAACATTTGATATAACCATTGATAATACTGTACCTACTGTAGATTGGTTTAAGGGATGAGAAGAGCTGCAGCCTATGGTATACACTGTTATTCTCTGAAAAGGGGATTTGCATATACAGTACAATACTGTACTGTATAGCCCTAAAGGTGGGTACAGTGCAGTACAGTATTTAGCAATTTTGAAAAAATTATCTAGAAAATTGAAGGAGTACTTTCTGTGTCACTGTAGATATTTTTGTTGTTATTGTATAGTTTTAAAGACAAAGGTGATGTACAAATAGATACCCGACATCTTAGAACCACTAACAGATGACAGAGTATATCAGGATAATACAAACTCAAGAAGTGGATACAGTCTTACTCCAGAGTTGATAATGTTATATTTTTTTTGTCAGGTATGTTCGTGGGTTGGGAGCATTTTATCTGAGGTTGGTGTATGGTTCTTTAGATTGCTACAAGTACCTTGAACCCCTACTCAATGACTATAGAAAACTACGTCTTATGGATCGTTCTGGCCAGTATCAACTTGCTCACATGGATGAATTTATTGATAGTTTACTGCGAGACGAGCGTTCCTGTGATATAATTCTACCCAGAGTTCAAAAAAGGTAAGTTTTTAAGGATTTTCTAAGACTTTTTGGGTCCTCTAAACTGTTGATGTAAGTACATACAGTAATTATTGTATCTGTATATAATATTTAAGTCATATAATAAAGTGAACAGTCAAAGTTTAAGAACTTATAGCTTATATGGGTGTGCATAGGAGCTTATCAGTGCTAAAGGCATTTCTCTATTGGGAATCATGCATATATAAATTTAATTAGTGTTATTCATGAATGAATTTAAGTAGAGTATGAATTGTAACAAAGATGTGTATTGTAATGTTACCATGATTGTTCAGTATATGAGTATCATACATATATAAATTAGGCATCACATTTTGAACCTTAGAATATGATTTATTTAACCAATATTCTTTAATGCAGATGGGTTCATGAAGCTAACAATGAACTTGAGGGTCGGGTGTCCCTGTTGGACGATGATCTGGATGACCTGGAAAGTGAGAGTGATGAGGAGGAGCTTCTTCCACCACCAAGGCCAAGGAATGACCCAGTTGAACCAATGCGGACAGCACCTAGGTAATTGTGTGCATTTACCACATTCTTCTGTTTGATGTAGATATCAGTCTCATATGCTTCTCGGCTCGTGTTCATTTCTAAAGTTGAATACTCTGAACACATGCGTTTAAAAAGGTACATATGGCATTTATTCTGTATAACAATCAAATGTATACAGGTAACCCTGAGATACTGTATCCCGATATACAATATTTCACTTTAACGACGGTTATAAATTAACACTATCTTGCTCTATAGAGTCTATACGATCAAAACAACTTGCTTTAAAGATATCCATCGAATAGCCATTGATATCCCTTGGTCAGAATTTTTTTCTCTAGTGCAAACCATGGGTTGTTTTTACTCAAATTGATCGCCGTCTTGCAAGAATTCCAGCAATGCAAGTTATATTTTTTCTACATCAAGGCAGTAACATTTTATAAGGAAACAATATTTAACCCTATGCACCACACAGCTCCCTCTACCTTCACTTGTGAGTCTACCCACACGCCGCCACATGGCCAACCCATGCATTACAGCCCTGTGTCTGGTTCTTTGTCAATTGCAAACCTGCTAGTAAACCCGCCATCGCATGGTTCCACAATTATCGGCCAACATCGTACATTGTACCTATCATCATTTTTTTTCTTATATAATGAGAGGACAGCACTAACATTTAGATTGAACTGTGTTATGGTGACTGAAGTGATATTTTCTGTGTTTTTGTGACTGACTGTTGTTTTGAAAATGTGAGCACTGTCAGCTATCATTGTTTTTGTTATCATCGTTCGCTCTGTTTTTGTGACAAGTGCTTTTGCTCTGTTTTTGTGACTGTGAAGTGAGCAGTGTAACTTTGAAAATGTCTGGGATTAAGGCCAAGGCATCCAAGACAACCGTGAATCTTGACATTGTTAAGCAGCATAAGACTTAACAGAGGCTGTGTGGGAGTCAGAGTGACTTCTCCACTCCACCTACAAGAGTCCCCTTAGCCTTGAAGGGGACATGTGATGATGACCAGGCTTATCCAATATGATATGGTGAGTGTTGTTTAATTATTTTGTACTGATAGTAGTAGTGTAGGAAATTTTTTGTCGGTGATACATGTGTGTTTGGGGACTGGCTGGGAATGTATCCCATTGAACCCCATGTTATAATGCTCCATATTTACAATATTTCACCTAGCGATGGGTTTTCAGGATGGTAACCCCATCGTATCTCGGGGGTTACCTGTATATAAAAACTACCTACTATGACCAGAAGGTTGTTTTGGTCTTTTTGTGGCCAGCTGTCATTCTCTAGGTGGGTTGAATATACAGCTCCTCCCCGACTTACAACCTACTCGACTTACGACCACCCGCACTTACGACCTGCCGCAGTCGTACCAAAAATTTGGTAAAATTATGTATTTTCGAGTCCCAAAGTCAGTACACAGAAATTTTCGTTTGTAATTCACCTTAAAATGGCTGGCAAGCTTAAAAGTGAGAGTTTTGTGGTACTGAGAAGAAAAAGAGACACCCATTTTAGATTTTCTATGTATTATTTAAGCATTTCCGACTTACAACCTGGATTTGGGTCCCTAACCCCGTCGTAAGTCGGGGAGGAGCTCCTGTATAAAAATAGACAGTTAAAAGCCCAAGGTTTATTCCCCTTAGACAAAGAAGAAAGAGATTATTGAGCACTGATGTTACAGAAACATTGTGTATTTTCTGAGTCAGTTTTCCACTCACAGGAAAAAGTGAATGACTCATAGTTGTAATCTGTTACATGAATGAACCACATTTCTTAAAATTTTATATAAAGTTCACATAGTTCAAAGGCATTTGTCTATACTGAATCAAGATGGATTGACCTTTAAGCGATAAGTACTGGTATTACCTCATAGTTCATATGCAATAAAGGTTCCAGAAGAAAATGATTTCATAATCAATTCTCCATTTTGTGAAGCTATTGTTATATGTTTAGAATATTATTTATCTTACAGTATTGAAATAGGAGTTTTATCTGTACAATCCTATGAAGAATGTTATTAATTATATTAAAATTACCTTATATTAGATGTTGTATTACACTTTCATTGAAAAATATATTTTTTTTCTTAGCAGGGATGACCGCCACGGAAGAGGCCACTCTCCTTCAAGACGTTCTCCCCAGAGGGATATGAGAAATGACAGAGAAAGAGAAAAGAGGTTGGGTTTATATCATGATAATGGTATTTGTGTAGGTTTTGTTATTAATGGACTTGAAAAGGTGTTGACTGACTCATGTTGATTTAAGGTTTAAACAGAGATAAAGCCTTTAGGTTGCAGATACTTGTATTAGTGTTCATAACCTCGTTGTGTTGGTATTAATATATTGCCATCTGTTTTCTTTTTTATTACAGGCATCGCAGTAGAAGTCGTTCACGGGAGAGAGATCGAGGCATGGAAAGAGATAGAGGAATGGACAGAATAGAACGTGATAGAGGAATGGAGCGAGATAGAGGAATAGAAAGAGAAAGAGGGATGGATAGAGATAGAATGGATAGAGAGAGGGGGATGGAAAGAATGGAAAGAGACAGAGGAATGGAAAGAATGGATAGAGACAGAGGGATGGAAAGAATGGAAAGAGACAGAGGGATGGAAAGAATGGAAAGAGACAGAGGGATGGAAAGAGAAAGAGCTATGGAACGAGATAGGGGAATGGAACGTGAGAGAGGCATGGAAAGGGAGAGAAAGAGACATCGCAGCAGGTCAAGAGAAAAGCGCCACCGATCTAGATCGCGATCCCCTGGTTAGTATTACATTGTGTATGTTACCAATATTCAATTGGCCATCTCTTGTTTTCCAGCTGGTATTCTTCATGTGCATCCATGCCCAAAATATATCTTTTTTTATGCTTTTCCACCTCACTTTAGGTCATCTCCCTTTCTCTACTGTTATTCTCTACTCTTATCCTTCATAAACTTCTTTATTTTCTTCATATTTTTTCTTGAATCAAAACCTTTTCATACAATAAAGATTGGTAGCTGGACAGTTGCTCATTCCCTGATTTTTAGTATTCCACAGCTAGTAGGTCACCCCTTTCTACCTCTATGTCAATGTGGTGGTACACTATTTAATTTTTCAGAATTATAGTCAATATTTTGGACTAATTAGAGTGCGTAAAAACAAAGAGGGCTGCTCTATGCATGTTGTGAGTGTTTGGACTCGTGTCTTTTGACTACTTTTGTTTATTGTTTTTTTTCCCTGGTGCTCCAAAAAGGAAGCTAGAACACTATAATGAAACAGCACTATACAGCGGGGTATTACTGTATATGATGATGATGATGATGACTGTACCTTTTGCTAACTTGATTCCAATGTTTATACATTTTCTATGTGATGGTATTTACAAAATTATTTTTAGGTCATCATCTTCACCACCATCGAGATCGAGGTCGTGGAGGAGAAAAGGAACGTGACCATCGTCATGGAGAGCGTGCAGAGAGAGATCATGGCAAAGAAAGAAACAGAGATCACCGAGAAAGGGACCGTGATCGTGGAGATCGCAAAGAAAAGCATCATCGTAGTGGACGCAGTAAACGAGATAACATGATGGGGATGAGTAGGGAAGATTTGGAGATTGCAGAAGCTAATGCCCTTAGGGCTCGATTAGGTATGCCACCTCTCCGTCCATAGACAGAAAAACACAATTTCTTCCCAAATTGTTCTTGACATTTTTTCAAGTGTTTCTTCATTTGAAAGGAGAAAATTGTGATGATGATAAATAGTTCAGTGTTTACCATGTCCATGATTATTTAGATACAAATTTTTTTCATTAAAATTTTTGTAAAACAACTTGTGTGTCTGATTACTACTGGCTGTTTGTACAGATTTGTAAAAGTAATTTATAGGCTGCTTAATATAGTTACTGTCTTGGGGATTTTTTGGGGGTTATACCCTTCACCAGGCTGCTTCTCCTAGTACAGGCTCCTAATAAGGGCATTCTGTATCCTTGGACAATTCCCAATCATTCAGCCTGGGGTGATAAACAGTACTGTATAAACCAAAAGGATACACCAATCATATCCACCACCAGCCCAAAATGTGGGGATTTAGTGTAACAGCTATCCATTAGAAAGAGGAGGCCTTAATTATACACTTCTCAGTAAAGTTATGGCTTTGCCTCTTGTTCAGAACCCTAAAAATTTGCAGTATCTGGTCAAGTACCATTACAAGTCACTTTCTGTAAACTGGCTTACCCACTAAATAGCCAAATTCTCCCAAAAAGTAAGGTGTCTGATCCAAAGTAGACATCTTAGGGCAATGGTCCCCAACCCTTTGTAGGCTCTGGGCCACATTTATCAGTCTCTCCTCGACTTACGACGGGGTTCCATCCCGTCGACCAGGTCGTAAGTCGAAAAGGCAAAAATAATACATAGAAACTCTAAAATGGGTGTCTCTTTTTCTTCTCAGCAACACGAGAACTCACTTTTACGCTTGCTAGCCATTTTAAAGGGAATAACAAACAAAAATTTTGTCAGTACACAGCACGATCACTAAAGTCGGGACTCGAAAATACGTTGTGAAAAATATTTTATACAACCATGGCCGTCATAATTCGAGGAAAGACGGAGGGCGCCAAAACTTTGGATCTACATAAGAAGAAAAAATCTCATACTGTACAGTTATTTGCAGTTTTACACGTCAACCTGTTACCATTTACGTGTACATACTTTTTACATTTACTCTTGGGCAGGACATGTGTGTTTACCCCAGTGAGAAGGGTGGCTCTCTCTCTCTGGGCCTGGTCTGGGGTAAATACCCACGTCCTGTACACGACAGTTGTATCAAATTATTACTTATTTTCATTAATTTCACTCTTACAAAAAATCCCAAATAATTCAAAATTTTCTAATAAACCCTTGTGGGCTCCATAATATGGTTCCATGAACTGCAGGTTGGGGACCACTGCCTTATGGACTACCTGGTGTTATCAGTTTAATGACTTATTAATTTTTTTCATTGTGTAGGGTTTATTGTCATGTTTACTGATCTTTCTGAGACTGGATTAACCATCTTCCTGGGATGGTTAGTTTTATGGCCCCATGTTTAGGGACATGAAATATCACTGGCACAGTACCTCAGGTATGGTTATTTGCATGAGTAGCAGGCTTAATCCCAGTGCTTGATGACCCCAGAAAAACCACAAGCTGGTTGCTGGCTTGGGGTCACTGGGTTACCAAGCTCATTTGAGTTGCGAATCTTCATGTTAGACCTTACCCAAGTCAATAGGGAACTGGACACACTTGCATTTGATACTCATGATTAAATCATTCATAAACACAGCACTTGTGTCTCGACCTGCAGCCATTTACTCCTTAAGATCTATGCTGGGGGTTGGAATGGGCTTTTTAATTAGTTTGAGCTCTGCAGTGGTTGACAATGCTTATTGTTATATGTTTCTTTGAAGATGAGCAAAAGGTGTAGTACTTTTAGGAATCTTAAGGTTGTGAACTGCAAAATATTAGTTTATACAAAAGCATGTAAACTATGATTTTTTTCAAGAAGTGATCAGCAAGGGGGGAGACACCTTAAAGGGAAGAAATTGTACTGAATGCCCAAAGTTTCCCTGTATGTTTTGAGTTGTTTGTTCAAGTCTGTCTGATTGAATAGGGGGTCCCATCCTTCATGTATGTAATCAGAAGCCTGTCCTTTACTCTGGTGAGATTTAGAACAGGGAAGACTTCATGTATGTCCTTGTTCTCACATAGAAGCTCCAGTTTCAAATTGTTCAGGTGTTTTTGGTATAACCAAGCTTTTAGGGGAAGTTATATTTTGATGGTGATGGCATTTCTTAACTCCTAATGACCTATACAGTTCATAGGTGGTTCAGGCATCAGAAGCAGTTTCATCTGACTCGCTTTTAAAGGGCTCTCTACAGTTAACGTTTGTGGGGGTGTTATTACTGAAGGTATATGATGAGGTTTAAAGAGAACACTGGGACTGGATAGTAAGGGAGAGTTGAAAGCTTATATTATGTTCCCAAACCTGTTGGATAGAGAATACAAGAAAGGGCCAATCCTCCTAGGAGTATGTCTGAACTAATCCTGGAGCTTTTTGGAACCATCTCCTTTTTTCATGACAGGCTGACTTTAGAATTACAGTACAAGAAGCTGGTTGTCGAAGGGTATACAGCAAGACAAAAATGGCAAAATTGCTCCTTAAGTCTCTTTTCAGGCAGAGCCTTTCACAGTTGGCTCAGAGACCTACTATCATCCCTGAGTTTCATAGCTCAGCCCCTGTAAAGACTGAAAAAAATAGCAGAATTGGTCCTGAACAAGAGGCAAAGCCATAGCTTTTGGCATAAATTGTACCGATTGGTTGGAAATGGATACCATAGGGCCTCTGGTCTCTCAAGGACAACTGTTGCCAATGGTGTAGGGAGGTAGGGTTTATTGGTGTACCCTTAGGGTTAGCATATCACTCGGAGCTGAATAACGGGTTTGTTTATCCAAAGACACAGAATGCACCACTGATAGTTTGTATGTATGGAAATCACCTGGCTGTAGGTTCTAACAGAAAAAGGATGTCAGGATTAATCTTACCACTTTTCTATACATTTTTTTAGGAATCAATGTGGAATGTGAAGGAGTGTCACCACTTATTAACTTTCAGTGGATGCAAGTCTTACTCTTCTGTCACTTCTATTTTTTAAAGGAAGTATGGAGAGAGTAAAGGTAAATAATTAAATTGTATCTTTGTTTGGATCAAGCTCAATACTGAGTTTACTAGATTTACTCATACATTTCTTTTCACATGTTTGCCCTGTCAGTTGATTGTACGGTTATAAATAAAACTTGAATTATCTTGTAGAAACTGATTGTATACAATAAAAAGTTCTAAATTTTGTCAATGATATAAGATTGAGTATCTATCTTCATTCAAACCCATTTTAAAGTGTAAACAAATCATATTCCTTAGTTGCAGTAAATTCATGTGTAATTCATCAGTCAGTCTTAAGTATGGCAAATTAAACTGAAGAAATGTAATTAAACTTTAAGCCACTAGTAAGTGATCCTACAAACTAGTTTGGCATTTACAAAAGTATAACATATTATAAATCTCATTGAGACTCTTGAGTGACCTGTCAGAAAGACCACAGCCAAGCACCACTGGTTAAGGTCGCAGCACTTCCCTCCAAACATGTTGCCCGTTGGCCAAAACGCCCAACAAGCAGCAGGATTTTGGCTGTTGCTAGAAATGGACAATGATTTAGCAGGGATCTTTGCTGGCCGGAGTAGTGCTCAAATGAACTTCATATAATTTCAAGTAAAAATTGAAATAAATCATGAAACAATGATAATTTAAAATATAACACATAAGCGGTGACATATTTATATTTATTTGTCACTTAAATTTTTTTCAATTAGTATTATTAAATCATTATTCAGGGTCCTCTTTGACCAGCCAGCCACCGCCACTTTTAAAGAAACTTCATGATGCACACATTAGTCTTTTCTTTAGCTTTTGCAGATGCCTCACTTGCTTCAACAATTGAAGAACTATAGCACAGATGCGCCAACAAAACATCTCAGTGTGACGCAAAAGTCTCTTTGTTTTGCTGGCCGTGTTTGCCAAACACGTTTAGAGGAAAGTGCCCAGTGTGCCGTCTTTAGAGTGTAGGTCCTCATTGCTTCCTCAGCATTTGCACTATTGACTCCTCACTGAACCCCAGCCAACACACCATAGACACCTGAAGGCATCCAATACAGTTTTATAACCAATTCTTGATTAATCTTGTTTTCTAGCATACAATACTTATTATTTTACAATGAGGCTTGTTTTACCCATTCCCCTCCATCTGCTTGGGAGTAGCAGCTTGTGGAAATAGACATAGTGACATTTAATTTCTATTAAGTTTCTCCAAATTTTCCCATTTCACACTTAATATCCTGTATAAAGATCCCACCATAAACAATTAAAATTGCACAACTGGCAGTACTGTACATTAAATATTGCCTATGTTTTGGGCAATAACTATGGGCCTCGTAGACACAACAGGTACTGTATTGTATAACAGCAGTATAACATCACCAACACCAGTACCATACAGCATTATCAACACCAGAACAATACAGCATTATCAACACCAGTACAGTACAATCCACAACAGTATTGTATAACAGCAGCATAACATCACCAACACCAGTACAGGACAGCATTATCAACAAGAGGTCAGGGATGCACTAACGTCTGACTTAAGTCTGGTGTAATAGCTCACTAGCTCAAAATTTTAAGTGAGGGCAAAGTAAAAACTTAGTTCACATCCTGAAAAAAAAATTATAATTATCATAGCCCAAGACAGTCGTGGCTAAGACTGTATTCTACTGCATCAGCTGATATTCGTCAACTAATCTGAGTGCGCGTTACAAACATTTCAGCCAATCGCAGGGCAGATACTAATGTAAACACCAAACGCAGATGGGAGACGAAATGAAAGCTTCAAGCGACATTCAACACAATGCTACAGCCACACATCAAGAACAATGGAGTCACAAAATAAGAAAGCAAAGCTCCAAATTTCATCACCAACGAGCTTTATTCACTGGTAAATGAAGCATGCAAGAGGAAACGGGTTACACAGCAAATATTTTCCTATGATGGCAAAATCAACACGAAAAAATGCATTGGATATAATTGCCAACAGTGTCACCAACGTGGCAGAGATCTACTGAACCGGTGTGGAGTGTAGAAAGATCTTAGGTCAACGATGAAGCAGAAGGAAGCAAGGAGGAGACAAGCAATGAAACAAACCGGTAAGATCACTGTGTTTCATATATTTTGGTTGTTTATACACTGAACCAAAGTGAGGTTAGGGTAGCCTCAAAGATGTTTAGTTAGGGGTCAGTCAGTATTTTTTTAAAGATAAGCTAGTTTATCTAATACATTTCGTGTAATAGTGGCTGCTAGGGTTAATCGTTTTTATTCCAATAGGTATTTTGGATTTTTTTACCATATCACTAGGATTCTTTTTTAGGTTAGGTCAAGTTCAGGTCAATCAAAGCAATTACACTAGAAAAATAATATCTTATATCATTTGGCGAAATTAGGGTAAAAACGAATTTTTACCTCTGTTAGTGTTGTCATAAGACGAATTATGGTAAATATTAAGAAGTTGCCAACACCTACTTATATATTGAGTCTTATATAGGGAAAAGATACACTCTTAGATATGAAAATTCAGGTTAGGTTAGCTTAGGCGAGGTTAACATTTCGGTGTTGAACATTAAAAGTTTAAAAGGGATATAATTAAATAATGTTTCCCAAAAAAGAATCATTTTTTTACGGTAATCAGCATAAAAATCTACAATATAAAAAAAAATTTAGTGCTGTACATGAAACCAAAAGATCCGAGTTTCCATGGGAAATTTAATATATATATATATATACTGGGCTACCTACATCCTCATGTTCAAGCATTTCCAAAAGAGGAATCCATCTTTTGACACAGTAATTGTGTTGTAAACAGCATCACTGACTGCTATTCTGGCACATTTTACTGGTTCATACTGTAAGGATTCTCCTGAATGGTGTAAGTTGGGTTAAGGTTAAGAAAGAATACGGTAGGATAGGCTAAGTTTGCGTTAGGTTACATTAGGATAAGTCACGTTAGGTTAGGATTAATTAAAGCAACCGTCATTATGGTGTGTGTTGTAAGATCTCTGGGTTACATGACCTATTACAGGATGCAGTTCATAGTTCATCTTACTGCCTTCATCCTTACTGGCGTTCAACTTCACTGGCGTTCATCGTCAACGACGTTTATCTCTACTGGCATTCAAATTTACTGACGTTCATATTATGGCATTAATCTCCCCTAGCGTTCATCTTTACTGGCATTTAGGTCACAAAAATTGCGGATCACTTTCTGCCACATTTACACACAATTGCAGGGTCTCAATTGTTTCTCTTTGACAACACAACATACATACTGTATATCGCTTTTCACTATTTTTTTAATTTTTGTATTTATATATGGTCCTCTATTATTATTATTATTATTATTATTATTATTATTTAACATTGTTTTAATTTTTTTATTAATTATTGTTATTGTTATTATTATTATTATTATTATTATTATTATTATTATTATTATTATTTATTTATTATTATTATCTCGCCCCCAGGCCCTGGTCTGTTAATCCGTAAAAAAAATACACATTCACAGTCGCTCACAACCGTGCTATTGGCACTAGTCGCGACCTAATGTACTGTAGGTGCATCCTCTTGCATTTCGTAATGCTGAATCTCAGCAATTATTAAATTAAACTTACTGGAAAGAGCAATCGATGAGAACACCGTGCTCACATCTGAGGGTTGGCGACCACAGTCCTCTACTCTAAACATACTATATATAGTTACTAAACGATAAATTAGTTATTTTACTGCCATCTATCTTTAAGCTATGTAACTATCGTAAAGGGTTGTCAACTTCAAGTTGTCAGATATGGATTATAAGAAAAATATAGCGATATAGAAAGACATTCTTGGCGTTTCATTTGATGTACTGTGTTGGTATTGGGAGTTGCTGGTCCTGGTAGGGAGAGGGTGGACTCACGGTGGACGCCACACACACCGACGAGTATGAGTGTCTTGGATCAGTTAGCTGCTGCCGATCCTATTCTGGCGCGCTTTATTGAGGGAGAAACACAGAAACAGCGTTTCCAGGTAAGTATATATACTGTATAATAGTATTAATAATCACGGACTGGTGGTATGTTGGCAAAGGTTATTGAGCGAGACGCCAGGGATGGAGATGCGTGTTTATGTGAGGGAGGTACAGAGCGACCAAGGACGTATACTGTATCAAGAGTCTCCGCCCCGGAATATTATACATTATAGACTACAGATCATGTTATTATGAAACTTTGAAATTGTGTCAACAATCCAACCTTTAGATTATCACAAGATGTGCAGTGGTTCACGCATAGATGAATCTTTATTCAATAAAATCGCCTAAAACCAAATCGTCATTCATGTAAGCATGGCATCAACATGAACCAAACATATCAGGTATATAACACGGTATACAAAACAGGTCCATTGGCTGTTCTCAGGCTTGGTACAAGAATATATATATACGTTCAGTGTTTTTTACTCATCTGACAATCATTTCTTGTGCAAATCAGCGGTTTTTGCAAAAATTAGCATTTTCATTGGTAAATTTGCATTGTCACACCCTTCTCTGTTAGAAATTAAAAAATATATTTTTCTAGTGTACAGTATTTCTGTGTGTTTAGACCGAATATGACCTTCATTTCTGGCGGAAATTAGCCAGGTTTTTTATCGATTTTTTTTCGTTGGACGTTTTCCGAAAAAAATCATGGCAAAATACACCAAAAAACACCAGAAAACCAAAAACCAAACCTAACCTAACCTAATTGACTCTCACCATATGATGGAATCACCTATTTCTTACCTTATTGGCCTGGTTCTTGTTCGTCGTTGGATTCTGAGATTCTTACACAACGCCACATATGTTGGTCTTTGCGATATTTACATGCAGTCTTGCTCTTGGTACACTTTACTAAGGTTTCTTTATGAAGGAGATGCAGGAGACACGCAGTGTTGGAGGTGAGGCAGGCGGTAATGGAGGAAGGTTAATGGAAGAAAATAGAGAAATTTTTGGATATGCTATCTCCGTTATTATACATTTCCGCCAGTAATGTAATTGATGAAAATTATCTTATAATTAGACGCCTTATTCGAATATGATAATAGATTAGTGGTAGGAATGAACGGTGTGTAAACGCAATAATACCTTTTTATTTATAACAAACAGCTAATTTGCACAAAAATGGAGGTCAAATTTGAGTAAAACACACCAAAATACAAAAAATTAAACCCTATTCTCATACAAAAGTAACCAACCTACCTAACCTACAAGAAGCAGGAGGAAAGGAGGAGACAACTGACTCCAAAGTGAGGAGTATAACCTCAGGTAAACATGATGGGAACCTGCAGACAGCCAATGGGCGAATATTAACCCAGGTATATAATGTACATACAGTACTGTACAGATATACAAATGTAAGCCTTTAAGGGTAAAATTATCATTTCGGTCATCTACCTAACCTAAACCTAACCCACTGGATGACCGAAACAATACTATCCACTTAAATATATTTGTCTCAGAATAGCTCACCAAAGCCATCATATACTGTAGCACATCAACCTTAAGTAAACATGAAAATAAAAGAGAGACACAAAAGGAGAGGTGTAAACATCCATTGACTGTTCTGAGGTTTTGGTACAAATTTTTTTTTTTTTGTAGTTTTTTTGGTATGTTTTATTAAAATTTGACCTCCATTTCATGTGCAAATTAGCAGTTTTTGCAAAAAAATAACAGTTACATTTTTCAGAGATACTGCTAATTTGCAAATAAATGGAAGTCAGATTTGAGTAAAACCCCCATAAACACACACACACACACACACAACAACAACAACAACAACAATTCTCATACCAAAGGAACCAACCTACTTAACCTAACCTAACCTACAAGGAGGAGGAGGAAAGGTGGAGACAAGTGACTTAGTAAGAAATATAGCCTCAGGTAAACATGGCAGGTACCTGCGGACAGCCAGTGGACGAATATTAACCAGGAGAGGGAATAGATTACTTTCACATTATAAATACTGTACATTATTTGCTAATTTGGGTAATATTTTAATGTTGCTCACCAAAATCAACAAGGATCATCTAGTTTTGGGTAATACTACTGTATACCAAGTGAAAAATCTTAATAGAAGTAAGCTTCGTAATACTGTATTATATTACAGGAAATTTCCATGCAAGATATGTTGATGAAAAACAAACTGACCCTAACCAACCTACCTGCGAATATTGACGACTAACCCATCAACTCGTTATTTGTTTTGATGCTTATATTCTTACTATGTTTTCATCAAAGTTAGGTAAATATTTGTTTAATGGCTATGGTTATGTTAGGTTAAGTTTCAACAGTGTTTTATTCAAATCTGACCTGCAAAAACACACCTAAATATACCAAAAAACCCTGTGCTCATAAAAAAAAGTCACAGCCATTAAACAAATTTTTACTGTGAGTTCTGATATAATTTTTTTTTATTTCTTCCTCTGGTAGATAATTAGCCGACTTGGCGCGCACTACTTTGTCTTTCTTGTCCAATCACCTCTGATTGACGTCAGTCGCCAGGGTATGTTTATGAGCCACACTATCCAGGTGGCTGTTCTAATATCCACAAAAAACATAAAATTACACCATATCATAGTTAGTTCTAATATGGGGGGAGGTCTGGTAAGTGGGGCCTCATGGTAGGCTTAGTTAGGTTTCTTTGGCTAGGTTGGTGAGGTCTTTTAACAATGCTTCTGCTGCTTGTTTTTCTTATCAGCTAAGGTTAGGGTTGATTTAATTTAGAAATAACTAGCCTGTACTTTTATACACATTTGCCCAAATTGTGAGTGTCCACTTGAAAACAGTAAAATTACAGCATTTTTAAAGTCTTTTTCTATGAAAATATACGGCAGGTCAGCCATCAATAATTACTAATTACTAACCTATTAATGTAAAATAGATAAAATAAAATCTTCCAATCCTAGGAAGTTAGGTTAAGTAATTCTGGTTAGTTTATCTTGTTTATGTACTGTAGTGTGTGCTGCGCTAGGAAAGTCTAATATTTGGGTATGAAATACCACTAAGGCAAAATCACCAAACTAATAATTTGAAAATTGCTATAAGTCTGTTATTATTATTAAATATACAGCGAGTCCCCAAGTTATGAATGGGTTATGTCCCTGAACCATGTTCATAAGCCAGAACATTGTTAATTCCATGGGTTATGTCAAGTTAATACTCAACCCTGCTCTCACACAACAACAACAACAACAACAATATCTCTCGTACATAGCAAATATAATGTAAATACCTGTACAAAATACTGTAAATTATGTGATGTTAAACAATATAAAGTACTGTAATATAAAAAAAAATAATTCCTGTATACGGTAGGTATTTGTGATGAATATATTGGGATCCCATTTGTAACTGGGGGACTGCCTGTATGCTTATATAAATAATATAAGCTGCTGCTTTTTTTTCGTGTTTATATGACGGAAGTGTTAATGTCCATGAAAAGCCGTTTGTTTCTTGGTGTGGCTTCACTGACCTAACCTGAGCTGGGATGGGGATTTTTATTTGTTGGTGAGTGGTGTACTGTACACATACAGTATTCTACTCCTGTCTGTTATATTAGTTGGTATTTTATTTATGGCCCATCTAGTGGTTTAGCCCGAGGTTACTAGAAGAAATTAATTGGCAAGTGGTGAAATTACATAAGCTCTGTTTTAAATAAGGTTGGGGAATATGCTGTGTTTTATTGTTTTGGGATTTACCAACCTTGTCACGTCTTTCTTTTTGTGTTTCTATGTATTTTCTCGTACCAATACCTTAAAATTGTGCAGCAACACTAATACATTATGTTGTGATGGCTAATTTACTGTATATACTCAGTACTGTATAGTTATATTTTTATGATCAAATTGTTATGCAAAAAGTATGGGGTCAAACTACATACTGTACGTGTAATATTTTTGAGTGGTTAAAATTCATGCATTTCTGTGGGTCATTTACAGTGAACATTAGCTACCTAGTACATGCTTGTTGTAGGCAAACCTTACCAGTAACCTCCTTTATCCTAGGCTTGCCTACTTTACCCCTAGATTCTTTCTTTTTGTTACTACATGAAGCTCAGTACCTCATTCACTATATATGCCACTTTGAAGTTACAAATACGTGCTACAAATGAAGATTTACAGATAATTTTCCTTTCATTTGCATCCGTTAACATTGCTGGTGGCATTGTTGCCAAGTTCGACTCATCACTGTAGCCACATTCCCCACGCCCTCTTGTTACCAGGCTAAGCTGTGAGCTGTTATGGTTATTTTGCAACTCATAGTATTGGGTAGATATATATATTTTTTTTAACTGTTGCATGTACACACAATCCAACACACAGAATGTAACCCCAAAAATGAAAAAAATCATTATCAAAAGATCAAAAACATGAAGGTAATAAACATTTCTTTGTGTGCGAGAGTTATCACAAGCAGTGGAGTGGAGTTGTGGCAGCATTGTTGCTAGAGGGTAGGCAGGCAGAGACAGTGTCCCAGCTGGGCGGCATTGCTATAGCGAGCATTGAGGGCAGGTGGCCAGCGTGTCTTAAGGCTGTGTGTACACAGTTTGTATTAGTTTTGGTACAGTACCGCAGTACTCCGGAAAATTCTGTGGTCCCATGGGAGCGCTGAATTGGAGAGTTTCAAACTGTATATTTTTGAGGAATTATTTTGTATTTTTGTATGTACCAATGTTGAACTATGCATTATCCTTTGGAGAGAATGTATACGTTTTCTATTATTTTTGAAAAGCAGTTGGGTTGTAGCCGTTACCCTTAAGTCTGGAATACATCTCCACCATGTGAGCTCCCATTGAAGTGGGACTCTCATAAGTACAGCAGCTCCCAGATTTTACTTAGAATTTTTAGGTGTAACAAGCTCCTGCTGGTTATGCTTGTAAGAATCTTTTTTGCTTAGTAGAATGTATATACAATAGAGTAATGTGAATGTTTGTAAAATGGACATGAATTTACATCTATGTATGAAATGGATTTAAATAGGTTTATTTTGTCTTGGGAAACATTCCCTCATTTCATAAAATATTGGTAATTTGCAAAATTAAGATCCCATTCTCCAGTCAGTCCAGTTAAGTGAGAGAGTGTTAATTTGTATTATATTTGAGTGTTATGAACTCTGATAACATATTGAATGGCAGCTGCACAGCCAGTAATACATACAGTGTACAGTGGTCCCTGGTTTTTCACGGAGGTTACATTCCTGATATTGCCGTGAAATAGCAAAACTGCTAATGCGCTTTTCCTAATTTTCACTTGCCATGTGATATTCAATATTATAACCTATAACCTATCCCCGATTACTTTTATGGCTCTAAACATGTTTACAATAATCTGTAAACTTCCCTCCCTCTCACATATCATTAAATAACATGTAAAGACAACTTAATAAAGATGAGAACGAAAATCATTTTAATTTACGTAACTAAAAAAAATACAACGCATAAAGAATACAGTACTGTACTGTACTCACCTGCCCAGTTATGTTGTTCTGTCCTCTTGATCGTGCCAACTCTCCTCTTGGTACATGATGAATGAATGATGATAATTAATCTGTAGCATACTGTTGATTAGTTCATCCCATATGCCCAAGCACATGCTGCATAGCTCATGCTTCTCTTGATGCTTTTCTTTATTATTTCAACTTTCTCGATCTCTTAGCTTGCCATTGTCACCAGTCAGTAGTACAATATACACCGGCTTTCACACAGAAACTCGTTTGCACATGTATTTCAACTGCATACAAAATCAGTAATACCTGTTGCAATGAAAATACGCAAATACAGGTTAACAACCCTTTATCCGAAATTCCGAAAACCGAAAAGCTCTGAAAACCGAAAGATTTTTTTGTGGGGCAATTTTTATTTATTTATTTATTTAATTTTTTTATTTATTTATTTTTTTTTTTTAACAGGGATTAGCCCACCCGGGCATAGATCACTGACCCACATCAGGGCCTGGGGGGCAAAAATGTAATAGTAATAATAATTATAATTATAATGATTATTCATAGTAAATAAAAAATGTAATAAAAATACACCAAAATAAAATAATATGATAACATTAATAATAATAATAATAATAATAATAATAAAATAAAATTAATAAAAATAACAATAATACAGGAGTACTGTAATAATAAAATAATACTAATACTAATAAAGAAATACAAGAATGAAAAAAAGATCAAAAGTGAGAAACACGACCTAGACCTATGAATTATTATTATTTTTATTATATTTTTGCCCCCCAGGCCCTGATGTGGGTCAGTGATCTATGCCCGAGTGGGCTAATACGCATTAAAAAAAAATAATAATAAAATTAAAACAAAATTATAATTCTGAAAACTGAAAAATTCCAAAATTCGAAATGCCTCTGGCCCCAAGGATTTCGGATAAGGGATTGTCAACCTGTAGTCGAAACCGCAAATAAAAAAAGACCCAAAAAACGAGGGTGCACCGTGTCACACATTACAATCATCACTCATGCTAGAATGAGTTATTATTTATTTACTGGCATAGTACAGTACTGTGCTTATATTTAGTTTTGTGGTATACAGATTTATTTTTCAGTACATACTATACTGTATTGTACTGTACAGTACAGAAAATTTTCAGTGCCCAATAATATTTAAAAAAAATCTTCCTTCATTATTACTGTATGCTTAATTTTGAATTTAAATAACATTTTCATTGATATTATAGAATAAATTTCAGACAATAAATTAGGTAAACTCGGGTAAAAAAAATCATTGTCCTAAGGGGTCGGGTGTGATGTTTGCTGTACTGGTACAGTATATGAATTAGGGGATTGGCTCTTAATTTTATAGTCTATATAGAAGTAAGAAGTTTCAATTAGATTTTCTCTCTTAATTTGCAAGCCATTAGATTTAAGACCTTGTAAGAAAATGCGCAGTGACAGCGCATATTGACAGCATCATTGTTTCTCGTCTACAGCTGGAGTAGAAGAAAATTCAACTTTGGTCCACCTCAAGAAAATGGAAGAAACTACAGGGGAATGTACAAACATGGAGGAGGCCAAATCAACTTCCGAGAAGGTTGGAGAAGAGAAAACTTCCCCAAAAGATGTAAGACAACGCAAGAAACTTCTCATATCCAAGATAATGGCACAGATGGAATTCTACTTCAGCGCTCCTAATATTAGTAAAGATTCATTTATGAAAAGTCTGCTTGAGAGTGGACCATACATTAACTTAGACACATTCTTCAAATTCAACCGAATTCTATCTCTAACAGATGATATGAACTTGTTAAAAAAGGCTGTAAAGAAATCATCCATATTGGAACTTTCTGAGGATGGGCTGAGAGTAAAGAGGAAGTTTGAAGTTGAACTGAAGGAGAAAGAAATGGAATGTACAATTTATGTTGAAAACATTCCACCTCACGGGGATCATGATTGGGTACGCCAAGTTTTTGCACAGTATGGAGTCATTGATTACATATCCCTTCCCCATTATCGACGCTCAGGCAGGCCTAAAGGATTTGCATTTGTTGAGTTTAAGACCCCTGAAATGGCCAATTCAGCACTAGAGGCATTTGGTACTTTAGAATGTAGAATTCCAACAAACATTCATCCTTCACAGTTGCAGAGTATCAAAACTTATGAGGGAACTATGGATGAAGACCCATTAAACATAGATGTAGAGGACACACCAGGTAATTTTAGTTGTGATGTGAAGCCGGGGATGATTAAAGATGGTGACTGTGGGGGATCAAAGATTGAAATTGAAAATGAGAGAGAGGGGAAGTTGGATGATGTTGGTATTGAGGGAGCAGACAGTACTAAGAGGAAACTGGAACATGAGAACAGTACTGTGCCTGAAGAAAACATTCAATCTGCCAAAAAGCAAAAGTTGGATGTTAATATTGATAAACCTGATCAGGTGACCAGTACAGAACCTGCTGAAGGAAATTCTGCTATTGAAGAGATGCCATCTGTAAGTAACAAGAAGAGTAAGAAAAGAAAGCGAAAGCGAAATAAGAAAGAAAAGGAGGAGGTACTGGAGAGTATGTATTTAAGGGTAATGTCAAAGGCAGATTGGAAGTGGTTAAGAAATCAGTATCTAAACACACAAAAAGAAAATATGAAATCTTTGAAGAGGCTACTGCTAGGCAGAGACAATTCCCAAAATGTTGAATATTCTGACTATTGTAATCCAAATTTTATTAGAATATCAAAAGAATGCAAAAGTGATCAGAAACCAAATACTAAAGCAGTAGAGAATCTTTCACAGAAGAGTCAGAGCTCAAAGCCACAGTTTATTCCAAATGCAATAATAAAAATCAGTTTTGAGGAGCCACCTCCAGACCCTAAAAAACTTAAGGATACTATCCGTGAAGGTGGTGGTGGTGGAGTAGCATATGTGGATGTTAGTGCTACAGAGAGAGATGTCTTTGTCAGATTTTTATCTGAGGAGGCAGCTACCACATACAAGAAGACTGGATGTTGGAGCCGCATGGAAGTTTTATCTGGGGCCGAAGAGGAAGAGTATTGGGATCGCATCATCACTTGTTGGTCTCAGCAAAGAGGAAGAAAGAACAAACAGAATGGGAAGAGCAGTCACAACTATCCTAATCAAGTACGGGGTAGAGAAAAGTTACTCCAGAAAGCTGTTAGAGAAGCACAAACTACTAAGGCCAATTTACATATCATCTTTGAAGATTAGTTAGAAAAATTACTTCAAAATGTGGTTGTAAAACTAATCATTGAAATGGCATCATGTGAGTGTGCAGAACTGAACCTTTTAACTCATTTGGTGTTCCTCATGCAGTGTCTGTAGACATTTTAAAGATTTTCTTCCTACTGTATATCCTTAGTGAATATTATTGTTATTGTCATAAAAACAGCAGAGGCTATTTTTGGTCCTGAATGATATCTTCAGTGTTTAGCAGATTTCACACTTATGGTAGTGGTGGAAGATTCAGCATATTTTCTTCCTATTCAAGAATGTTTTTTAGATTAACCTTTTCATCACACATGCCAAACTCAATTGTTGTATAGTATTGTAATCACACTCCACATTAATGTATATGTTCCCTGACACCACTGTCAATAACAGATCATTTATAGCCTTTTGTAGACTAAGGAATGTATATATAAAGTCTAGGGGTAACAATCCAGGCTAATGTTTTAACATGGATGGGAGGCACAAGTATGATTAAATATTGTAGTACAATTCTCCTGTGATAACCCTAGCTGTAAAAGAGGGGTCTGTGATGTAGAGGTTTACCAATAAGGCTGAGAGCTAGGCAAGTCTTGGTGTTCCAGCAGCTTGTGCATGTAGTAGACCTTTCCTTGTTGGTCATTCTGGATTTTGAGCATCAGGTTTAGTCCAGCCTCATCCATTGGAAAGAAGGTTATACAATGGATAATTTTACTTCATATCAGAACTAAGTTGTGTTTACACTGTGTATTTAGTACTGAGGGATATATATGACTGCTGCAAAGCTCTTGAATTATTTTCTTTACTGTAGTAAGGTAAATTCCGGCCATTATTAAATTGAGATTGAAAGACTTACTTGTGTTGAGAATCCAGTTAATTGTCGAAATTTTGCCTAATGGAAGTTGCTCCGTAGTGACATTTAGGCTTACAGAGGATGTGCTGTCACTGTCAATGCATAGCTTGGGTTGCAACTTGTAGACGTGATCTGTAAGTGCTGATGTCTCATTCTCCTGACTGCTAAAACATTGTATTTCCAAGATCAATCCTTGGTTTCAGTGTTAAGTGCAGGTTACCCAGATTTATTTGTATCTTTTTTTATTTACCTATATTTATTAATTAAGCTAAAGGAATTGAGTATTTGTAAATACCCTGTATGTTGGCCAGAAGTGCAACAAAGAAGTCTCACTGACTGATTAAAGAATACTGTACTAATTAAGTATTTGATATAGTATTTTAACTTTATACAGTAGTTGAAAAAATATGTAATAAGCTGACTTTTGTTGAAATTTGTCATAATGGACTTGAGATACTCATTAAATTTTCTGTAAGGTTCCCAACTGATCATTCTGACTACAATACAAATTGCTCATTAAAGTTTCTCAGGCCTCATTGTCTGAGATACTGTGTTGTGGAAGTAGAAGTGGGAGGAGTTGAATGTTGATGCTGCTTAAACTAAATGGATGGATTATTTTAGGAAATACAGGGGCCCCCCAAATTCGTGGATTTTTATTTCATGGTCCTCTATTATTCGCGGATGACACCCTTGATGTACCCAAGAATGTCTGTGGGTAGTTTTAAATTTGCCGGCATTTTCGCCGCTGGGATAGGGAGCCAATCGTTCTTGAGACAGTTATTTCCTTTACCTGTATTGTAAATGTGTGTGTGTGTACACAAAACACACAAATAATAATAAATGGAAAATCCTCTCACAAATAATTGAATCGGCTGCTTGTCCAATTAACCAGTCTGTTCACACATATTTATATTTGGGTTTTAAGTAACGAAACCCAAACGGTTGTTCCTTTGTTTTATTATAAAAGGTTGTAGATATAATTCCTGAGTGTATATCAACCGTAAGTCTCACTGTCTAGGAGTGAATGAGAAAGGGACGGCGTTTATGTATGATAAACGTTAGGTCACGTCCTTACGATATGAGTTGAGGTGAGCTACTGAAGCTTAAGGGCATCGCAGTGCGCGCTTACAGAAATGCTGAGCTATGGGTCTCGCCCTCTTGGGTAAGTTGCCCGCTCACGTGTCCATATCATGTCTCACTCATAGACAGTGGAAAGTTACAGGGGGTGAATCTGAATATAATATCAGATGTATTGACCCATTTATATAATACGTTCTGTTGATGAGACAGGGGCCTATTACATAATTAATCAGAAACAAATTTATTAAAAATGTGAGTCTACCCTCAATAATTGTACACAAATAAAAATGTAACACCCGTCTGCAAATGTTATTCGCGGCCCCCTGCGAATTTTGGGGGGGGGGGCTGTTCATCACCTGTGGTGACCTGGTTGCTGTCAGGCATGCTGAAGCAAAGTTTTACAGCTGGGTTCCCTCCCTAATGCCAAACCCACAGGTTGGCAGTCACAACTCCTTGAGGTAATCAAAGACTAACTGCCTAAATTCTTTTAATTTTATCCTGAGCTTTGTGTGTTTGAGTTAAAATGATTCCATGTACCAAAAAAAAAGTTTTTATACATTTGATACTTTGAAAATTTCAGCTATATTTTCTGAAACTAATCTCAGTTTTTTAAGATTACTGTATATTATATTAATTACTTAGTAATTTAAAGTAACTGAAGTCACCAAATTATGAGTGACAAGTTGTCTGCTAGAGGATGGTGTCTTCTCAAGGTCAGGACAAAAATTATACTGTACCTTCAGAAAAAGTGAGCAAACTGTATACTTCCCTGCTCTAAAGATGGCAGATTATGAAAAAAAAAGATATTGTAAGTGCAAGTAGTTTACAATACTGTACTGTATGTATTTCAGTGAGCCAGAGTAATGCTCAAGGAGGTCTGGTGGAAATTTTGTAATGGCACTTTTTAAGTTTAGTAAACCCAAGTCTTCAGTTCCTTGTTGTAGTATGTACAGTAGTACTGTACTTCATAAATGTTTCAATTTGTTTCATTTCATTAAAGTTAATGATCATGTTTCAAGTGAAAATCACCCCTTTCTGATTGTGAACTGTCCACATTTCTGAGTATAAAATAATGAAAACTGATTTACTTGCCGGTACCGTATTTATATTATTCCAGATTTATGAATGCCAAATACTATGCTGTTCTAACGTTTGACTCGACATCTCCTTGGATCTTTGTAACATTAAGCTCATTCAGTGTACTGTACCTGTATATGAAACAGCTTAGGTAATTTTTTAATAAAATTTGTGGCTTTAAAAAAAGTATATTTTTTATCAAAACCTTTTGAGAAAATAATATATATATATATATATATATATATATATATATATATATATATATATATATATATATATATATATATATATATATATATATATATATATATATATATATATATACAGTATATATATATATACAGTAGTATACCTGTACAGTATATGTACTATAATTTATTGTGTAAAGAAAGTTTATTTTGATATGTAGTAATATATGGAGGATTATGTTTCTTGTGCACTCAGCAGTAAATTGAATACAATCAGGTATAATTGTGAAGTAAAATAACCCTTTTGTGGACTAGCATCCTGCCAATGGAATGAGGTAACCCTCTAACTGCTAAATTTGATGTCACAAATTAGGATCAGCACCAATTCAGCCACAATTAAAACAGAAAAAGGATTGTATGTCAAGAAATACTGCACTGTAATGTACTACACTTTATGTGTGTGTGTGCACACGTGCGTGCGTATGTTAATAATAATCACACTAAAAATATTTATACCGGTAAACTGTAAAAAACATGATGATAATTATAGTAATGGTTTATTGAAATACAGGTACCTCGTGTTTTATGCGCGTTTGATTTAAGCGTTTTTGGTATGACGCGATTGTTCAGTTAATACCAAAACCTAAATTACATGCACCTATTTCTTAAATAACGCACTCAAGCCATTCTAAATTTGCTGCGTATTCATCTGGCAGCGGAGTCGTGTGTGATGCCTGGTGAGGTGCTTGTAAGTATTACCATAAAGTCACAGTCATATCAACATGAACAATTTTAATAATAATATAATAATAATAATAATGTGTACAGCAGTAATGAAAAGATTATTACAGGTTTTACCTCTCTAGTCCGGCAACCTTGGGACCTGACCGGTGCCAGACCATGGAAATTCACCATTTTCCTGGACAGATAGTGACTTGCTCTTACGTTAGCACCACTTTTACTGCTTCGTGGTCTCTTTGAAGACATATTGAAGGGTTAAATGTTGTACAGTAGCTTCTCAAATTACAAGATCACTGAGTAATATTAAATTTAATTTGCAGGTCCTTGTCCATGAATTAACAGAGAAGTGCTGGGACAAGTGTATGGATCGTCCTTCAACACGTCTCGAGTCCCGCACAGAGGGTTGCATCACTAACTGTGTGGAACGTTTTATTGATGCCAATAACTTCGTAGCTAACCGCCTTCAGAAAGTGGCCACTACTTCAGGACTTTAAAGCTTGCTTATTGAAAATATAGATTTTATTCAGAGGAAACACTGCTGAATTCAGTACAGTATTTTAGTATTTTTAAATGTACAGTATAATTTTCTTTTTTTCATTTTGACAAACGGCCAAAGACTGCTGAAGTACAATGTTTGCCAGAGTAAAAGATTTCTTGTATAGACACCGAAGGAAGTTTGTAATTGGAGGTGCAATTATAGGTGGTGTTGCTGTTCTCAGTAGGTATGCAGAATTCAAGCTTCTTGAGTGGCATGATCAACAGACACGTATTTTGATGGAAAAACAGAAAAAACGGCAACATTATGAAAACACTCACAGAACTGCAAATGCTACTGTTTTAAGTCTGTCTCTTAATATGAAAGAGGTAATTTCAAAAGAGCTTGATGCAGATATACTTCTTCAAGCAGTTAGAGAGCAACCACAACATAAACACAGCATTTGGGAGCAACTCAAGATTGTGGGATTCAGCCGTGCCATATCTACTGTTTATATTGCTAGTTTGGTGGCCTCAGCTGTACGTGTACAACTTATGCTGCTTGCAGGATATACATTTGGTGATGTTATTCAATCTTGTCATGCCGGTGCACCAATTTCCCAAACACTACAACAGAAATATCTTTCAGTTCTTCATTACCTAGTTGAGAAAGGTATTCCAAAACTGACATCTCAGGTGACTCAAGCTGTGACCCATATTGTCACTGGATTACCTCTTGGACGACCCCTTACATTGTCTCAGTTAGAAGCAATTTTTCAGGAAATTAAGCTCATTCTAGCTGGGGAAAATTCATCGCAAGATGATCTTTATGAGAGAAAAATAACAAAGTTAGAACCTTGGAGTAGATATGTGTTTGAAGCCCCAGTACCACCTGAAGGAGATTCAGGGGAGGATAGGATACTTTACAATATGTTAATTGAAACAGATGATATCATTGACAGTGAAGATTTTAGTACTGTGGTGGATACATTAATCCAACATGGTTTCAATCATTTGTTAGATAGAATGGCAGATTTCTACCCACTCCCAAAAAGTCAGCAGGGGTTTTGTGGTTCAAATGAGAATTGGGTGGATAATGTTAGTAGAGATATTCTTCCTAATGTTTCAACAAGTGAGGTTGACAGTTTTCCACTGACACAAATTACCCCTACTCACAGCACAAGTTTCTCAAATAACAGTTCCCTTCCTGTGGCTAAATTGGTTCCTCTCTTGTCTGGGGTGGTGCATGGTGCACTCTCTCCTACACCTGGACAGCTTCTGCAAAAGATTCTTACTGTTGACAAACTTGATTCATTGGGAGCAAATGTATATGAAGCTTTTGCATTACCTTTTGGGCAATAACTGAACTATGATCAGGTCCATTATAGTACATATTGGTATTTATAGAAATTGGAGATTACAGAATACTATAATACCTGTATACACTGTACATATTATTATTTATGTGGGAAAAATGAATGTAAAGTATAAAACTAGGATAATTAACTCATATATTATATCTGTTAGGCTACTGTAATTTTGCATTATTTAAGCTTCATATCTTAAATGAGGTTATTTTAGCAACATCATTAACTTCTAAGAAAATTATAAATTAGGTCAAGTTTGTAAGAGAGTCCACTACATACAGACCTATACTTAGATATTCTGTAATGAAATGAACTGTACTGTCTTATAACTTACAAAAAATATTTGAGCCAGTGAATTTAAAGAATCAATTTACATATGTCATAGGCTAATCAGTTTCAGTCATTTATTCCAAACTAATATCAATTGAAAGATGATGCCAGTTTAGATAAAAGAATGACTCGTCTTAACTAGGCACCAAGAGATGTAAATTGTTTAATGTCCAGTTGACTCCAGCATTTAAGGAATAAAGGTTATCTACCTGAACATGTTTTTGTTTTTGTTTTCACATTTAGAATGTACAGTATTAATATTGTGTGTGTATTTAAGAAGAAAGTTAATTTTGCTTTCTATTTTGTCAATTGATTACTTTTTGGTATGGTACTGTACTGTTCTTAATTTTTTTTCAAAAGGGATTTTTCCATGTTGATTTTCTATACTACACTCTAGTACAATACTCGTACATTATGCACTACTAGAACTACCAAGTGTCCAATTTGGTGTTCATTCTGGCAAAACTGTCTTGGGCAGTACTGAATAGTGGACCTAATGTTCTAATGGATAATAGGGCAAGTAAAACATTTTTAGTCCTTAGAAATTGGTCTCATGATAGTCTGCCCAAAAGTATGTTTACTGTACAGTGTATTTATTATTTTTACATGCAATACTGTGCACTGTGTACAGTATATGGAATTAGAAATTTGAATACCTGGACACCCAAAAATTTTTTAGCACAAAGAATATTTAGTAACAGGATTTACGTGGACCAAAGCTCAATCTCAATATTGTACCTGGATCTATTTATTTATTTTTATTTAATTTTTTTTTTTTGGGGGGGGGGGCTGAAATGTGAAATTAATAATACTGTTATGCAGTACTTTATGTAATACAAGTTACAGTGGAATCTCAATTATTTGTCATAATTGAGACCAAACAGATGCTGGATTTCAGAGTTTTCTCACTTTTAGAGTAGTTAAGTCCATGTGGACCTTGAATGTTAGCTTTACATTTCCTAAACTTACTTAATTCTTTTTTGTTTTCCCCTAAAGAATAAAAGTTCTGCCCAGGGATGGATCCAGCCCCCCCCTCCCCCTTCAGAAAATTCCAGTACTTTTTCTTGAATGCAGTATTGTCCTATAGCATTATACAGTATAGTAAAATGTTATTACTAATTACCTCAGAATATCTCCTAATATCAAGTGCACATGGCCTCAAACTGCCCACGATATTAGTCAAATTAAAAAAAAAAAAAAACATTCTGGGGGGCTTACAGGGCCCCCCCCAACTGGATGGGCTGTGCTTGCCATGTTCTCTCATCCACATCTTTTTGCACCCCCCTTTTGATATTCCTGGATCCACCCCTGCTGCCTCATTCTTATCATTCGCAGCATTCCTAGAAAACACGGCTACAGTTAAATTGCTTAAAATGGATACATGTTTTAATGGAAAAAAGAAAGGGGTTATGTGTACAGTATACTATATGTTCCATAGGACTTAAAAGTGACACTGATTTGATAGTTTTATTATGCTAAAAATATCTTACATATGTACTGTACTTTGATTAAGCTATATGAACAGGTATTTAAAAGATTTTAAGGGAATTGTCCTGCCATATGGGCATACATTTATAAGTCTGTTTATGAAAAACTAAGTATAAGCCTGTTGTGTGTTCCTCCATCAATGCAGTTTTCTAAAAGAACTATAATGTTTTGTAGATTGTTTGGGTAAACAAATTTACGTGAGTAAATTGTACACGTACTTTGTTTATTAAATTAGGTAATACTGTAGTAATTACATCCCTAATTTATCAAAATTGTCTTTATTTATATATATATATATATATATACTACAGTCAACCCTCGCTTTACGCGGTCCCACATTCCGCGTTTCCACGTTACCCTGCCGAAACCGGAATGCTCACATTCCGCGGTGCGTGTACCCCTTTATGCGGAGAGCGGCTGGCGAGCCGCGCCATTTTTGGATCCAAACCTCCCGCCATCCGCCATGTTGTGTAAGCGGCGCGAGCAGTGTGCGCACAAGGTCGCCCAGTCATCAAAACATTACCGAGTTCTTCACCCACCACCCACCACAGCCGGCCCAAGTCAGTGATACGTAGTGATAATTATAGTGAGGATATGGACTCATATGGACTTCGAGGGGTTTGACAAAGAGGCCCTGCAAGTCTCTGTGGTGAATAGTGATACAATTGATACAAGTGATACAGGTGAGGGCCAATAATCTGCCTCGGAACCAACCCCCCATCCCCGTGTGCCCAGCCATATTTTCTACTAATGTAAGTGTTAAAAAACCTAATATTATTGATATTTCTCTTAATTATTAATTGTGTGTGCATACCATCATAAAATTAAGAAGTTATTTTTACTACAACGTAGGTATTGTGTCTGAAAAAGTGGAGTTTGGGGGTCGGCCCGATCTCTATTTCAATTAATCCCATATGTTGTTGTTCACTTTACACGTTTCTCACTTTCCACGGTACCCTGTGGGTTGAATTAACCACGTAAAGTGAGGGTTGACTGTATAGAGTACTGTATATATATACAGTGTGATTCAGCAAAAAGTACATTAAATTGGAGGATGAAATCCTTGGATAATTCTAAATCACAATGCCTCTATGGTAAGATGTCAGATTCTGCGTATACCCACATGTTCGTGACAGGTGCGAGCAAATTAAACATAGTCCAGGCATTCTGGAACGCGTCAGACAATCAATGGTACGACATGTACTGGCTTGCACTGAGGCAGAAGAGGGCAACTTTGAACATTTCCTTAAGGTTGTAACAAAGAGGGGTCACACTGTAGAGATCTGTGAATAAATGATTGCAAAAACCTACAAGGGGTTTCACTTCAAATTCACTCTCATCACTACATCTTAAATGTATTGTAACATGGAAACTACCATATGCAGAATCTGACATTTTACCAGAGGCATTGTGGTTTAGAATTATCCAAGGATTTCATCCTCCATTTTAATGTACTCTGCTGAATCACCCTGTATATTTATGAGGACAATGAGTCCCAACTTATATTCATAAAATACGATATTTTTTATTTTTATTATAAATAGAAATGACCATATATGAAGCACTGTATTTACAAAATCTTTCGTGCTGGTGAGTATGGAATGTGTGTGTACCTGCAGCAATACATTCTCTAGCTCTTCACTGGCACATGTTGATAGTTATAGTGAGTAGTGGTGAATCAAAGGGTAGGGGGATGGAGGTGGCTAACACATATACAGCATGCCCTTCAAATTCACGGGGGTTACTTTCTCAAAGTGGCCCCGAATCGCCAAATCCGTGAGTAACATTTGCTGACCCAGGGTGTTACATTTTTACTTGTGTACAAAGAAATGTATACAGTATTCCCTTTGTGTTTGCCCTTAGGACAATTATTTCTTTTACCTGTATTGTATACAGTGACCCCTCGGTTAACGAACTCAATCCGTTCCAGAAGGTCGTTCGTTAACCGAAAAGTTCGTTAACCGAAACCATTGTTTCAATGGGTTTTTGGGTAATTGGTTCCAGCTCACCGAAAATTTCCTAAATTCAAAAAAAATGGTAGAAAAGTTCACTTACTTTGAGGTGTGTATGTAGAAGGCTCCTGGATGATGATGATGATTGTGGGATTTAGAATGGGGGTGGAGGAGAAGTAAGAAGAGAAGGCATTGGGGTGGAAGAGAAGTCACCCCATGGCGCCATTTCACCCATAAAATTTTAGCTCTCTTGGTGTAATTCAAGATTATTTTCTTTAAATCAACACTGCACTGCATTATATATTGTCAATATGTAAAATATATTTCAAAATGACCAATAATTTGCTTGGAAACACAGAAAAAATGCATTTAGTTGAAGAGAGTCTCAAGCAAGATGTTACCTCCACTGAAAACAGAGAGAGACTAACGCTGTTTGCTGTGTTAAGAGGCTGGATGCCGCGCATTAAACTAGTCACTTTACCTTCAATTATGTTCAATAATTGTTAAAATTACTAAAAAATTGAATATTAAACTTTTAAAATTACTGTATTGAATAGTATAAACTTCTTGATATTTACTAAAATAGTAAGGAATTTAAGCCCTAGAACCGATTAACCTATTGGCGGACTGATACTAAAGCTGGTTGCCCGGTCAGTGCAAGCGAAAACATGTTGAGGTCGGTTCGTAAGAAATTCGTTAACCGAATTGAAGATCCTTATGGAAGGCAGTTCGTTAACCGAGGCGTTCGTTAAACAAGGGGTCACTGTATATATATGTGTGTGTGTGTAGACACACAAACACAAAACACATACAAATAAATAATAATGGGAAAATCCTCTCACAAATAATCAGAAAAAATATATATTAAAAATGTGGGTCTACCCTCAAGTCCGTGCTTTATTAATAAAGTAATAAAGCACGGACTTGAGGGTAGACTGTCACATTTTTAATAAATTTGTTTCTGATTATTTGAGAGGATTTTCCAATTATTATTGTTTTGTGTGTATGTGTCTACACACATATTTACAATACAGGTAAAGGACATTACCGTCTCTAGAATGAATGACTCCCTGTTTCAGCCTCAAAAATGCCGGCAACTTTAAAACTACCCACCGACATTCTTGGGTACATCCTGGGTGTCATCCGCGAATAATAGAGAACCTCAAAATAAAAATCAGCGAACTGGGGGGGGGGACCTGTACTACATATAGTTTTTTTTTTCAATACATGAATTTTTTTCTATGCACTTGGTACACCATTTCCAACAAACACATACATTATAGATATGCCTATGTCTTACAGAAATGCTGTAATTCTAGATACAGGTAATAAATTGTACTCGAGGAAATAAAGAGAGCCCGTTATTTCTCAAACTCATCCTGGACTCTGCCCATATGGAAGGCCACGAAGCCAAAGTAAACTATGATGAAGAGGATCATCAAAAGAGGCAGGACCACCTGGGCAATGGTGTTCCACTTCCGGGGATCCAAAGTCAAACGCGGCCTCTGTCCCACCTGTGAACAAATACAATAAAGTGTTCTTACTTGTCTCTAATTCTAATGGAAGAAATGTAAATAAAAGAGGGAATAATAAAGAGAGAAGCCAAAGTAATTGGCGAAGGCACAGAACAGAATTGTAAGGAGGGAGGGGAAAAGTGAGTTAAGCTGCAGTCACATGAGAGTTTATACCCAAAATAAATCCACTGTTGTGTTGATTTTTCAAAGAACTCCTCAAGTTGTTTCTACAGCGACAACTTATTTGTTGTCGAAAGTGGGACAATACGGAGCGTTTGAAAACCCATGGTATGTCGGGTTGAAATTTGCACCATTCTTAACTATTTCTTATTAATGTTAAAATGTACAAAAATTTAAAAAGTATAAATAACAAAACACAACTGGAATTTTATTTGACTCGAGAGTACTTGTCACTTCTGTAAAAAAAATACATCGCTTGGACGCTACAATCGTTTCTTTTTCATAATGGACTTCTTTAACAGGACCATACATCTCACTACAGTGGTTAATACTTCCGTAGAAACATAGTGATGCCAGCCTGCTCTTCAACTGAGCTCAATTAGCCGTGCGAGCTGGGCGCCCGGCCAATGGTTTCTTTCGCCAGTGTGAGGATCGTACCGTTGACTTATTGCCTGTGGATGAAATACTAGTGTGGATTTATTGCATGGATAACTCTAGTGTGACCATAGTTTTATTTGACACGGAAAGACAAATAAACATTAATTTAAGACTTGAAAAAGATTTCCATGACTGGAAAGTGCTCAGCAATAGATATTGGACAGTGGGAAGATCTGTCTACTTTTCTGAAAATTAACAAAAACTGTAGAAGACAAATATTATGTATGACAAAAAACCAGATTTACCTTCGTGCAGTGCCGGATTAAGTTGGGGGCTCACTGCTTGTGAGAAAGAATGGTAGGACAGTGCTGTACAGTACATTGCTTGTGAGGCCACGTTGCTTTCACATATTTGCAAAGGTAAATGGTTGACTGGCATACAGCCCGGGTTCAGTCCTTTTTAATGCATCCTGCACATATGTTTATAACATCTAAGTACAGTATTTACAGTTATAGTTAAATAATGTTATGTATGAAGGTTAATAAATTAAACAATATTCCCCCATGAAGATTAGGAAACCCCCCACTTATTTCACCTAAAAATTAAACACCTTGAATTAAGCAAGGTTCTTAATTTTCATGAGATCCAAATTCTGAGCAGAACACAGCTAATCTGACAACACCTGATAATCTTGCCTGAGAGTAAAATTGGAATGGATAGTGACAAATTCTGGACTTGTGTATCAGGGTATTAATAAAATGAATTACCGATACAAGTTTATTGGCTACCTGGACCATGGAGTTCCAAGACCAGGGAATTGATTAAATGACCTACTGCACTTGTGTATCAGGGAAGGTGTTCAAAAATTGTACAACCAGTTTTATCAGTTTTGTATACCTGTGACCCTCTCTTGGCGCCGTGAACGCCTGATATCAGGGGTGTCACCTTGATGGGCATCTGGACCTGCATGTAGGAGTTGATGATAACCAGCACCGATACCATGACAAAGTCTGACATGATGCAGAAGATGAACCAAACGTCAATCAGCTTCAGGTAGGCTGTCTTGGGTAAGCCAGAGGCTATCTGCAGTATCACCATCAAAATATTACTGAGCTGCATAGTGTTATCATAAACATTGAAAGTATTCAAGTTATTCAATTTTTGTCTGCTAGAATTACCGGTAATGTAATTTTTTTTTAATTATCATTTCACCACTTATCAGCTTACTAGCCATTCAGGCAGTTGGTCTGTTCTTTGTTACTTTGTGATTAAATTTATTGTCCAGTTTTAGTGCAAGAGGAAAGTGGAGTACCCAGAGGAAACCTGTGATGTTTGGTAGTGTCACACTGGATAACACTTCTCACATCTGTCCTGGGCCAAGACTCGAACCCTGGACATAATACAATAGCAAGATATTTTAAGTACATAACTGCTGTACCACCAACACTAGTTTGTTTCACAATCAAGACATTAAGGGTGGTGAAATAAAGCCTGTCACAGTCTCCTTGGTGTATATTGCAATGAAAATTTTTTTTTTCCAGCTCTTTAAAGTCCAGATTAGGGATTGGAAAAAAAATGGTAAAAGGAAGCTAAAGGCTTTTAGCTAAGGGTTAAATCATCTTCAAAGGGTTGCAGCTTAAGTTTCAGTAACTGAGTTTTTTGTACATAATCCATCACAGCTCAAGATTGAAGGAACCTCAAGTCCAGAAAACTGTGAGGGCAAACTTTTTCGGAGTGAGAGTTGTGAATTCTTGGAACAATCTACCGAGTATCAGAAAGTGTTGTGATGGCACCGGGTGTGAGCTCTTTCAAGACCAGACTTGAACAACACTGGGGCAGGTTCATGTACATTCAGGAGCCAGTGCATGCCCAGTACTTGCCAACAGTGCGTAACAGAGACGTGACCGATCGCCGAAGCGGCTAACGAACCGATCAGTGGTGAAGAGGATAGAAGTAAAAGTATATAATTTCTTTCTTCACTCTTAGGCTTAAGAAAATGCAACTACAAGTTTATCCGGTTATGATTTAGGACAAGTTTAATAACCTGAAAAGAAGAACAAACTGGTGTAAAGATTTAATAACACGTGTAGCGATATGTAAAGAACATGTGTGATGATCCTGGAATATGAGGGTTAGTGACCTGATACTGTAGTAGGTATTGATCCAAGAGAAACTGGTGTAATTTGTGAATGAGGAGATGTAATTATTCGAGAACAAGGGTAATGACCTTAGAAGAACAAAAGTTATGAACTCAAAATAACATGTCATGATCTAGGGTAAAAGAACAGGTGTTATGATCTTGAAATGAAAGAGAGAAATAGACAAACACATGGGTAAGAGTTGTTATGTCTTAAGCTTGGATTCCATTCACGCATTTGCAGTGTGTTTGCGTTTTGGCATGTACTGCAAACGCATAATGATAATGCAACCATGCCAATGAAAACAACTGTGTACATTTTTGGCGTTAACACATTAATGGATTCCTAGCTTTAAAAGAACCTGTACTGTAACCTAGTAGAAGAAAAAGAGGCGTTCTGACCTGGGAGAAGAGGGCTGCCAGCACTAGGAGGGAGGTGAGGGAGACCATAACTCTGTTGGTGAAGTCGTCTAGGGAAAAGTAGAAGGTGAGGTAAGAGATGATGACCAAGAGCATGGTGGGCACGTAGGCGCCGCTGATGTAGTACCCGTAAAGGTTAGCCAACTCGATCTCTATGTGCTGACCACTCTTGTTTTGGTACAGCAATGGTTGATGCTTGAGACTAGTCACCTGTAACATATGAGGCATTATATTATCTCTTTCACTATGGAAGGTAGCACGAATTTTAAAGAAAATCTCGTCTCACAAAATATAACGGTGAATACACTCTAGGGCAAAACAGAAACACTCCCACATCATCATAGAAGGCAAAATAAGACTGGGTGATAAATTTATTGACTATGAAACAACACAATTAGGTGAAAAACGTGTGCCAAAAAATTTAGTCAATTCATATATTTATGAAGGTCAAGCAAACAGTTAAAGGGTTACAATATTACATTTTTGAGGTAGACTACAAGTTGGTTAAACATTTAGTCTTCATATGTCCTAATCTGAAATATTCTAAACTTCTGTAAATAACATATAAGAGACTCTGGATGTAGTTATCACTTTCAAGAAAATTGGAATGGCAGGAATTAGTGAGAGGAAAATTACTTGTGTGCAGAACTTGATAATTTGTTCATTTTAATGAATGTTTAATATTTGTTTACAGTAATTTTTTAGGTTGAGGTGCCATGTGGGAATTTTCTTTAGGTTTTCAGTTTTAAGGTCAAGAAATGGACGGATATCATGGATGACTTCTGAGAGGAATCACTTTCATGAAACATCGCCTAAATGACTGAAAAATAAAATGTAATTTTCTTTGGGTAATTTTTATTAAGCGATTGTCTTAACTCTCGTGTGAGGTCTAACTGGCATTAATAACTTGGCATCCAATGACTAGTGTCTGGAACTTTATAAGACCCTTTCAAATGAAACAAAATACACAACTTTTTCCGAGTCATGTTCCTATTCAAATATTAATGACAATCTTTTGTTATTATTACAATCAGAATAAAACGATATCAAACTCCAAATCTCAATAATGTAGCTTCACCAAATGGAAATTTAACTAAAGATTTGTTGAAATGAGAGTAGATTTGTGTTTTTAAAGGGAAAACAGGTGACTGAACAATTACAGTATAAACCTGGAACTCACGCGGTACTCAAGGAGTTGGCGATTCCCAGAGAAGGTGACATTTTTGAGGGAAGTGACCACATACTGCTGGGTGTAAGCGCCGACATAGAAGACCATCTGGCAGTGTTGACTGTCAAAGGGGTAGAGGGTGAGGTCAAAAGTGCACATGAGTGTGATAGTGAACTCTCGCTCTAGCACCAAGGGGTTGACCTTCCCTGAGTAGAATACATCTGTAAGTAAGAAGCCTCAGTCATCTGCTCCAGGAGACTAGAAAACAAGACACTAAATAAAGCCATCCCAAATTTTAACCTAACTTAACCAAAGTACAACGTGCTACACTAAGTACCTGTACATACAGTACAGTATTATTATTATTATTATTAATATCATTATTATTATTATTATTATTTTTATTATTATTATTATTATTATTATTATTATTAATATTATTATTTTTATTATTATTATTATTATTATTATTATTATTATTATTATTATTATTAATATTATTATTTTTATTATTATTATTATTATTATTATTATTATTATTATTATTATTATTGTTATTATTATTATTATTATAATAAATATGATATATTTTTATGTTGTACAATGAAAGACAAAAGTCGTGTCATGAAATTTGGTGAAAACATATGCCGAAGGGCTTAACTTTTGGTGCGCTCTGCCTTGTGGTAGGGGGCTCTCATAATGTTTCACGAGTTATATTTAATCTTCGGACAAAACTGCGACACAAATTTTGTCTTTGATTGTATACATTTCAGTGTATTATTAGAATACGTAATTTTTTTATTTATGTGAATTTAATTTCCAAACTCAATTTAGTAATTACTGTACTGTAGATACATTTTTTTTTTTACCTGTGTAACCATGTCTTTTGGGATGGGATATTTTTATTACAAGATTATTGTTATTTAGTAAAAATGTAACCCTATTTTTGAAAGACTAACTTTAGAGTGAGTTTGCTAATTTACCTTCATCAATGAGTTGGTCATCATCGGGCAAGGGACTAGCAGTAAGTTGACCCCAAACTGCCGTCCTATGGAGGACATAAGTGGCTTGGCTGTAGTCAGAACCCAGCATAGTTACATCTGGGTACCATACACTATCCATTGTGTCAATCTGGTTGAGATTGTTATCAGGGTGGAGGTTCTTGTAATAAAGTCGTGAGTCGTACCAGGTTCTTTTAATCACCACATCCATAGTAATTTGAGAATTGAGGAGGTCAAGCTTGCGGACCAAAACGATATCACAGTCGATGAACACTGATGCAGGAGTGTAACTGTTGACTTTAGGGGGCGGTAATCGCTTCTTGTAGCCTGGAGGTATAATTAATGATTCACAATTGAGTTCATCACTGTGGTCTTCACAGTCCAATTCTAGGTTGCACCGTAAGTTAAGGTTAATACACATGCCATCGCCACAGGTGAACATGTTCTGGCCGCAGGAAGTGAGCTTCAGTTTCTTTAACCTTCCTGGACATTTGTCTCCAATTATTTCAAACTCGTGCAGACCCACCGGGTACGTAAGGATTGAGCTGGTCACCATGCGAGCCTGGATGTACGGGTCGCCCATTTGGTAGAGTAACCAGCTGTAATCATGAGGAGCAGATTGGTTAACGTTCCAAATTATTCTGGACCAGCTGTTGCCATTAAAAATAGGGCGGTAGTTGATGGTGTCATAAATATAATACTCACGATCAAAAAAGGACTCTTTACACAGTCCTCTGAGCTTCATGGGCACTGGTCTTTTAAACTGGCAGGCAGTGCACACAACTTTTCCACAAGCTTCAATATCCCAGTTGCCGTTGGGTGTGACTTCGTGCGACCTAGCGAGAGTGCTGGCAATAACACACAGAACCTCCCTTGAAGAAGGTTGGATCTCTACCTCAAAATTTCTGTAGACGGCTTCTTTATGAGTCTTCTGATCTTTCCATAAACTTTCTTCTGGCTCCCAGTATACACCAACCCACATGCTGTTGCCTTTATCATACTCTGTGCATTTGTCTGCAAACTTAGCTCCTATATTGAATAAAGCAAGATTCTCTGCAGTATTCTCTGGTGTAGCAACATCACCATTAACAGTAGAGCAAAAATGGTTGGCTTGTTTATTAGTGCGTCCCTCTGCAAACACAGAAAAGAGCTTGTTGTTGCCAGAGCTGCAAATATCCAATGAGGTTGTTACATTGGTCTCCACCCCTAACATAAATTTTTCTTCAATATTTTCAAAGTCCATCAGGTGCTGGCGAGCCAGAAGTGCATCTATTTTACATTCAAGATAATCTTTCATCTGTTGTACCGTTAACAAGCTCTGGGTGAAGAAGAGGTCAGCAATGAAGCCGTTAAAGCTCTGACCCTTGTCTGTGCCCCCTAGTGGTTCGTCCTGGTCTTGGCCCAATATAACACTGCCGCCCGACACTACCAGGATGGGGTTATTCGACTCCTGTAGCTGTGGTCACCAATATCTTAAGCAATTATTTGAAATAACATCAAATCATAAAAATAAGTATTTGCTTCCATATCAAATTTATATGCATGTTAGAAATATACAGTCAGCATAATGAAACTGGTTTAACCTAAAATAAAGAATTATTGTTTAATGTTATACATTAAATTTGAGCTATAAAATAAGTTTGGGAGGCAGGCTAGAGTAAACATGGTACCTGTGGAGGATATGACGAAAGTGAGAGAGGGAAAGTTCTCATGGGAGTCAACCTTGTGTGAATCTTACCGAGTCAAAAAGAGTGAAGCGGTCGACGGATCCCTTGTGGACGAAAGTGGCCGTGTAGTCTGAGAGGTTGACTGCAGCACAGAAAGAGAACCAACTGAGGAGCTCCAAGTTCACCGGTACTTTCTGGAAAATCCGTTTGGAGCAGCAAGCCAAGCGCAGTTCCTTCTCCTTGTACTTGAGGTCTGGTTGGAGACAAGTCCACGAGAATCATCAGAGTGAAAGTCTTTTCTCATGTTTTATTTCAACAGCTGTTAAACTACAATACAATATTGTATAATGTCCCAGCAAAGGTTACAAACGATTTTATGAGGTGTATATAGACATACTGTATATGTGTGTGTACAGTACTTGTGTATGTTTCTGTTTATGTACTGTATGTAATATTCATATAAATCACTTGTAATCTGTGTTGGTGTTCATCCATTTGTGGAATTAAACTAACCACCTGTTTCTTTTTCCCCATCAAAGCAGTAAAAATATACTGTAATGCAACATGAAAACCTGGTACCCAGGGTCCCAAGTTCCCGATGCATGATTATGAGGTGAGGTACACGAGGTAAACCCCCATGAAAAGTTTATTGAGGAACACCCTGAAGCTGGAAGTACATCCTGCTAGATAGAGAACTTCTGTTAATCTACGATTTACACCTTATAATTAAAAAAAAAAGTGTAAGTCACAGCCAACCCACTTACCGGGTAATTTAGTTTCAGAAGAGCCTCTAGCTGGCTCATAGGTAAGATAGGTCATGTGAGCTTTACACAGGGAGGATCAAGGTAGGGTTCGGTGATGAAGGTTCTGTACCTTAAATCATTGTTTCTGCATTGACAACTGTTTTGGGAAATATCTATACATTTGCTTGTCTTGAATTAATGTATCTTAGTCAATTTGGTTAGATCAAGATCATTGTCATTTTTTGTTTGTCATTGAAAGGATTTACAATTACGGTACAGGTTTGAAATTTGTATACATGTATGTTTTGTTGAATTGTTTGCACTATTATAGTCTATGACAAAAATGTCACCTTTTAAAATAGAAAACATAACAGCCATGGAAATGTGTAAACTAGATTTCTGGGTCACTTTTGGGAATTCAGTGAGACTTCTGGAAATTTTAACTTAGAAACGTCAAAATGTTCTGATGTAAAGATCACACTTTAACTAAAAGCTCTACACCTGGTGATAATATAATCATAAAAAGATTGTCATATAAAGTTGAATATAACCAACGAGAGATAAGATACATGAAAACATACAACGCGTTGAATCTATATTAAATCAACGACAAGTATTGCTTGGGCATAAGTGGCCTCAAGAAGCCAGTGTGGAGGAACTTACGGAAAGCTAGTTCATTGTCATTGTCTTCGACAGCATAGGAGAAGAAGTAGTCAGAGTAGCGACTGCGTAAGGAGTAGAGCCTAACGCAGAGGGTGAAGGTGGTGAGAGTGGGTAAGGTGTCGTGCCAGGTAAGCCCAGAGTCGTGACGCGCCACTCCATCCTCCTGAAGATGAACTACCGATGATGCTCCTGCTGGGACAAAAGGTGAAGCTAATGTATTTCAGGGAACATGAGGCTTTACCGTAGCCAACTCTAACCTTTAGGATTGGGACACATTAAAATTGGAATCCTTTAGGATGATAACCCATTGAATTAAGGCCCGTTAATGCTAAGATACCAATTCCAATGCTTAGGATGAGACATGTTAGAACTGATACCATTTGACACAGTAAACTTTGATATTTTAATATGTGCCAGTACACTGCATCATGGAAGCTGGACTCACCACTAACAACATATTTCCAGCAGGCCAGTATCGTCAAGGAGCAGCAGCAGAGGAGAGGCAACTGTCGTATGGGATAGGACAGCATCATTTGACAAAAGAGGATGAAAGAGTTGTCACCTGTAGGCTGAGAGAAGAGTTCGAACAGAATTATCTCACTAATTGCACTTAGGATGAAAATGCTTTAGATTAGACAGTGGTGTTCTACATGATAGATAGATATACTGTACAGTATTTCAAAGGGTAATGTATGACATCACATAAAGAGGAGAATACTTAGAATTTGTTGTAGTTGTCATTGTTTCATGTTTCTAGCTGAGTGGGGTCATCTAATCAGCTGATAACCGATCAATACTTGGGAGGTTTTATTGCTCAGCGAGAATTCCACTCTTGATCTGTGACTGTCTTCATCCTTCCCCTCATTAAATTTTTATGTCATCTACTTTGATCACTCTATCTACCACCCAATTTGTGTCTGCTACACCCACAATGTTAAGCTGCTTTTACTTTACTTTACTTTTATCCTCTTCACCACTGATCGGCTCGTTAGCCGCTTGGGCGATCGGTCATGTCTCTGTCACGCACTGTTGGCAAGTACTAGTCATGTACTGGCTCTCTGTTATGCACTGTTGGCTGGTACTGGGCATGCACCGGCTCCTGAATGTACCTGAACCTGCTCCAGTGTTGTTCAAGTCTGGTCTTGAAAGAACTCACACTTGGTGCCGTCACAACATTTTCTGGCAGATTGTTCCAAGAGTTCACAACCCTCACTCCGAAAAGGTTTGTCCTCACAGTTTTCTGGACTTGCGGCTTCTTCAATCTTGAGCTGTGACCCCTTGTGGGGCGAGCGTCCGCCAGCTCCAAGTAAGGACACTCGACTGAGTAGTGCCCCTTGAGATGCTTATACACCTCAATTAGATCGCCCCTTGCCTGTCTGTAGTATAAGCTAGGCAAGTTCAGGCGCTCCAATCTCTCAGGGTAGTTGAGGTGCCAAAGTGCAGGCACCAGTCTGGTGGCCCTTCTTTGAACATTTTCAATCAACTGACAGTCCTTAGCATATCTCGGGGACCAGACTGGGTGACAGTACTCCAGATGGGAAAGCACTTCACTCTTGAAGATCGTTATGAGGGACTGGCCGTCTAGATATTTAAACGACCTTCTTATAAGACCCAATAATTTATTTGCCTGATTTACCTTCTTCTCGCAATGGCCCGAGAACTTCAGCTCATTGTCAACATACACACCTAGGACCTTCTCACATTCAGTCTCAAATAGTGCAGTTTCTTCATCCCGTTGGGACATATAATACACCTCCTTCCCGTTTGTATGCCCCAGGTACACCCTCAAATCATCCTATCTCTAAATATTTTCAATCTTTGGCAAGGGTACGTCTCGGGGAAGACATTTGATAACTACACATGTCAGATCTCTCCCTGTGTTTTATATTCATTGAAACAAAGAAAAGGTAGAATAAAGAAATTCAATTTTGTCAACATTTCTGGGATTAATATAAAGTACAGTATTTCGAACTGGTTGCCATATTTAGTAAATAAAAGATGCAGGATCTCATATAACTTAATTACTTTGTATAACCACCAAGTTCTCACCTTACCAAGTTCTCACCCGTAGTCGAGGTACCTCTGCTCCCTGGATGGTGTCTCGCTATGTGACAACACTAGGTGCCGTCACAACGCTGGCAGTGTTCTGAGTTTACAATAATATTCTCAAGCTTCTTTTTTTTCATGTCTCACACTTGTCAAGAGTGTATTTTTTTTTGTGATACTCTTGCTGCTTGGAAATGATTGTATTTGTCTTTTGCACTAACGTTTCGGGTTATATTTTATGACAATGAACCATGGCATGGTAGTGTAGTGGATTTCTCCCCTACAAACGCTGTTTGTCGCTGAGTAGCCGACCCAGTGAATTCCCCAGTGTATGCCTCGTGGTCTGGGTCAACCAGCGCCGCCATACATCACGGAGGTTAACTACTAAGCCACGCCTACCTCCGCTATTTAAGACCTGACCTCGTGGTGACCTAGCTCTTCTTCTAGCTATAGCCGCAGCCAGCAACACCACCACCTCCGCCGCTGCCTGGCGGCCCTCGCTCCCGCCGGCGAGCATGGCGACCCACAAGCTGTCCTCCTCTGAGCACCCTCACCAACCAGCTCTCTCTACATCACGCTTGTAACCATGCTGCCTTCCCAGCACCAAGCTGCATTGTACATCCAATACAACATGTATACAGAGAGCACATTGTGAGTTTCCTTTCTCCATCCCATCCTGAGTGAGAACCCAAAAAACCCGTACCCCACAGTAGCATTACCTTCCCTGAGGTAGCACGTTAGTGTAGTTATTCATGTCCGTGTGTCGCATTCACCTTGAGTAACTGGATGAGATATTATGCTTTACTGAAGTGAAAGGCTTTGTGTGCTAGCGTAAGGTAATGTTGTTATCTTTACTATGTTTAAGAATTTTTCAGATGTCCTTTATACGCTTTGTACTAATAATTTCAGTGCAACTACAAACACAATTTGTACAAATAATTATTATTATTTTTACGTGAGTCAACGAGCTGAGAACATAATATAAGGTTAGGTTGTATGGCGAGATAGGGGTGAGCCAGCTGGACATGTGGAGATGGAACGCCATATTCCTAGATATTTAAAGTTAGATATCAATAACCTACTGACGATATATAATTTTTTTGAATAATCGGGTGTTATCGCACAATATCACGTAAGGCTAATGTATTTTATATGTCGCGGCCGCTTGGTGGCGCCACATTCGGAGGTGAACCGTGAGCGCGGTCGCCCATTCCCAGAATCCCTGATTGAACTGAACGATAATTTTATGGATTTTCTGTGATAAATTGTGAAAATAACTTATTTTGTACAGTTTAGACAGAGATAGCTGCCAAATGGTTTGTCCGAAAAGAAATTCTCTTGTTTATAAACCACGAGGCGAACAAATAAAACTTATTGACGACTAATAGATGTACTATTGAACTGCGGTAGTTAGGTTGTTCAGTTAAGGCTGGAGTCAAGAAGCGGCAGCCTTAGGGGTAGCCTAGGACAGGCGTCAGTACTGTACTTTAAGACACGCTGAGAGGTTGATTAGCTGCATGGATGTTTACCAATACCAGACGGGAGTTATATACTACTGGAGATAAAGTACGGTAAGATTTCCTCATGTTAGGCCCAAAAGTGTAAATATGTATTATACCTTTAACATATAACCAACGTTTTATGAAGCAAATAAATGTTTTACGTAGCAATAATTTGGACCGATACACAAGGGGAGAATAGCTTAATCGCGTTCGTTTTAGGAAAATTGTAATCACCTGAAAATTAATTTGTGTTAGACGCTGAGACAACAAAACATGTACTGATTGCGTCGTGTGATTGGAGTAGTTAATTACGAGATCCTATTTATTTGATGTTGATAATTTACTTTTTAATGTAGGCTAGTGACGGAATGTTGTGAGGAGGCGGAACTTCAACTTCCGTAAATTTTATATGAATGGTGTTAAGCGTCGGAGAGTTTACAGTGAAGCTGGAGGTGTCATTTGTGGTGTTAGTTAACTCGCCAACAACCAGTAAATATGCGTTCCATTAGTTCAATATGCTCAGTGGCTTGTTACTACTACCTTCCACTCACTTAACAGACTCACTCACCTACAACTTCCTCCATCTAAAAATGTCAATTGTTACTTTGTTTCTTATGCTTTGCTAGGTTTGACGGCTAATGGTATTTTGATGAATGTTAAGCCAGACATGCGATCGTGTTTTGTTTTAACTTGAGATCGGTAATTATTTTGTCATCAAGTAATAACGTGCAACGCAAGGTGTTATTCTTAAAAAAATAAATACATAAAAAAAAATTCCCTCCCATAAGCGATGAATACTTAGCTGCTTCTTTACAGCAAACTTTTTATTTGCTTCTATCTTAATTTGGACACATGACATAGTGACGAATTTCATATTTTATTATAATGAAGTGTACACTAAAAGAATTGCTTAGTGTAAATGGATTAAATTAAATTAGCGAAACCAGGTACAGTATTCAGTACGTGTACATGCAGGGAAGCCAGGGTCAGGTGAGGATTTCGTAATATATACCCTGTAGGGCCTGTAGATAATTGGTTAACCAATTCGATAAATTGGGCTTAAATTTGTTTCATATGCTTCGATTAGTTTGCCAACCAACCAAACCAAACTAACAAAACTAAACTAAGAAATGTAAGATTATTAGGTTACTTTAGGTAGAGTCATTATGTCTCGTTTTTAATGATTAATATATATAGATATAGACACAAACTTCATCCATGTCTTGTTTTTTTATAAAAAACAAAATTACAGGGCGGCATATCCCGTGTGATGGAAGTAATGTGTGTGTAAAGGGATCCAGTGATTTAGTCGGGGTAGAGACCACGAACGAGACCAATAGCAAGAGTAGCAGTTATGGATCACGTACTTCAGTTCTTTAAGTTCCCAAACTGCTCATTATACTCTAAATGACAAAAAAGTGCAACACACACACACACATAAATGTATATAAATTATATGTGATTTAGTGATGCGGAAGAAAGTGAGAAACCAGTATAGTTAGTTCATAAATTGTTTTAACTGTTATTATCCACCTCTTTGTGTACAGGACTTCTAGGTAGAAAGTTTCAGTAATAAAAATAGGTACTTACGTCAGAGTGATTATATGTACCAATCCTTCTAATTATAGATATGATTAATAGACTCATTAGTGTTAATTGCCACAGATAAGATGATAAAATTGTACACCATATAGTGTTCGATTCATCATGTGGGTCATTATCATGGGATAATTTGGCAAGGATGTACTAGTTACTTGGCCAGATCTGACAAAATCTTTAATGAAGGTTGAGAAAACGAGTCAACTAACTGTATCCTAATCTACCCTAACGTTAAGATTAACCACCCTAACACTAATCTATGAACTTAACCTACCCAACCCCACTTAACTGAATACTATTGGGATCGCCTGAAAATTATGCATCCCAGTTTATCCATCCTAACATTAACCTAACCTAACCTAACCTGGCCCGAAGGCATAGATTGGTGTTCTTGGAGAGATACGAAATTTAGAAAGAGTAGTAAAGACAGAAAGCGTGAGGAATGGTTGGCCTTGGACGTCAACCCTCATACCTGAATATGGTCAATTACCTTGACTGCCTGAGACCCTTAACACAATAAATGTCTCTAACACGCACAAACACACAGGTTACAAAGACCGGATTGTGGAAACTTCGAACCCCGATATAAAGAGTTATAATTTGTAGAAGTTTTAACAATAAAGTTATTAATTCATCATTACCAGCACGAAATACAGGCTGCGAGAAGTTTCAATTAACGGCGGAAAATATCATGAACGATTATTACATTACTGAAGGTACTGTATGCCCGTGGAACATTGAAAAAATATATATACTGTATTGTGTACAGTACCCCGCATATATATATATATATATATATATATATATATATATATATATATATATATATATATATATATATATATATATATATATTTCATGTAAATCCACAATGAAAACGTGGATAAGATAAATCTTGATAAAATCACACGTTGTTTCCATTTTCCCGTGTGATTTTATCAAGATATATATATATATATATATATATATATATATATATATATATATATATATATATATATATATATATATATATATATATATATATATATATATATATATATATATATGTGTGTGTGTGTGTGTGTGTGTGCCGATAACCACATAAGAAACAAGAAATCACGAAGTTCCCCCAAGCGCTTTCGTGTAATTCACATAAGGGGTGAGTACAGAACTCGCGTAACAAACTGCCAATTCACAGAGGTATGCGATTCCTTGTGCTATTCAACTAGACTAAATTGTTAGCTATCTATTAATATCTCACCGGAGTGTATCTTCTTGTACAGAGAGGCGACAGCTGATACCATCTTTTATTTACGGTCACACTCCATACCACGTGTTTCTAGTCAAGTAGCCATCCATTTTCTCTGGACACAAGGCGCTGATATAAATGATACACTATTCTTCAGACCAGTAGCCAAAATATATCATAGCAACAGGTATTCACTCACGAGCGATGTGACTGCTGATGTATACGAAGGAAAAAAACCTCGTTTACGGTGGAAGCGGAATGTCGACCAACAGTACAAAAACATATGCAGCTCATTACACTACTAAGCGAGAACATTGATACTTTATCGCTATTATATCACTAAACTGTATAGTTACATACAGGTATATGTAGAACCATATCACAAGCAGTTAAGAGGTATACACTATTGTATGTGAAGTGACGTACTATAATGTGTGGCACTTTACCATGGTGAGTTGATTCTGTAGGCCTGACGGCAAGTAAGGGAAAGTATGGACACAACGAATATGTAATAAAAAAGTTTTACTCAAAGTGTTTAGCCTTGGCGACATTCGGTATCTATTTTAGTTGGTTTCCTCAATAATGGGACGGGTAACGTAGGTGCATTGTTTACTTTTTGTTATATATCTGACCGCGACATTAGAATGCATATTGACTCAACGTGTGTTTACGCCTTGCTCTGTTTGCAAAAAGAACAAAATGCTACATAGTCGTTTAAAATTGTAGGCGCTGTGTCAAGGTCGCGGGGTCACCATAGTCAGCGCAACGAAGAGGGCGAAGTCGGCTAAAAAAAAAAAGTACAAAAACTTTACCTTAGCCAATCTCCAAAAGCTCTACCACTCACCTACCTTTCGTTATTTATATCTTTATTGTGATGGTGTGGCTGCTGTGACTTGCTCTAGCTACGACAAAAATAGTTAGTGTGAAAATAATCGTTTTCTATGATTGACTTTAGTCCCATTTTCTATGATTGCTTTTGGTTACGTTTTCTAGCATTACTTTTAAACCCGTTTTCTATCAATATATTTTTTAGCTTACCCAATCTGACCTCTATACAGTACGTTCTCGAGTAATCCGCTCACTGGATGACAGGTGGTGCTGTAGTAAAATTTTGCGACCTTTCTGCAAATAATGGGAATATGTATTAGTTGAGCTTTTTTATTAGATATTCCTTGAACACAATGCACTGAATACTAATCCTTTACCAGCACACAAGGCGGCAGCGTGTCCGGCACTGAACTTGACTGCCTTTACTTCTCCACATTCACATCTGGGTGGATCCACCGCCATTAGACAGTGTTATTCAATGTAATTGCCTAATTGCTATTTATCAGTAGCTGCTAATAGACAATATGCTATCCTTTGTTATCCCTGGCTCCGGCTAGGCCAGGGGGAGAAACCGATCTGTGTATGGCTGCCTGTTTATCTGTAATTATGAGTTGTCTGGCTGCCCATAGAAGTTAAATGTAGTCAACTCACCCAAAAAATTTCAACGTGATTTCATATCATTAAATACCTATTATGTACAGTATATGAGCTAGCGAGGTTAATTTGCAGAAATGGTTCTGTTTCGACCACCAGTTCCCCATATAGGGGTTAGTAAAGCCAACTCGCTTGTCAGTTTTCAGGATATGGATGAGTAATTTACTGTACGTGTGGCAATACAATTCTGCTCCAATGGGTCCGTCCGTCCGTTCTGGTGTCCCATGTATGATGCCGTTATGTATCATCGACTTCCATGGGTTAATAATTTTAAAGTTAAGAGACATAGTGAAGGTGTAGGCTATATAGTATCTTCAAAAAATGTCCACACTATGTGAAACATGAGACCACGGATGTTAGATATTGGGACACATTTACTTTGGTATCTAGTTTAACATAAGTTATGCAATGTGTATTTATTTCGGCGTAATTAATATGATGTTCGATTACCAAATGTAGTAGGATCAGTATATTACATAGCCATGCATACCAACCCTCCCGGGACATCACGAGTTGCTTGTAGCATTTCGGAAGTCGTCGGACCCTGAGACATATCCTGGCAGATAGTATACTTTTTGAGATGCTGTACATATGGATTCTAAAGCTATTCGGTGAATTTTTAGTGAAATTACCTTGTTTTGATCATTATCTGTACTGTATTTCCTTGGTGTGTGAGTTCGTGTTTGTGGTTATGTTAAAATCACTTGTTTTCCCACATAATTTTTCGCTACTTGGCTTATGTGGAGAGTTGGTATACAGTTATCAAAGTGGTTGCACTCCGATGATATCTCAGAGTTATGGCTCCTTGTTTTTTAGTGGGGCAAAGCCAGGGGATGTGTCATATTCGCATATCCTTAATTTAAAAGGTATTGCGGATATAGAAATTTGAATCATGATTTCGCCTGATGATTAAGCACCCTAACGATGACATAATCTAACCAAATTTAATCCTCAATGTAGAGTTAGGGTGTTTAATCTTCAGGTGAAATAAGCTGGGGGTGTTAATCTTCATATATTCCAAGTCCAACGATTTTATAGAACGATTGGAGTGAGTTCAATAATTTCAAGTATGTGGTGTAAGGCGATTGATATTGGAGACAAATTCAAGATTTAAACAAAATTGAGAACCTTTATATTATGAAATGACAAGTTTCGTATGAGGGGTATCTCTAAGCCATATTAATCCACATTACAGTATTCCCTCTGGACATTCCTTTTTAAATGTCATATAATTGATATCATGACGTCCATAATGTCAACAAATGTATTTACGTTTGAACTTTGAAGACTGGATACTAATTGCTAGTTCATAAAATTACTGATCTTGATGTTTAGATAACTTTCTCAAGACGTGGTGTGTATGTGTGTGTGCTTAATCAGACACAATACATTATCATCGTGTTGACAAGAGAATAATACGTGTGTGTGTGTGTGTGTGTACAAATACCATCAGCAGAGTAAGTGAGGGTTGGACATGTTTTGGTCAGATAAAAAACTCGATGCTACACTTTTGTTACGTTAGCGTTGTCTGATTCATGTTAACATTTCTTAAAGAGTTTAATGCTTCGGTAACGTCGTTAGATCATTTGTGAACGAAGCTACAGCCAGTATTATGTTGTTGCTCCCTAGTGGTATAAATTCACATGAATTTTTTATAACTAATGCTTCGACAACATAACCTCTTACCACGAAATATGTTTCTATTTGGCAAGCTCTCACACCCCACACGCGCCTTCCATTAGTCTATTAACACACATGCTCGCATTGCTAAAATAACTTACGTAACTGTTGATTTAAAGTACACATTTTTTTTAATAATAATAATAATAATAATAATAATAATGTAATATATATTTAGTAAGATCACCATACAGACTTAAAATTGGTTTGGCATGTAAAATGGCGATGCAGTTTAGCATACGTATTGCCAGAAGATGCGAGCTTAATGATGGATATTTGTAATTTAAGTTTGAGTTTAATAATGATGATATTATTGGGAGAGAGACGTGGTTAGTTGGTGTGACTGTGAGCACTGTGCAGCTGGTGTCTCGAAGGATTAGGTATTTTCTGTTTATCCTCTATAATATTCATAGAAAATTACATTACACTGGACAATTAATGTATATGTAGTGGTCGTGGTATTAGCCAAATCAGTCACGAGATTATTACTTAATTGATATGATAGATCTAAACAATATAAGACAGATGGGTCAGGGAATATACGAATGTGTGTAGTGAAGGGTGGTGATAGTGATGGATGGTGTCGATATGTAGTGGTGGTAAGGGAGGGTTCGTGGTGGTAGTCATGGGTGGTGGTGGTTGTTGATGTTTGTGATAAGTAAAACAGTGGTAGTGCTGATCGATAGTATGCATAGGTGGGGGTAGTAGATGTAGTTATGGATAGCTATGCTGGGTGGCAGTGATAACGATAATTATCATGAGTTGAATAATTTAAGTTCTGTTATGATGTAGTTGTGATATCAGTAAACCTTAAGAGATTTGGGGAAAATATTAAACTCGCCTCCCATAAGTGGACTGATATGTACTGTATTAGCTTTATGGTTTAAATTTACCTTTATATATAGCTCATTTACTTTAACTCTTGCATGCTGCACTTTTAGTCAGACTCCTGTCACAGTAGTTATGTTATTACGCGTGCTGCCCGGTATCATTGTTGCTCACGTCGTCTAAATTACCACTCCAAAGAGGGGTGGGGGCGGGTCGGTGTTCGGTCGCAGGCCTTTCTGGATTCCCGGCTACAAGACATTGGATAAAATGTATAATCGTAAAATGTACTCCATGCTTTAGGTACGATGGTATCTTTGTATTCATGTATCTTCACACACCGTTAAGACCTACATTGTGGCCAGCAGACTTGAGCACGCATTCAGTGAGTCTTATATTTATTTTTTTATTTCTAATTGGGAAAAGTGGACGCGCAATCACGCTATATTTATGATGTAATTTAGGGGTACTCTTCTTAATATAGAATTATAAAACACGAACACTCCGACTGTGAGACACAAGGGAAGGTGCACGAGCTGGACTCGGGTAATAATCAGGACCTCGTCTGCAACACCTTCAATATTTTTCTGCTACACCATAGCTTCGTGTTCTCTTCCATTCATGAATCTCTCTTGATTTATAATTGTTGATGACTCGTGCATTTACTAATCTAGACTACTAGCATAAAGACCTTTGTTGTTGAAGCACATAATACATTATAACATCAATACATCATCATTCATTGTCCATATTTTTCTCCCTGTCATTAACTTCGCCAGATAGATGGGTATATTTGTTATCTTTGAAATACTATACGTGGAATTCTACAAGTATACGGCAATCAGTCAGCGATAAACGTTGATGCTGAGCCAATGCCGTATGATTAGCTTTTAAGTATATTTTGCCATAGTGCATTAAAACCTCACTCTTTACCGTAATAATGTTGTGTGTACAAATTCAACGTCGACAAATGTAAAGTACTCAGTATAGGAGATGTAAACAGGGAAACCAGATACCAGATGAACAACGATGCCATTACCTTTGAAATACTATACGTGGAATTCTACAAGATTAGTTCACTGGCAATTACAGGATGGATATAGAATCAGAATTCAGAGGAGATGACAAGACTAACATTAGGTTGAGTATAGAGACAGGTTAAAGATTTGCTCAGACGTGCCGTAGGTGATTAGCTTTTACAAAGTACTCAAATTATACTCGTAACAAAAGGTTTTAAATTGCAGATTTAGGCGTGAAATAGGTAAACACTGGTTTGGAAACAGAGTAGTGGATGAATGGAACAAGTTACCAAATATCATCATTAACTCGAATACGCTGAATTGCTTCAAACATAGGTTAGATGCTCATATGAGCAATAGGGGTTGGGTGTAAACGGGACTGCCCAGTATGGGCCAATAGGCCCGCTGCAGTTTCCTCCATTCTTATGTTCTTATGTTCTTATATAAATTACTTCAATTTTTGGCAAAATTTTGAGTTCTGTCTTCAGTATTTACAATAATTTAGTTATATCTTTTAATTTTCTATACAGCATCTTTTTTCTAGATGTATATATATAGAATAATCTTAATTCATACCTCTACATAATAAATGTAAATGATGACAGCATGACACCACCTGGGAGGCGGGAAGGGTAATGGTGTGTTTTGGGACTCACCTGTCACAATCCCGCTGCTCGCTGGTAATAGTACAGTACTGACCACTGACCACTCAGCTACTCTCCTTGCCACCCATCACAAACTGCGCACACCTCAACCTGCTACATAGTTAATAGAGCTCCGCCAATGCCAATAGAAATAGGATTTCACATTACGTAAAATACATTCGTGTATATTCAAACACCTACCACGTACGTAAACAAGACTATCACTTACACCTTCATAAAATTATGTATCTACCTGACAAGTATAACGATAGATGAATTCTATAACACCACGACCCTTAGGAGGCGAGCACATCCACACGTTTTGCTAAACACGCACACAGACTACACATCCTATGTACTGTACTGGCTATCACACACACACTCAAGCGCACACACACGTCAAGCACATTCTACCAGCCACAAAAAAAACAACTGTGGCCACCTGGCTATCAAATGACTCTACTGCAATGAATTATGTCCTCCCAAGAATATTGTTTTGCGTTGTTTGTATCTTTCACTTCTTGTAAGTAGGTAACAGACTACGGTAAACAGCTTGCCAATAACTGTAAGATAACTTTGTACACCCAATGGAAATTTTTAATAGAAACACTGTAGGCATATCATGATAGCTGAAATGTTCAAATGGAGATTATTTCCTTGAAGTTTAGATTTAGATTCAGTATATACATATAGTTAAACTAAACACTGCATCAGTCCTTCATGCCGCTTATGGCTCTTAGGCAGGCGGGTAGTTATAAAGGTGAAGGTCAAATGGGAACACCTCTCAGATATACTGTAAAACCTTACACTTAAGCTAGACACACCAACATTTTCAGTTATTGGTATTTGAACCTTATTGCCTAAGTAAGGTGATGTGTGTGTGTGTGTGTGTACACTGTACAGTATATACTTGTCTATTTATGTGCAAAGATGGCATCTGTATATGTATCTATTTCTGTGTAAAGATGGCATGTATGTATGTATGTATGTGTCTTTGCAAATGTGATAATTGTGCTTATTTTATGTGTATGTGTATGTAAGAGTGTATGCATGACACTGTGTACTGGAAACCAAGGTCTATTGGTAAGAACTGGCTCTACACGCTATCCCCGTATTGTTTTCCTTAACACCTGGTCGCTGAGTGTGTTCCAAATTAATAGTTCCTCAGATATATTCCTTCTAACCAGTATAGCCACTGCCTGCCCAAGTAACCTTCACTAAGTTTGTTCTGACTTAGGTTAGGTCAGCTTAGGTTAGGTTTGGTTATATTAGGTTAAGTGAGGTTATATTAGAGTAGGTGAATTTAGAATAGGTGTGGATGGTTAGATTAGCTGAGGTTTATTAGGTGAAGTGAGTATAGATTTGGTTAGGTTAGGTTAGCGTTTTTAATCACCAGGTTAGGTCAGGCTAACGTTTTTAATCGCCAGGTGAAATAAGGCTAATCTTCAAGTAATCAGGAAAGCCTATACTAAAAGATAAGAGTTAGGTGTTTCCATTTAGTATAATTACATAATTGGTCTGATACTTGAGTGTAACAAATGAACACTTAACAATTATCTGCTAGAAAATGTATACACCATTTAATCAACTTAGACTGCCCCTGAGGCCTCTAATCCATCATATTGTTCAAGCTGGGGTAGCAGAAGCTTAGTGGTATCACCTGAATATTAGCTACCCTACATATTTTTTTCTGATGATAAAACGCCCTAAAGCTGCTTGGGTGGAGGTTAGGTTAGGTTAGGTTAGGTTAGGATAGGATAGAATTCTGAGGAAAAGTGTTAAGATTAAATGTCTTCCGTAACATTCGGTAACTATCCCTAAACTAAAGGGACAGGCGAGACTCTAGGGAAAATTTGATTCCCTCTCGCCAAATACAAAGATAACAGGTAATTTGGAAAAGGCGTTATTTTTACAACTAAAATTGAAACTTTTCGCTCATGTGCAATAATATGAACAGCAACTAGTTTCTTTATAATTAGAGGAATCATTTGGCCAGCCGCTGATACCTTTTGTCTATTTATGAACGGCTGTTTCTTTGTTTATACATACAGTACTTTTATTTAGAATTATATTTAAAATAAGGACTTTAAACAACAAATTTGGATTTTAACATGATTTAATATGACTTAAGAATAATACACAGTTAACTATTTGGAACAATGATATGGTTGAGTGTTGCCAGAGGGAGGGTTGAGGAGCTCCCTATTACTGCCCTGACAACAGAGCGTCCTACTCCCACCAAGATGACAACCAGAACATAAATGGCCACTCCATTCTGCATTACTGTTACATCTAACTATATTACTGTAGCTGACACTTTGCAAAGTCATAAAATGATCATTACTTTGTGATATGACTCAGGGTGCCGTAGGTTTTCATAATTTAGCCAGTAACTTATAACACAAGGTTGTCACACAGACAGAGGCAGTCGACACACAGTTTACAGTATACCGTTGGTCAGATATGGATCCACATTCTAAGATACGCACGTTAATACAGTTTCCACAGTCACAGATCCACCTCGTGTGTCATGTAAAAATTTGCCTCCAGTGGAAACCTCAACATAACCACCAAGGACACACTGCTGGGGCGTAAATGTTATGTATAAATACAATAGAAATAAAGAATAAATGATATACAGTATAATTATATACATTTAAAAATAGATTATGTTTGAAATAAATATAGCCTCGTCTCTTGACTTTCACATGCATTAATTTCATGAAAAGTTAAGCCTTTGCCAAGTAGCACCTCATGTTATTTTGTGTGAGTTGTCGTATCTCAAACAACGCCATTCAGTGTTGTGAATTGTCTCCATTATATAATTTCACTATTATAATAATTTACTATAGCTATATATAGTTGCATTATAATGTTGGCCTTTATACTCGCCTTATAAGCTACTACTGTTTATCCCCAGCATCCTCCCCATTATTCTCTTCCTTGTGTCACTCGTCTCACCGTTTATATTTTTCTATAATACTGATATGTTTGTTTTGTTCTTATTCCCCCACGCCAGCTCGCCTCTGTGTAGTAAAAGGTAACAAGCTATACTGCCGTTAATAATTCTGCCTGGTGTCTTTTGATTCATTGTATGTTTTACTTGTTCGTCCACTCTTGTCTTCTAAGTTGAGATGTGAACCAAGAATTTCATAACTGCAACGCTGTTTTTTATTTAATCACTCTATATAACTACTAAATGCTGAGTCTTACACATATATTTCATGATTGTCCATACCTATAGCTGAATTTTATCAACCTAAGTTCGTGAGATATAAGCTGCTATCTCTTTCCACTACGATTTCTTGGTCTGGATATACGTAAGGTTTGCACCATCCATAGTGGGTAGTTGAGGATCACTAGGTTTACTTTATATAATATGTTGACTTGATATACCTTAGACGAGCCGTTAAGAGACAGCACTGAGGATTGGAGTGAGGATCCCGGGTACCCAGTCGACCCCATGATCCGCCTCTACACAGTATAATATGTCAGGTGTTGTGTAGTGACGTATCGTACATAAATGCAGGAAATAATATTATGAACTGTGAGTGTCGCAGCGTTTTATGTGTTAACGTGTCAGTTGATTATTTATCATCGTACCGGAATGAAGTAAAGAGACATTTCCTAAGAGACATTTCCATATCAAACACCGTGTGTGTGTGTGTGTGTGTGTGTGTGTGTGTGTGTGTGTGTGTGTGTTAAGGGGAGCCCCAATAAAGCCCTAAGAATGTTGGTCGCGTGAGGGACACACTATAATACAAAATGTGTTTCAAGAGGCACCCTAATGGGTTTGCGTGGACGGTCTCTCATCCTCCGCGGTGGGTCACCTGTCGAGGAGAAAATAATTAGTGTTTTACTGTCACGTATGTTTTGAATATTTATAGTAAAATTAATGATAATTATAATAATAATATTAATAGTAACAACAAATAACAGCCACCACCATCCATTACCACGGATCATATCTCTGTAACAGTTAAGTTCTTCTTTAATATGCTGGAAGGAAAACTCACACGCATCACACATAACAAAAATGTGCTCACCTAACCACGTAGGGTAACAAATGTCATGTAGCCATGTTAGGTCGAATTCAATGGTAAATGGGTGAGACGTCGCGGTGCCGCATTTGGGGTGGAGGGATGAACTTCACAACACCAGCAGTCTTGAAAAGATCTCAACTGACTACTGTATGTCCACCATTAACGGGGAACCTTGAAGGGTGAAATACAGCTTGTGTTTTTTTTCTCTCGCTCTCTCTCACTGATAATTAATATACAAGAGGGTGCGAGGATACGACTATTGAATTTATAATGAGTCGAGTAGCTTCGTAACTTCTATGTTTCATCGTCTTAAACATTTGAGTAATGTCTTAAGACAAGGATTCAAGGTTTCTGCGGAGGGGGGCGGGCAAGTTTGACAGTGAAGTGCTTCTCTGCATAACGTGAACAGGTGCAGTGACGTCAACGGTACAAGGGACTCGTGTTTACATCGCGTGGTAATTGCGGGATACATCATCATGGCTGTGGTAAATTTTGCTCTGCATAAATAAAAGTGTAATTTCGGCTCGCATGTTGTTGCTTCCATTACCTTCCATGGAAAAAAGGTTCATATAAGAGTATCCTTTAAGGGTTCATTGCTGAGATTCATACGTGGTAGTGGTACCATAATATCATTGTGTGTGCGTGTGCGTGTAAAGAAACTTTTTTAGCGTGTTTATTGGGCCAAAGGTTCAGGTGTGTTGGAGGAATGTGTGTGTGTATCTCCCCTCCACCCCAAAATATATATAATTTTTGTACCGGCACGTGTTTAAGTCCAGAGGGTCAAAGTTGGCATGGTACTGATATTAGGTTTGATGACACGCGATAAACATCTTCACACACACGGAACGGGGTGTATTGTGTGTATTTATGTGTATGTGTGTATTTATATATATGTATTTATGTGTGTGTGTGTGTGTGTGTTTGCGTGCGTTGTGTGTTGTGTGTGTGTGTGTCTATGTGTTTGTGTTGTGTAAGTATGTGCGTGTGTATTTGTGTGTGTGTGTCTGTGCGTGTGTGTGGTCATTCTGGTGTGTTGGTTGATACACAGGTTTTTAATTTGATTTTTTAGGTATTATCTATTTGTGTTTTTATTAACCTCCTCGCTGTCCAAAGAGGGAGATACGGGGTGAGCTCACGAAACTTCAAACTAATTGTAAAGTATTTTTAAGTGAGGTTAGGTGTGTCAACAAAGGCCCAGACAAATCCAATAATCAGTATTTATTTATTTTTTATCTATGAACCTTTCTTTGCTTTCCTCAATGTGTGTGTGTGTGTGTGTGTGTGTGTGTGTGTGTGTGTGTGTGTGTGTGTGTGTGTGTATACGCTGGCGGGCAATTGGAAAGGTATAAGGATAGTCTTAAGATAAGCCTAAAAAGTGCCAAATTGACCCCCTCACCTGGGAGACGATTACTCCACCGTAAACCTTGGAAGAGCACCACACGAGGTGTCAATACTTTCGAGTTAGCCCGACTGCACACCGAGGCAGACAAGCGGCAACGCCTGAAAGACGCTGCCGCCATGGCTGGCTCTCTCTCAACTTGGCCAACAGTTAATGCTCTTGGAACATTTCGAGTAGGTGGTAAATAATAGGTAATGAAGAACGAGTACTAAAATTAATAAATACGTGTTGAGAGATCTTATGTATGGCCTGATGTTACAATATTTTTATAAATAACGTATTGCGTGAGTGGTTTGATAACATAACCTGCCTTTAGTTTATGAGTCTCTTTAACATAACCTGCCTTTAATTAGTGACGTGTGAACAGTTTAGTAATTGATGGCCAGATGCGAACCTCACAACTACCATATTAACTGTGCTTTATATTCTAATTCAAGAGTTCACTCGAAGTATTATATGTTCAATGTTAGACTTCACACAACTGAAAAAAAATCGGTGATGCCACAAAAGTATATATTCTTAACGCCGGTAAAACATTCGACCCGTTTGTTCTCTTGACTGTAACTTACTGTAGGTGTTTATGCATCAACAATATCTACGAAGTTTATTGAAATTTTCCTTCTTAGTTATGAAATAGCAGGGCAATTATAATTAAAATAGTATGTATTAAAATGCAATGCTCCTGTACTCTCTGAAAATAAAATAATGTATTAATTATGACAGTTATAGAGTATTAAAATTATTTTATACGATAACCTCCCCAAGTACAGTGCCATTGTACTCAAGGTGTTAAGTTATCGGACTCAGTGGGCACAAGTACTGTACTCAAGGGGTTAATGATACCGACCAAATCTTCCCTTTATCTTTTGTTAGTTTACTTACTGTTTTATTTACGGCGAATTTTTGCCTCTCCCCCCCAAGATGTTAGCTAAAACATGCATTAGTAAGTATTATAGTAAATGCAAATTAGGTTGTTAAAACAAGCGTTAAGTTTTGATACACTTTAATGATGCATGCAGTAACAATATTATAACCATACAGTATCATTCAGTAACAGTGTTCAACAACTGGAGACAAACACGGAATGTATCACTGTGGGTGCATGTCATGTGTACCCCCAATGGTTTTTTTTAAATTGTATCATAACTAAAGAGAATAGGTAGAGCTATTAGGTTATGTAAACTCTCTATAAATTTCCAAAGGTTTGTACGATAAAAATTACTTGTAATTTTATAAGAGTGTATCAAATTGGTTAAGTTGTCGCATAAAAATATCCAAAACAAGGCAGAATTTTGCTGAGGTTTAGAAAGACTGTATCATCTATTAATCTCTCGCTAAATGAATGGCTTTAATGAAAGTAGAATCACATTGTACATTTTATGATATTTTTCGTACCTGAGTTAAGATCAATTAATGAATCTAACACCTTCACTATTTATCGTACTAACCTCAGAGAACCTGGAGACAGTTTACCTGTGTTGCAACGAGAAAGGTTCTTTAGATATGAGACAAACTATAAATGTTGTAGATTGAAGATATGTCAGCATCAAGTCCTAGCTTATCTGTTCCTAGCCAGTAAGTCTGAGATATTGTCTATATTTGTTTAGTTAAGTTATCATTGAGAGATGAACCATAAAAGTTTTTGGTAAAGTATTAAGAGTTTGACTAGAACTTGGAATGATGAAAGTTTATTTTTTTATGTTCACTCTATCACTACTTTATTTTACTGAGCTTTAAGATGAAGTACACTAGTACCCATGAACAACATCTGCTTGATACAGCTGATAACTGCGTACGGGTTATAGAACCATTTTAAGTTACCAAACTTAAAATGTAGAAAAGTTATTGAGCACATATATCTGTCTTGAATTTTGGGGAGGGGTTTAGCAATTAAGGCTACATAACCCTAGCTGCTGAACATATTATAGTTAGTTATATATGGTGCGTGCAAGATATTGACTATTGTACATACTGGATGACTCATACTGACTAACAGTAGTTCATGGAGGTGTGAAGCCTTGAGGAACTGTCTAGCTTCTCGTGTGATAACATTATAGCGTAGCATTTCTGAATTAGTAGTGAGTACAGTGAAGGTGTACATAACTAAAGGTACGTGCTAATACGAGACAGGTTAATGTATAACAATTGTGGCAAACACATCAAAGCAGGTACGAGGCAGGTACTGTATTGACAGGTGAAGGCAGTGAGTATACCAAGGTGAGGTTAACAGGCCCATGCATTTGTTAGCGGAGACTTGTGTCTTAAGCGGTGCTACCTTCTTCGTTGTTCTCTGGAAACCCGAATCCACTTCTTGATGCCAGTTGCTCGCATCTGTTGGCGAGACATAGAGGTCAAGGGGTTTGTTTGTGACGTCTGGTTGATGGGGGAGTGTGTTTTAGGCCTTTTTGTGTTTATTGTGATGACTGGATACTGTACTTGATTATTTCTCACACTACCGACTGGCATTGGTAGAATATGATATTATTTACGGTAATGATATTTCAACATCATTTAGGTGTGTTAACATCTAAGGCCTTTAAAGTACAGGTCACAAATTTTAGTTTGAGCAATAGATAATACTTTTGGAGAATAAGAAAAGAATTTGAATAATAATAATAATAATAATAATAGTGGTTAGTGTACGCACTTGCAGGAGACCTGGGAGAAGATCTCGCCGCTGCCGCAGGGTTGGGTCTTGCGGCAGTAGCAGCTGCAGCTGTCGTTGTCCCAGTACTTGGTCGAGTTCTGTTTCTCACATTTTGCCTTTTCGTCCCTGGCAAGATGAAGAAAAAACGAAGGGTAAACTTGAGTTTTGTAAATGAAATTCGCATTTAGTAAGATTCACAATGATATGAATGTCAACTTATTAACTCAAATCTACTAAAAATAGAAACTTCTAGAATCCTACAGTTCTTAAAATTATCAGAAGTATACAATTTTTATTTCTCTTCCAGTCTATTGAATGATTACTGTCGACAACATGATTGAAAATTACTTTATTTACATTAGATGATTTAATGACATACAATATATGTGTTCATCAATCACTGTATCAAGATCACTACAAAGAAGAAATATAGAACTGTAGAAAGACCCCTTCAGATAAGAATTTCAGTACTATGTAGAGCCATTACTATGAGCTCTGGTTGTGAGAACACTTCGTGACCTGACGAGACCATGCTACTACACTTGAGTCGGAAACCCGAATACATGTTACCACTCTCCTGGAGCTATGCAAGGAAGATACTATACAGTACACGAGATGCACTTTTTTCACATGTATTTATTGTTGCAGACGTAAACACATAATCAAGGAACATACTGACTAATATTGCTGCAATAATAGAAGAACAATTATTATCATTCCTGTTCTTGTAGACGCGGGCAAGGAAATCAAGTTGGTACTGTACCTCCTAATGCTTACATTACACTGACGGGGACGAATAGTTACCATACCTGTTCTTACAGACGCAGGAACACTCGGCCTCGTTGTAAGTTTGGATGGAGGCTATACAGTCTTGCTCCTGGATCTTGCAGCCACACTCACAGTCAGTGTGTTTGATCACCTCTACCTCGTGGTAACTCGCTTCGTTCTGACGGCGACGACGGTTACTACGACGCCTGACAGAGTTGGTCATGACTGTCCTCAACACCTGAGGGATCAAACACAGTCAGCCAGGGGAAATGCGTTGTTTTAAACATTAAAATAAAGACTAGTTGCTATATAGATAATATAGAATCAATGCAAGTGCAGTAGTGGGTCGTATCACAGCAAGGAAATGACACTCGTATCATAACAAGGACAGAAGTCAAGGTGCATTCAAGGTACAACAGTAAGCAAAGAACTCACCTTGAACTTAACAACCTCGGTGGTCTTGGGGCGACAGGTAAGATGAGGACCGAAGCAGCATCCTCCACACTGTTCCAGCCTAACACAGGTTGGGTAGTACATGACGTTGGACTCGGTGGGCAGGTTCAGACTCACCGTCGTCATCTCCGGGACACAGTTTGCCATAGTGGCCTTCTTGGAGGTACTTCCAGCTGTAAAAGGTGCGTTGTTGATGTTATGGAGGCGCACAAGTTTTCAGGGATTGTGTTAAGTTGTTGCGAGTGGTGTGGGAGTGTGTGTCAGGGTGTTGTGATTGTTGTAGGAGTGTGTCAAGGTGTTGTGATTGTTGTAGGAGTGTGTCAAGGTGTTGTGATTGTTGTAGGAGTGTGTCAAGGTGTTGTGATTGTTGTAGGAGTGTGTCAAGGTGTTGTGATTGTTGTAGGAGTGTGTCAAGGTGTTGTGATTGTTGTAGGAATGTGTCAAGGTGTTGTGATTGTTGTAGGAGTGTGTCAAGGTGTTGTGATTGTTGTAGGAGTGTGTCAAGGTGTTGTGATTGTTGTAGGAGTGTGTCAAGGTGTTGTGATTGTTGTAGGGTGTGTCAAGGTGTTGTGATTGTTGTAGGAGTGTGTCAAGGTGTTGTGGTTGTTGTAAGTGTGTCAAGGTGTTGATTGTTGTAGGAGTGTGTCAAGGTGTTGTGATTGGTGTAGGAGTGTGTCAAGGTGTTGTGATTGTTGTAGGAGTGTGTCAAGGTGTTGTGATTGTTGTAGGAGTGTGTCAAGGTGTTGTGATTGGTGTAGGAGTGTGTTAAGGTGTTGTAAGTTTTAGAAAGGTGTGTTGATATATCCCGAAAGGCTCCTTAACCTTTAAATCAACACCCTTTACCGTAATACAGTGTTTCACTCTGTTCACTGAGTAGTCACAGGCACTTAAATTGGCAGATTACCTGAAGAATGACCCCCCCCCCCCCAGATTATTTTACCTGAAGATTAACCTGGTTTGATTAGATGAGATTAAGTTTGGTTTGGTTAGGTTAGATTAAGTTAGCACCAGGGTGGTTAATTTTCAGTTGTAATAAGCCGGAAGGGGGGGGGGGTGAGTTTTCAGGCGATCCATCTTGACTTCTCGACTCACCTAGATCCCCAACTCTAAGTGTGATGGTGGTTCTGTTGCTGGGGCCGTCACTGGGCAGATCCAGTTTGAAGAGCTTGGCAAATTCTGAGATGTTTCTGATGGAGTTGAGACGGGAGAGGCTGACCATGTCGAGCTAGTGGGACAGAGTTGGAGTTAATGATAAATGTTTGCAGATAATGGTGATGGTGGTGATGATGAGATGGTGTGAGGTTACAGATGATACTGACGGTGGTAGTGTAGTTGATGATGATGATAATGGTATGGAAATTATGTGGTTATGTATATATAGTATTTTTTTTTTTTTGCATGAGATGACCACAGATCATAAGAAAAAGTTTGACGGGGTATTCATCAGCTGAAAATTTGACTACATGATTCATCACCGGAACTAAGTTTGTATTACTCGCCAAATTCATCTTATTAATTAATTTATGATTCTCACCACTTGTTAGCTTTACTGGTCGGTAGTTCTGTTCTCTGTTGTGGCTTTCATTCCCCAGTACCAACATCATATGAAGATTAGCCGAGCAGTTTATTTGACCTAATGATTAAGCACCATAACGCACCTCACATAAAGTATACTCCCCCCCCATACCAGGTTATGCGTCAGGGTGTGTATAGTAAGCTGGGGAGGTAATCTTCATGTGATGTAACAATCGAGGGTCCCGTGTACATAAAGCAGCTGGGGTTTCCTACCATCCTTATCGTGCAGGAAATAATGAGGAAAGCTAAACGTGTCCTGAATATTGATGTGGATCATGTTCCCAGTTGCTGTGTTTGGCGGAGGGAGGGTCTGATATCTTGCCTCACCCCACCCCACACACACACACACACTCCGGAGTCTTGATTTTATCATTTGAGATTTTTCTTTTACTTTCGTGCATTTGAATGTCATTATATATCATAGAAGCATAAAAAGTTTATGTTTTGCCATTATTACTATTATTTTTTGTTATTATTATTATCTCAATCATTCTAGTAACAGTAGTAGTAATAAAATTATAAATAGCAGTAAAAGAAGACAGTTTATCAATTGAGGGAAATAATCACTACTCCTTTCTCGTAAATGATGAGAATCGATTCAAAACCACGAATGAAAAGTAACAGTTCAACTTGCTAAGAAAAAACCCAGCCCGGCCTTAAAGTGGTCTGTAGGTATACATGGCCTATACGTATACATGGCCAATACGTAAACATGGTCTATACGTATACATGGCCTATATGTATACATGGCACATACGTATTAAGCGCTGGAACTTGTTTAACCAAGGGAAAACTGGGATTGTGACATATCAGGTGGACAGCTGGTGTGTCTTGGGTGAACTGAGTTAGCTACGTGCAGCGTCGCCACCCTCACACACGGGAGGGTGATGTTGGCTGAGGTTGATGCTTGGGTATGGAGGTGAGAGAGGGAATAAGAACTTAGAAGAAAAATGAGAGTGAAATGAGAGAAAATAGACATGTGAGGGAGAGTGAGTGAGTGTGAACGAGAGGGAAGGAAACGAGAGGAGAAGCAGGCAAGTGGACAAGTAACGAAGAGGACAAAATAACGTAAAACAAAGAAGACGAAAAAGAAGCGGGGTGAAAAGAGGCGTTGACGTGAAAGGGGAAGTGCGCCGTCCAATCTGGGGACGAGCAGCGGACTGCGGCTAAGCCAAGGTCACCACTAGGGGGAGAAGGGGTCGGGAGGAGTGGTGGTAGGAAGTGGGTAGACTCGTAGAGGTAATAACCGGGGAGAGGGAGCGAATCCAGGAAAAAAGCCACAGCTAAAAAGGCACGGAAAAAACCTAACCTAACCTTATACTTATAATGTATACAGCCTTAACAACATCAACCTAGAGAAGTCGACTTGTGAAAGAGACCTAGGGGTACTTGTAAGCCCGGACCTACGGCCTAGAAAACAGTGAGTTAATGTTCGAAATAAGGCAAACAGAGTATTGGGTTTTATATCTAGAAGTGTAAGTAACAAGAGTGCAGAGGTCTTATTGCAACTATATCTTGCGCTAGTCAGGCCACACCTCGATTATGCGGTTCAGTTCTGGTGCCCCTATTATAGAATGGATATAAATTCACTAGAGTCGGTGCAGCGAAGAATGACAAAAATGATTCCGGGACTTAGAAACCTTCCATATCAGGATAGGCAAAAGAAACTTAACTTGCATTCCCTAAAAAGACGAAAAGTACGGGGAGATATGATAGAAGTATTTAAGTGGGTGAAAGGAATCAATAAAGGAGATATAGATAAAGTTCTTATAATATCCGAGCAGGATAGGACTCGGAGCAACGGATTCAAGTTGGATAAGTTTAGGTTTAGGAAGGAGATAGGAAAAAACTGGTTCACAAATAGGGTGGTGGACGAGTGGAACAAGCTTAGCAACTTTGCAGTAAGTGCGGGAACTCTGGAAAGTTTCAAAAGGAGGCTAGATAGATTCATGGATGATAGAGAGTTGTAGTAACTCTCGACAGGAGCTGCCATGCACAGGCCAACCGGCCTATTGCAGACTCCTTATTTTCTTATGTTAACCTACGTGTGGACTTTATTTCCGTCCACCGAGGGAGCAGATGGTTAATATGAAGGGAGGGGCGTAACTTGTGAACGGGAAGGAACTGTTGGTTAAGGGTGGGAAGGTAGGAGGCGGTTAGTAAGTGGTGAAAGGGAAGGGAGTGATGGTAAATGGATGTAAGACTGTCAGTGGGTGTCTTTATGGGAAACCTCAATCATTTCTGCGACACTTGTTTACCACGTCCTACCCAGTGGCGAGGTTCATAGGACGGATGTGGCTGTGTTAGTCATCCCACTCCCCGGTTTTTCCTGGCTTGATAAGTTTGTTGTAGAAAATGCTGTTTAACTCAGATTAATGTTGGATTCGGATTTGTCCCCCCATGAATTATGATACTCTACACGCACCAAGTTTCACTACTGGCCTTGGCCGGTAGCGACGAGGTTGTCATAACATTTACACATGCTCATTCTAAAAGCAGGTTAATGAGAAATGTTTACTGATATTTTTTGGCATTCGTGATTTATGGCCTCTTTTGCATTCACGATATTTGTAAAAGTTAAGAACAAAAATATCTCCGGTAGTGATGGATGTGGTTAGAAGAAAGGTAATAAAAGATGTCATAGGGAGAGTAACGAAAAAATCAACAAAAGTTACCCCAACCTCGGCCAGCTGGCGCTCTATCACCAGCTGTTGAATCAGCCTGCCCTTGCAAGCGACTCCTGTGAGACTAACTTAAGCATGTTTGTAATTGACACGAGCAGTGTGTGTTGGGTGGCCAGTGTGTCATGGCTGGCCTACTGCAATCGCTTGTCTCACCAACACCCCAGTGAAACCGTGTAAATAAAGACCCCGAACTAAATAATACTTATAGGTAGACTCTTCAGAATAATCTAAACTTGTTTTTATTGTCATTTTTGTGTCCGTATATAATTATTGTCAATGTTGTGTTGTCATAGGATCAGATGACTTGAAACTCCTTGCACGTTTGGGTGATTTCTTGTTCGCAGTGGACCTCATATTTGTCTATTTTTACCACCTGAGTGTGTGTGTGTGTGTGTGTGTGTGTGCAGTCCAGCAGCCGACCATCCCGTACTTGTTTGAGTAAGGGGGGAATGACAGATCAGCTGGTAGTCCGTGTTAGTATTCCCACGGCCTCTACCTTATACACTGTGTTCCTCTCCTCACTCACACATATACATTATGCATAAAATAACGCCTACATAATAATAATCATAATACACACACACACACTGCACCCACTTATGCGCATCAACATTTTTTACACAGCTGGCGGACACTGAAGCTAAGGGAACAGGACGTTGCGCTTCTTGCCACACCCTGTGACTTGTTTTACTAACGTTTGTTTTTATATGTACAGTCGGCCACAAGAATAAGTATACACCTACGGTTCGAGTTTGAGACAAATATCTGGTAACACTGTCCTGAATAGAACAGACAAAATTACCTATAATTTATGTTTTATTCCTACATATATGTTATAAATACATTTGTTGTGAATGTTTTACTAGTGTTTCGTGTTTATATAACAAGTAATATATTGTATCCAATGGTAGTAAACTTATTGCCAAATGGGATTGCTGTTATCGTACAGCTCCCTCCTCCTCCCCCACGTTTTCTCTTACCCTACTTTTTTTTTTACTGAGGTTTGGATTTTAAAGGAAGGAAGAGGAGTAAATAGGAGAATAAAGAAAGGGAAGCAGAAAATAGTTAGAGATAACAGGTGGGGGGAGGTGAGTTTCACCATGCGTTTGGATGCGCAGTTTCAACGTTACCACCATTTTCGAACCTTACAGCTACAGTCTGCATACTTATTCCCGTGGCCGACTGTGTGTGTGTGTGTGTGTGTGTGTGTGTGTCAGCAGGCTACCTCCTTCACTGTACTGTCACCTGCAGTATCCTTGCACTACAATCACAACACCAACAGCGCATATTTAAGTGCCAACTCCTTGGGCCTGGTGACCCGCTCTTTTAACTATCCAACCAATCATGTGCAATTGGACAGCTAATCAGACACGACGAATGCTGACAATATCTCTCATCTCCTGCTCCTTCGAGTTGATGGAACGCATGAGTCGCCACCACCTTAATTAAGATTAGAATTTTTTTTTAGATTGCCCCCGAGGGGGCTAGCTTATTGGGCATCCCTTGCATCCTGTGTAAGGTGAAGCGCAGAAGCGTTTACAGCGCCCACCTGGGAAGCATGCGGAGTTCATGCTTGCCTTTATGACTCGTGTATTAAGGGCGTAAAAGCCTGAAGGGTCATGGGTTTTGTCAGCAAGTTACATAAAGTGACAGAATGATGAGTGTGTGTGTGGGGGAAAATTCCCAATACAATTTATCTGTTTATGGCAAAGTGTGGCAGATGACACGCATCCTCACGTGACCTTTATGACCTTCACTCTTGAAACAGTACTGCTCATGCTCACTATATTGACGAACACTGCAGCTCAAACTACCTCTTTCGTTGACCTTTAGGGTGTGTTTGACAGTGCCAATGGTGATGTGATCCTTTGAGGGCCGAACCCACGTGGATGGCAGACTACCTCCCTCAACAACAGGCTCGTGTACTTCCCAGGCCACTACTTGACTGTTTAAACCGTTGATCTAGGCACGGCTCAAGGTGGTGTCCTCAGCCTCAATTTCTTTAACTTCCTCTTGAACTGTCTGCCAGCTGAACGACGCTATTCTAAGCAGCTAAAACGTTCACATCTGATCTGTATTGATGATCTATAAATTGCTACTCTGCAGAGCCCGCACCATGAACAACTGAATTTTCGACAGTAAATACAGTAAGTGATTTTTCGACACTATATAAATTACTATGGAACGTAGATGTAACTAAGTGACAAGTGCGTCCTGAACATTTAATACAGCGAGTGACGTTTAAACTGACGTGTAGTTAACTAAGCGACGCGTGGATAACATTAAACACAATAAATGCCTTGTAACCAAATAACCTTCCCTCGACGACAGTATAAGACACCCCCGGCTGCTGCTCTGTCACTGGAGAGTATTTTAGGCTATCTTGGCGAGTATAGCACGAGGCGACATATTTGGACTGGTAAAATACAGTTTCCGGAGATAGTGATGCAGGTTCGACGAAAACAGCCACGCTCCACACCCGAGCCATCCTGTACCCCTGAGTAATATTACAGGAAGCCAGGGAAATCCCCACCCTAGGACGGAGTTCCATCTCTCGTACCGTTTTAATGTTGTTAGAATAGTGGATTACTAATTTTCTTACGCGCTTTAAATCCGTCGTTGAAGCTTAGTAATAACATTATAGCAACCACCACCACATCCTAAGAGACTGCCAAAACACTACCTGGCCGACACTAATGTTTCTAGCTAGTTCTCTTAACATAAACTATTATGCTGGTATTTTAAACTCGTAGTCAAGGACATCCAGTCAGGTTTGCTTTGAGACGTACTGTAGTGGTCAACAGACGTAACAACACATCACTGTCTCTGTCTCAGTATTGAGACAGTTGTTCTCTTCATAAATACTGTACTCAGGTGGTCACCTGAAGTACTCTGGTTTCAATATGGTCCATATTATATTAATTTACAACACTCAAAGTGAATTTGTTCATAATATAGAAGGTTGATGTCGTGTCTATAGTTATGATCATCTCTACATTTTGTGACTCAATATGTTTTGTACTGTATAAAGATAAGTAAAGCGATATGTGCATAGTATTCAAAAGCTTTGGAGTCCATCACCTGACCAGAATCTTATCAAAACCAAGCGACCACTTACCGAGTTGAGGTCCTCCGGCAGCTCAAGCCCAGGGTCAGGTATGGGTTGACCAGGGTCAGGAATGGGTTGACCAGGGAAGAAGATGGGCGCCACTCCAGGCATAATGTTAACAGCGTTGCCGGCTTGTGCCACCGCCACTAGGGCGAGCCAGCATCCCAGCAGACACAACACCTTCATTCTGCAACCAGATATGGCGTAAGGAAGGAAGGGGAGGAGTGAATGGAGATGCAAGTCATTATCACTCACTGCAGCCTCGAGTGCTCAAATATCACACCCAAGACATTCACAGGTGACACATTCATTCACGTACATTCCTTTTTACAATAACTACACTGGTTTGTTCTATTCACTCGGCAGTGCAAGAAGTGTAGAGATACAACCCGTTCAGGATATAGCAGCGAATTTATGAACCGTGTTGCGTGAAATAAAATTTTTGTGGACGATGAGCGATGGTTTAACTCGCCTCGGTGACCTAGAATACGTAAATACGTGTGCTTTCTGGCAACCATAGTTAGTAAACCTGGTTTTAATCAAGGGGAGTCTGATAAAATTACTGTGATGTTCATATTAATAATTATGATGATGATGTTATTGTAATAATAATAATGTAATGATGATATGACTAATCATAATATTGATTATAATAACAATACAATAATTACCAACTAAATCGGTCGCGGGTCACACAGGAGTGACGGCGGATCCTGTAATATGACAGGAGAGGGCTCCCCAGGGGGGGGGGAGGGGGTTATCAGCCGCTACAGAAATTGTCTAGATGACACCAGTCAGCAGTTATTATTATGTCAATCATTTTATTACATCAAGGTGAGATTTTTTGTAATGGAACGTGATTTTTATTAATTATTTGCGGGGGGGAGAGTTAACGCGCACCTAGTGAACTGCCCTCCCTCCCTCCTTCCCTCCCTCGGATCCGCTCAGAGACCGACGCAAATACGGAAGGAGAGGAAGTTTAGGGAGACAAACAGATGTTGTAAGTGACACCAAGGTGTATATAGACCTTGGGTGAAACAAGATCACCGGAAGCCGTCAAGGTTAGTCAACCAGACACCACAAGTTTGCTTACCTGCACCACCACTCGTTTACCACACTCAAGAGCACTTTATATTTGTATTTTGATATCATATACAATGTACTATTGTATTCATATTCTGTTTTCCAATTTAATTTGTAAATACAATAGGTGTAATGTGCATACAACACACTGTATGCAAAGTGACAGTGTTGACTCTCACTTCCAACCGTAAAGTTTGGTACCCATTCACAGATGGGTGAATTAGGTGGGTGGGTGCCTCGGTGGGAACTAATTACCCTTAGGACAGGAAGGAAGCGCTTTACTGTACCCACTCAACCGTCGTATTCCGTCTTACTGATTAATAAACATATTTTTACTTGTTTGTTATTAAGAGAAATTACAAGGTCGGTAACGAGTGTTTTTCATTATGCTTTACGGATTTAGAAGATTTGTGTTCTTACAGTTTAACGTCTTATATATATATACCTCTTAGATCATCACAACTTACAAATCACATATAACAAAATATCCCGCGGAGAGTCAATCTTCCTCGTCTCGTCCAACGATTTTCAATGTAAAGCTTTTCGGTAAAATGAAGTTCCCTGGCGTGGTAGAGTTTGTTAAACACTGGAAGAGGATCTTACAGTCAAGTGGACAATACATTAGCCACAATTATATCTTTTAGGGAAAATATCTGGTGACTATACTTAGCCTCAAGCTGATATTATCAGTGTGTCTAAGAGATTTTTTGGGTTATTTGGACAACTGGCGTCGTTACCATTGTTGACACTGGCACCGTCGTAATAGTTTGTCTTGGTTTATATTCTAACGTATTTATCTTGTATGTGTTAGTCTGGTCAACACTGATGCTTCCTTGTTTCTGTCAAGTTTTTATCTCGGGTTATGGATGAATTATGCAAAGTCTGCATTAAGCCGTACTTGAAATATTGAGTTGATTAAATAAAAAAAAATGAAGTCAATAATGTCGCATGTAGCCTTTAAATATTAGATCACTATTTGTCTTTTTACCGAAGGCAACACTTTGCACTCACTAGTTACCGAGTTAAAAGACACATATTAAGTTCTCTGAACATTGCAAAACTCAACCGTAAAGCCGCTACACTCACTCGGCGGTATAAATTAGTAATACCTTTGGTAACTGTCAGCAAACCTTTCATCTAAAGTTATAAAACCTTAAATCGTGACTGTAAAACACGCACCTGTAGACTGTGTCGTAATCCTGTTAGCACCACTAGACAAACACAGAGACAGAAGCGACGAAAGTCCTTTCTCAATGGTGACTGGCGTCTCAATGAGCAACTGTGCCCGCGTCGCGTCCTTATGACCAGTCCCACCACTAGTGCCCAAGGGAGGGGGCGGGACTGAGCGGCTCGCCACCCCACCACCCCCTATCCCCGCCCCTACTCCCCCACCCCATAATCATTATCTGAGGGGGTAAAAGGGGGTCAGTGGTGGGGTAACTTAGAAGGGGGTTCGTGATGGGGTGACTAAGAAGGGGGTCAGTGGTGGGGTAACTTAGAAGGGGGTTCGTGATGGGGTGACTAAGAAGGGGGTGAAAGTGGTGGAGGAGGATTTAGCAGGCCTCACGTGTTAGTGACGAGTTTTAAGCATTGGGAAAACCCTTGTGGTAGTGGTCACCGCCAGCAAGTGTTGACTCACTGTGAAGGTGCTTACTGCCTCCGCCTCACTAATCCTTTACGTATTTTATCACGATCGTCAAACAGGATTTCCCCTCCCCCCTTCTTTGCTGATCGTTCCAGTAAGCATGGCGTAGTTCTAAGTTCCGAACACCATGCTGAGTTTAGTATCAAGCCGAGAAACTTTATGAAGTATATATCTGATGGTTAAATAGTTCATGAAATCTTAAAACTGAATAGTGATGACTGGTTCTTTGTCAAGTATCGTAGCCAGATGTTACAGAGTGCCTGCGTAAATACACTCGACAAAAATAAAGCTTAATGTCATGGTTACGATACAGTTCACGGAGGAGAAAACAGGCTTCAAGCTCTGAGAAAATATTGATAACTGAACGACGGGAAAAAACTAATAGTAATACGAAACAAGTAGAAAATAATCAAATGATAACGATACAGAGAAACACGGAGAATAAACGAATAATAGTATATATAAAAAAAACGGAACAAATAAACAAAAAACGAGTCATACAAAAGAAAACGTATAAAAACCTAACCCATAAACTAAAATAAATTTCTGAATTACCCAAGTCCTCCTGTGGCTAAATATAAAATGGTGACTAACTGTAAGTATCCTCCCAGTGAAGTGTTTCGTAGAAGGAGCGTCAAGGTGTTAGACGTAAAAGCATTTCATTGTCAAACTTCCCCTCAAAATACTGAGTTGGGAACCTCGAGTTACTCAGGCCACGGCGAGCATGTCAACACAGGCCCATTGCTCCTGGTTCTAGCAAGTTCACCAACAGGTTATTACAGCATCCTCCTCCTCCTCCTCCTCCTTCTCCCTCTTCCTCCTCCTCCTGCCTCTTCCTAGAAATATTCCCTCTTCCTTCTCCTTCTTCCTCCTAATACTTCCTCTTCCTCCTCCTCCTCCTGCCTCTTCCTAGCAATTTTCCCTCTTCCTCCTAATACTTCCTCTTCCTGCCTCTTCCTATTAATATTCCCTCCTCCTCCTCGGTGATTGGTAGAATAAATAGATAAAATAAAATAATAGATAGGGTACATGAGTTGATACATAGTGCTATTTGTCCTACTCTGACAATCCTATTAGTATGAGTGACGTCGTCTGAACGTAGGGGAGGGAGGAAGGGAAATTTCCCTTGTTTGCGTCAGATACTGGACAAAGGTGACAACTGAACCTGGGGAAGTTTGTTGTCTTCCTACCAGGTGTATTATAGGAAAAGTTTTTGGCTATAGTTAGATCTGTATGTGATGTAACGTACCCAGGATCATTTTTGTTCATGTTGTACTGAGGGAGTTTTAGTCAAGTGGTACCGTTTTAGTGTTCTGGGAGTAACTCACTATCGTAACGTATTTAGAATGATATAATGTTAAAAGTAAACAAGAATAACGTAAGAAACTGAAGATGGATGAAAACGTAGCGAAGAAAAGACGGGAACAAAGAACATCCTGTGTAAGGTAAAGCGCAGAAGCGTTTACAGCGCCCAACAGGGAAGCATGCTAAGTTCATGATTAAGAACAACTAGTAACTGACGACGGTCCAGGGGTCACAGAGTTCGACTCCTTCCCTACACACGTTGTCGTCATACTCGATTCCGAGTGACAGTAAGTAGTACACACGTTGAATCACGAGTACAGAAATCGCTGCCTGTGAAACTGTTAATCGTCTTGCCAAAGAAGCAACTTACGAAGATGACATAGAAACCACCTTCGCCCTCTCACTTAACCATCTCAAATCTCGTGTTTACATTGCACAACGGGAGACCTTCGACGAACACTGAGTGAATCTGAAACATCAGGGAAGTGACACACACTACGCCACTATGGCGCAGTAACCGGTGATCACAACCACCACAACAAAGAGTATCAACCTCAGACCCCGAGCGGTCTCAACAGATTGTGAACACGGAACTGCACCTGGATTACAGGTACCCCGAGGAATACATAAACAGCCCCGATCCTTGCCGCACTATATGTAAACTTACAGTACATACCCCTTCCTCACTACACCCTCGCATATCCTGAGACCTCCTTCTACAAGTCCTCAGCCGTCATCACCACGTCGCCCCTTCCTGACTAAATATCCCTCCTACTAGAGACAGTTCTGGCACATTTTTAATGACCTTCCACACTGTCATAAGCAGATGAACCTGTACAAGGACGCTTCCCTTTATAACATTGTTCTTTCTTAATTTCAAGTAACTTGCTAACACAACAAAGGGCCCCTCAGGCGCTCGCTTTTTTAGCGTGACCTAAACAGTTAACATTTTCTGATCAACCTTACATCACGTTAAGAAATAACATAACGTCAGTGTGTGTATTTCCAATCACACAAACACGGATGTGGTCCTCTAACACACACGACAGCGAATATGATATCAGCCATTGCACTGTGTAGTGTTGACTGTTGACACTGAGAGAGTTAGTTAATTAACCTGTTAACTCTACAGGGTTATGTGGTTTATTTTTCTCTACTATAAAAGGCTATAATTACGACTGAAGTAATATCCCTATGTGTTGTATTTGATTATTTATATTGCCACTTGTAAAACACTCCCACGAGTGCTAGCTTGTATGGGTTGTAGGGAGTAACCCAGAAATGCCAGACACCAAGTGCAAAATGCGGATTATACAGTATTTCGTGTTCAGGGTTAATTCTGTTAATGGGGTAATAGGATGACTAATTAGTTTACGAGTGTGTGAATGTGGGCCTCAAGATAAAGTGTTTGTTTAGCAGTTGTCGCTGTTGCTAAGTCATGTTCATATATCTGTACTTAATTTAATCTAGCACTTTCTGGTCATATAGCGCTAATTTTTAACCCCTTCAGTGCAATGCCTTTCTCCTGAGTACTTTGAGCCTGGCAGTACAATATTCAATCCCATTTGTTCGATGTCTTATCCCTTTGAATACGATGGCTAGTCCCTCTGAGTACAATAACACTGTACTCATGAGATTAGGCCATCATACTCAAGGGATTAAACTTTTTTGGAGGGTTATATCTCGACACTGCTACCCTCACTCAAACGCTGCTGGGCTCATTAACTCCGGGTTTTGGGTTATGGAAGAGGAGTGGGGTGGCGTCATGTAGGGAAATCTTAAGTAATGATAACGTGGTGAAAATGGTGTCTGGCATATTGTCACTATGAGAGAGGATGTGTCGTCACATTCACATAGTCATCACCCTTAAAGGCACAGCAGAAGATAAGTGCATGATGGGAGAGTTTATGGTGTTGTAATGGCCGGCCATGATTGTTGTTGACACATTGCCAACATCGTACTGTATAATGTATATTGCTGAAATGCACACATAAACAAACACACACACACACACACACACACACACACACATGAGAAGGGGAGGGATGCATTCTGATGTACACAGGAGACACACCAAGTCTCAGCCGCTACCAACATGAACAATAATGATGATGACTGGTCACTGTGAGATTGTTTGTGTGGAAATAGGACAATTTGTGTGTGTGTGAGAAAGTGGTCTGCTTGCTTCTCTGTTTGCGTTTGTGTGAGAAAGTGGTCTGCTTGTTTAAATAATAATAATAATAATAATAAACGGTTTATTGAAAAAGTTTGCAGCCCGAAGGATGAAAATATACATCGAACATAAATGACTTATTACATACATTGGTGGTTTAACAAAAGTCTTCATTAGAGAAAGGTGAAGGAACATACAGTGAACATACAGATTATGTTTTACACACGTAGATCATGCAAGCTGAGGTGTTGAACAGCAGACACGTAGTGTAGTAACTCCCTCACAGATGGCGTTATGAGGGGCATCACGTGGAGTACTAGTTCCCTCACAGGTGGTGTTATGAGGGGCTTGACGTGGTGTAGTAATTCCCTCACAGATGGTGTTACGAGGGGCCTGATGATGTAGTAGTTCCCTCACAGATGGTGTTACGAGGGGCCTGATGATGTAGTAATTCCCTCACCGATGGTGTTATGAGGGGCCTGATGTGGTGTAGTAATTCCCTCACAGATGGTGTATGAGGGGCCTGATGTGGTGTAATAATTCCCTCACAGATGGTGTTATGAGGGGCATCACATGGCGTAGTAATTCCCTCATAGTTGGTGTTATGAGGGGCATCACGTGGTGTAGTAATTCCCTCATAGATGGCGTTATGAGGAGCTTCACATGATGCTGTAGCAACTCATTCTTTATGTGGTGTCGTAGCATCATGGGGACACCACGTGGAAACTGCAGCGGGCCTATTGGCCCATACTGGGCAGTCCCGTTTACACCCAGCCCCTATTGCTCATATAAGCATCCAACCTATGTTTGAAGCTATTTAGCGTATTCGAGTTAATGATGATATTTGGTAACTTGTTCCATTCATCCACTACTCTGTTTCCAAACCAGTGTTTACCTATTTCACGCCTAAATCTAAATTTGTCTAATTTAAAACCATTGTTGCGAGTTCGCTCCTGGTTGGATAGTTTGAGTACATTTGTAATGTCCCCTTTGTTTAGCCCTGACTTCCACTTATACACCTCTATCAGGTCGCCCCTCGCTCTACGTCTCTCGAGGGAGTGCAAATTAAGATGCTTTAACCCGTCTCTATACTCAAGGTTCCTAATGCCCGGGATTAGTCTTGTCATTCTCCTCTGAATTCTTTCCAATGATTCTATATCCATCCTGTAATACGGTGACCAGAACTGAACTGCGTAATCCAGGTGTGGTC